AAAATGCCATGCCTTGTGTGTGTTCGAACCCCAGGATCGGGAATTATTTTAAGAGAAGTTCGTTCAAGTTATTGTATTGGAGGTAGATGTTTGTAAATACTGTTACCAGAGAAGAAATAGGTTATTACAGTTTTTGTAAAGATATACTTTAGGGACACGTATTATAAAGTATATGGTAACCTATGGCAGTCTGGACACGGGTTATTATAAACATTAAAACATATCCATTATCCATGATGTGGAGTTCATTTTGTCATAGGATGTTGAAACAGGCAATAATGATCAACATAAGATATTTACGCGATAATTCGCAAAGAACAATGAACACTGAAGCATGGTTTATTTCACGATAAGACATTGTTCTATCATGACGTCATTTCTGGAGATTCGAACATGCGCTCGCAACTTGACGTCGTATGTTTGACGACTTTATTTTTGAGAAGGGAGTGTCTAGTGAGTTGTTCCCCATATGATGTATCAGGACAACGCAGATAAACGCGATGGCCGAACGATCGAATAAAAACACATTGAGAGATATGACAATCGGTATTGGGAGAAAAGGTACTGGTAATCGACGCGAGGCATCTGAGAATATGCGGGAAATACCCACCTGTGCATAAAATGGACTTGTCCGACGTTCCCGAGGTCGGATTCTCTTGAGGGAATCATCATTGTTTAAATAGGGGTTAATATTTTTTAAAGTTTGTACATTTTATCAACATTCTTAAAGAGATTGTACACGATATTGATATCTCATATAAGAAATAAACGACTCGCGGTCGTTGTTTATCGTACAATAAAACAATGGCGGGAGAATAAACCACTCGGGGGTGCGCCCCCATGGTTTATTCTCCCTGCAGTGTTTTATTGTACGATAAATAACTCCAACTCGTCGTTTAATTCTTAAACAGAGGTCATTATATGAATATCAGAAACCTCCGAAAACGATAGACAATGTCATGAGGTTTTTAAGTCTGAATTTAGGTCCAAAGGTCCTCATTCTTTATTTATTTCATTTGCATTGTTTAACTATATCGCCTGTGGAGCTGGAACTTTACATGGATAATGCTAACAATGGTGTCTAAACCTTGCTCAAAGAATTCTTTGTATAACATGTCAGTCTGGTTTGTTACTCAGTCATTTCTGTGTCTGTTATGATTTTGTTTGTTTGTTTGTTTGTTGTTTAACGCCGCCCTCAGCAACATTCCAGATATATATGACAGCGGTCTGTAAATAATCGAGTCTGGACAAGGCAGTCCTGTGATTGATATCATGACCATCGATCCACTCACTTGGGATACAATGACTTGCGTCAGCCAAGTCAGCGAACCTGACCACCCGATCCATTAGTCGGCTCTTACGGCAAGCATGAGTCGCTGAAGACCAATTCTAACCCGGATCTTTATGGGCATGTATCAATTGGAAAATGTTAAGGAAGTATGTGGACGTATATTCATGTTGGACCGTTATGACCATTCACCATTCTCGATCAGTGAAGCTAGGTTTACTGCATCTCTGAAACACATGGCCCAAGAAACTAAACATCTGCAAGGATGGTCCTAGGTATAGTGTCTCTAATTCCCCCAGGATTTAATATGATGAATTATCAAACAACACCAGTCCTGCTGTCGACCAAGATAATCACAAATCTGAGTCTGCCTAACTGTTGTCTTATATCTCAATTGTCAATTGTATACTGAACAACAAAAGTTCCTGTGACATTGAATAAGATTTAATGCAAAGTTATGTTTTTTACCAAATCTGAAACAATTTCGGTTTGCAACAGATAAAAGACTCCTGTAAGTGTTTATAAATGGTTTAATTTGCCATACTGACTTCAGAAAATGCGTGATTTCATAAAAAACATGAACATGCCAAAATGTCAATTTACAAATCAATAGCGTGTGTGTCCACCTCTGGTTGCGATGCAAGCGACACATCTTCGTCTCTTGGAATGGACCAGGCGTCGCACAAAGTCCTGTGGGATATCTGTCCATATCTGCTGGAGCATATATTTCGAAGTTCCTGCAGTGTCTGTGGAACACGTGGTTGACGTCGAAGGCGCCGATCCATCTCATCCCACATGTGCTCGATTGGTGAGAGATCAGGGGAGCGAGCCGGCCAGGGGATGACATTCACGTTGTTTTGTTGAAGAGAATCCTGAACAAGACGAGCAATAAGGGGTCCGGGCGTTGTCATGTTGAAAGGTAATGCCTGGGCTATGACGCCGCAAAACCGGTAGAACAACAGGGCCGATGATCTCGTCGCGGTAGTACTATCTAAGTCTGTCTTGCTGTAATCCCTGCCCATACCATAACGCTGCCGCCGCCGAACCGATCTTCTTCCATGACACAATGATTGACGTAACGTTCACCTCGACGTCGGTACAGTCGAATCCGTCCATCGCTGAGGTGAAAACGAGATTCGTCAGTGAATAGAACTTGTCCCCACTGCATGGCCGTCCAGCGTAGACGCTGTGTGCACCACTGTAGACGTGCTTGACGGTGGTTTCCTGTCAAAATGGGACGTCTGGCGGGTCTTCTAGCAACAATCCCTGCACATCTGAGGCGACGACGTGCGGTTTGTGAAGATATTCGTCGAAGGCCTGGGATGCTTCTTGCAGTCACTGTTGCTGGCTGGAATCGATTTCGTTGGTGTGTTGTTCGAATCCAGTTGTCTTGTCGATTATTGTTTACGCGTGGCCTGCCACTCCGAGGATGGTCTCTGACTGCATTCGTCTGTTGCCAACGTTGCCATAAACACCAAATGGTGTTTCTGTGGACGTTAAATTGTCTTTCAACATCAGGTTGACTCGATCCTGCTTCAAGCATACCAAGGGCTCGCAAACACTCATTTTCGGACAGGCGTGGCATTTCGTAATTTTAAATAATTGCGTAATTTTGTTGTTTTTCTGTGTGGTTGTTGTCAGCACGATGCTAAACAATGCATATGGAATCCCGTTAACGCACATTTTTTATACCCATTCTTGGGTAGTGAAATGCACGGGGCTCGCATAAAAGTCAACTTTTGCATGGAATGCATGCTTTTCTGTAGCAGTTGCGTTTTTGTGACTTGATTCCATACATGTACTACAATATTTAAAACCAAACTTTACTTGTTTGAAAAATACACTAAAATAATGGTGTCACAGGAACTTTTGTTGTTAAGTATATTTTACTTATCCTGCATGTCTCCTTAATGCATTTACTGCTTACTTTTGACAGAAGGGGTCTAGCTGAAAGAGAAACTGTTTCATTGACGCGTGAGGCAGGACCCAGCAGATGAGACCACAGATTTTTAAAATATTTACTTATGTTGCAGTTATGTGACGGGTCTGTACGTAATAGAGTCTGTGCAATACCATGAACATCAATCAATGACGGTGTGCAATATTCCACACAACCAGCCAGGTCACACACAATGATACTACCTTATTGTAACAAAAATGTCCGCTCTTATCACAAAAATGCGTTTCCTATACATATTCATCTTCCCAAGGCAAGGGAGTTAACTGACTAAAAAATGTCCAGTTTCGGATTGGGATAGTTTCTAAAAGGTTGGCGATACCTATATAAGAGAAGACAAGAAGGGTGATTTGAGGCCTTTTTAGTAAAAACGTGTGTCATCTATACTTGCCAAGTGCGGATTGGATGCCGATTTGTGAACACCAATTACCTGCCGGTTTCCAATACTGTTCTGGATTCAAGAAAGGATACCGACCTCTTTCAAAACAATCAACAGTGACAATATTCTGACCATTCGTGAGCCTACTAACATTAGCAATATGGCCTGTTTCTTATTGCCATTGTCTCTTACTTGTCCCATTGTATTGCTTTTTGTAAGCTAAAAATTGCGTGTTTCAATATAATTTATTGATAATTCCTTGAACTTGTGTGATCGTTACTGGTTTCACAGTTTAGTTTTGTAAGTGCCGATATCTGGATGAACATTTGCGATTCAATTTGGAAATCACCTGGCAACACGCCATTGTCATTCACGCCTTTTAGCGTTGCCATGGTGACGAAGAGGTGAGGTAAATCGACTCCCTGTAGGACACGAAGTTGGCCAAGGAGTTGACACAAATAACCATCAAATAAAAACGAATGTCCCCCGATTCTAGGTACTGTCTGATCTTACCATTGTAATAAAGCGCCTCGTGTGGATTCGAGCCATTCCGAAACCAGTTCGTGTTTTGATTAAACTAGAACTTATCATTCTGTACAGTGTTACGTGAATGACGTGATTCCTAGCGGATGGAGTCCACAAAAGAACAATATACACTTGAATACCATTGATGTGTCGTATTTTCGGTTGTGTCGAACTGTGAATTCCTTTATTTTTATCATTATTTTGTCGAATCGGATGTTACTCTGGTAGGTTGATCTGAATACACATAGGCCTAAGGTCCCTCCAAGCTCGACACATAGGCGTTTTCAACTTTTTTTTTAAGCCAGAAACCCAAGTTGCTTCAGAAATTATATACAAAGAAAATAAGATTGTGTTTGCAATCTTTCTAAATTTGGTAAATGTAACGAATAGGTTATCTGTTAAACTGGAACAGTCTAATGGCCTTGCATACTATCACTGATAACATATATATTTTATCTTGCTATTAGACAGATGGCGTCATCTGGAAGTGTCAGCTTGAGTCTTGAAGCCGGATATACCGGAAGTCACGTGGGCTTTCGGTTCGTTGTTACTATGGTTATGAGGTGTCTTAATAGACAGCAATATGTGTATAAGAAATTATATTTGAAATTGTGGAGTGTTTGAAAATACAACGCAGCAAGACAGCGTCTCATAGTGCAAGTGCAAGTACGGAGTGACTGATTCAGGGAAGGACGCTAGGATCTGCCCCATCTTCATCTTTGAGTCACACCTTACAGAGAGACTATACCAACTGTCCACCTGCCATCTGTGCTTAACAGAGATACACAAGAAGCTACGAAGGGCATTGACGTGTCGTTCCAAGACAGTTGCTGAAGAACAAATACGTATGAATGGAACCCTCCACAAGTTCAACCATGTTCAAACCAAATTCACCCACGACTCAGAAGCGAAAGCTGAAAGAGGGCAGGATGACGGTAGCCGTGATGGGACGTGCCTGTGTCGGGAAGACCGCCATCTTGAACCAGTACATCCACAAGATGTTCAGTGACAGGTACGTCGTTACAGTAGGCGATAAACACGAAAAGGTAGTCAACGTGGACGGGCGGCAGATTGAAGTGGAGATCATGGACACACCCGGAGGTTACTGCTTCGAGTACGGCCGACGCCAGGCCGTCATCAACGCTGACGTGTTCGTGTTAGTGTACTCCGTGGAAGAGATCTTGTCCTTCCAGAGGGTCCTGGAATTGAGGGAGAGTATCTTCGAGAAGAGGGGCAAACAGATGCCGATGGTGATCGTACAGATGAAGACAGACATTAGGAAAGACAAGTGGTTCAAGGACTGCGAGAGTCTGCACGGCCTCATCCCTGACGGATTGCAACACCCACATTTCCAAGTGTCTGCTCAAGGGGGCTCTGATATGTCCGTCATATTTGAAGAAGTTGTGAGGCTGAAGCTGTCCGACGCTAAGCAACCGGTAAAGGAAAGAAGATGTTCCTCTCTTGAGCGGATTCAACGGGTTCTCAAAGGACAACAAATCTGGTTTTAACTAGCTGCTCAATCTACTTTTTTAACTAGCCTATGGTGGCCATGCTTGTTATAGCATCGCAAGGTCGTGTGTTGATACAGCACGACCTGTGTATCTATTTTACGTGGTGTACGTAACAATTTTACTATGGTAGGTAAAGGGGGTCTCGTGTTATTATTAGTTTCGTATATGCTTTTTGTTGTTTGTTGTTGAACGCCGCACTCGGCAATATTCCAGCTATGTGACCGCGGTCTGTAAATAATTGAGTCTGGACCAGACAATCCAGTGATTGATATCATAAACATCGACCCACGCAATTGGGATACGATGACATGCATCAACCAAGTCAGCGAGCCTCACCAACCGATCCCGTTAGTCGCCTTTTACGGCAAGCATGGGTTACTGAAGACCTGTTCTACCCAGGACCTTCACGGGTCTTCGTATATGCAGTCATGTATGAAAATATTCCTTTTGATGATTGACTGCGAGGCCGCCTGTGTCAATTCTGGTCACGATGCTGACCAGACTAGCAAGGGCGACTGAAGCTGAAAGGGCCGTTGGTGTTCAGGATATTACAGACATGTACCCAGGGTATGAAACTCCCAAAAATTTCAGCCAGACCACAGGACTGGCTAGCTGAAATACTTGCCAGCCCTGACCAAAACCTGCCTGCCCACTATAATCATATGTTTCTCAGGATAAGCTAACGGGATTTCTTTTTGGTTACATTTTATCATTCATCTTTACATGTGAATTAATGATTATCATCGGGAAATATTTAGAATATTGTCACACATGAAATATAACCCGACCGTCGGGCAGGGGGATTTGAAAATCTGGCAGCCCGAGTTGAAATCAACCCGTCTCGGACGGTCGGGCAGGCAGGTATTTCGAACACTGATGTACCTGAGGTACGTTTTAGCATGTATACAGAAACGTGGGGCGTTGCTCATGATGACACCGCCCATCACTGACTTGTCTGGTCCACACTTGATTATTTACAGGCCGCCATCATATAGTTGGAATACTGATAAGTATGTATGTAGTTTATATTGTGTCGGCCTTTCTCAAAGCAGATTATTTAGGTATTGTACGTGTACCGATGTCTTTGATCTTGTTTATTTCGCGTGAGATACGAAGGGACGCAGCTCTTTGCTAGAATCTGTTTTCTGTGTAATCCGGGTTGCTCTCTCAAAAGGTCCCACGGAAGTCCGGTTTAGACAGATTCAAGCTATTCGTTAAGAGATCCTGCCAATCTCCACAAGGCACTGTTCGAACATGCAAATGTGTGATGTTACATCCGTGTGTTGGTGACGGCCTCCGTGGTCTAGTTTATAGAACCTCAGCCCGGGGAGCGGAAGGTCAGTGGTAAACACGCCTGACCGCGTCATACCAAATGTCGTCAAAAGATGGTATCACTAGCATCTATATAACCGGCATTAGACGGGACATGACAAGCAGGTAGTACTACGTGCTTTCACGTAGCCTTCATTACCGCATAACCACGCACGCACGCACGCACGCACGCACGCACGCACGCACGTGCATGCATGGACATCTCTCTATATCCGTGCAATCATTTTGAACGTAACGTTAAACCCTATTTCACCTCACGCACGTGTTGACATATAATGAGACTGTACAGATTTTAGAGGTTACTTATTATTAAGAGACGTTTGAATTTAACTTTGTAAATGTTGTATTTTCATAGGCATGTTGTGAAAAGGAGCTAACACCAATGATCATATATAGCTATACCAGAGACCTTATATAGGTATATGGTCTCTGGTATACTATGCATTTGATGGTACTGGTTGTCGTCGAGAATGAGCAGATGATGCATATAGCCACTTTCGGTGTCGTTACCATGGTTTTATTTGTTGATATTGTATTCATACAAATAAGGATGTATCAATTCATCTGAATAAAAAAATGTTTCTTCATTTTTTTTCTTTCTGTTCGAAGCAAGTAGCTTGCAGCATATGGTCTTGGTTCGATTTCGGGATTCTCCCAAAAGTTTATATTTGGCCACCACATATGTGCTCGTGGTATTTACCCATCTGGTAAACGTACAACACACTCGTCCCGTTAAGCCTTTCTCCCACATTAAGCTGACATGTCATAATGTAACTGAACTCGCTTAGTAATCGCATTGCTGGCTTAGATATCCGTGAGAGGTTCGCGTCAAGCATATCAAGCTGACTCTTGGTACAATGGTATGACAGAAAACACGCACGCACGCACGCACGCACGCACACACACACACACGCACGACCCACGTGAAACCCACGAGCACGGGTGTGGTGCTGACAAACCTAGAAACATAATCGGGGCGAACCGGGATTCGAACCCACAATCATTAGGTTTCTGGCGTGCCCAAGGGACGCAACTCTGCACAGCGAATCGCGACGACTGGGCCACCCGTGCCCCCCGCAACTGAATTATATAACGTCAATCATATATGAAATCCAGACCTAACCAATTGAACATTTGAATCTAACGATTTCATATGGCCACACGCTGAAAAATAACAAACATGACATAGCGTATTTTTGTTGATAATTGAAGAAACAAAACTGCAAGCGATTGAGTGGCATTGGCTAACCAAACAATATTTTGCATTTATGTTTCCATGAACCGTCAAAATAGGCCACGCCAACTAACAAACTACTGTTTTTTGATTGGCTGATAATACAATGTGACTTACCGTATTCGACGTAATAAGCGCCCAGGGCGCTCTCAAAATTAGAAATAGGGGGCTCTTATTAAAATGTTATTTTGGTCGAAAAAAACAGAGTTGAAAGATACATTTCGTGGTTTATGCTGACAGCCTGAAATGTTTATGTACGACAGATATATTTTTCCAGAATTAAATGCCCATAATTAAGGGTGCATATAACACACGAGTGCGTATTATACGCGAATAAATAAGTCTTGTGTACATTGATCAATCGGAAGGGGTGCTCATTGGGATTGTTCCCAAACCAATTTCTTGGGCGCTTATTAGAGCGGGGCGCTCATTACGTCGAATACGGTGTGTTGTATTGTTGCGCTGAACGATGTCCCTGATTTCGTACCGTTGCCTAGTCTTGTGTGTTTTAATAATTAAATAAGCACTCTGTAAAGTTATTATTGTTGACGTATATATTAATAAGGATTGACTTCAGTACGTATATATGCGTTTATGGAGGTATAAACGTAAACACAGATGTGCACGTTTTGCGTTACACAGTAAACACACCGGTTGTCACGTGTTGTCACGTGTTGTCCCTACATAAACGCAAAAGAATATTGCAGTCAATTTGTAATCAAAAATCATCGTTGATAATAAACAGAATGTAAAACTCGTTCTAATTCATATCAATTTTATGTCTCGGCCCTCGCTATATCTCTGAACAGGTAGAAAGTATTGCACTCTGGACAGAAACTTGATATGAATGGGAGGCTCGATTAATATCGAATAGATGTGAAATATCTGATCAACATTGTGAATACGATTTCGGTAACAGCTGTATGAACAGAAATGACGTCACTTTCGAGATGCTGTGATGTGCCTTCTTTGTGGAATCTGGAGAAAACCCCATCAATCCTAATCTTTAAAAGATCAGAAAGGAAGGGATAGGGGGTGGGGGTGGGTGAGGGGTTGGGGTTCTTTACAGTACGGCAACAACAGTAAGAAAGTAAATCAATGTTTATTTAATAAATACATATTATGCTGTGGGAAATTAGAGTTATATACATCTTGTCTTCAAGCTATTTTCAAAACATCGCTGATGTTAGGATTTCGTCAATTTCTTCATTTATTTCCATTGCATCATCTATTCGTGAAAGCGTGATGTGGTCAATGTCGCACCGACTATAATTCGACGTGTGACAGTTGAATAACGCAACTAAACATGCGGCCAAATCGGCACGATGTAGACATTTTTGTGACGTCAAACATGCTTACGCGCAAGACTGCGACTGAAACATGCTACAAATCAACAAGAAAACAGCGTTATCACTATCCCCCGTCATGAGGCACAAAATGGAATTGTGTTTGTTCACATAGTAGTAACTATTATGAGGTTAATGTTGAAATACACTGAGTAAGGGCCTTAACGAGTCTTAACGGGCCTTATAAGTACACATAGCATGGGATGTGACTCTGGAAACATACTATTTATGGCACCAATTTTCGAACTCTTGATAATTAGGTGTCTCTTCGATAAGCTTGCAAAATTTTATTCATGTAACTTAAATTGTTTCTGATAAAAAACTGTCCCCATTCCAGACACTCTGGACTAAGTAAAACAATTAAGGAAACACAAAAACAAAACTTTCTTTAGAGATATCAAAACATAAAAGGCACCAGTTCAGCATGTGTTTCATACATATGCAAAGTTCCATAATAAAGTATTAAACAGTTTTCGAGTAATGCTCCGGAAACGAATGCTAGACGTATTTGAGTCTAAATCCAGTTTGTTGCCAAGGAAACACAAAAAGTACATTTTTTTCCAGAAATATCAATAGGCACAAGTTCATCATATGTTTGATACAAAGTTTCTTAATATATTATGAAACGGTTTCCGTGTAATGCTCCGGAACGAAACCCCTGACGGATGGACGAACAGACGCGTGGTATTAACCCACCCAAACTAGAGACTCGATCGTTTAGTTACAACAGAGATTGGCTGTATCTTTGCTTGACAGGTTTTGGACATCTCGGGCTACGCACTCTAACCAGTCAAGCCGTTTAGGAGTGGGATAGAGTATAACTTACTCGACGGGTGACGACGAACTGGAAAGCTGCCTGACAGCGTTAGTGTATTATCGTACCCCGACGGTGTATAGCTCACATTTACCCGGGAACCATTATTGGCCGAACATGTCTGTTCAAGTTATATCACCTATACGTTTTTGAAGCACACCTAAAGGCTCATATCCAATTGGCCTAACCGTTCACTCGAATTAATGCATGATACACACATAAATATTTTGTTTGTAATCGGTATCAGTAATTGAAAACCGAACGCTTGAAGTCAATTTGTATTTGTAAATAATAACAGGTCCCCTGATCAAGGGCAGATAACTCTAACAACATCACCACCATTTCCCGCGGGTTCGGTGCAGACCGTTTCCTGATTGTTTCCAAATGTTGCAGTCGTACAATTGAATGCAAGGTTCTCAGATGTATCTGAGGAAAAACAGTTAGATGCAAAATGTAGATATACATTGGTCTGATTAAGATACGTCAGTTGTGTGGAATTGAAAAACATTTAGTGACGTCACGATCTGGAATAATAACAAAACAACATGGCCACCCATAGAGGATCAGGGGGCCAGGGAAGGAAGAAAGTGCAGGTAGAGACCATGCCAGTTTGTTAAGCATAAAGAAGATGTATCATTGTTCATATTTAAAAATATGCCTTGTTTCTTTGACCTTATTTATTGCCAGTTATACAATGCAATGGGGCCATGGTCTGACGGTTACATATTACACATTGAGTGATTTACACCAACAAATACAATCTCATCATGTAAGAAATAGACTGTGCAAGATTGATATGCATTGAGCTGTTCTGTTAATGATTTTGGCAGTACTGGGTGCACTTTTACAGGTTCCAATTAAGTGCTGCATGGGTAGAGGAGGAATATAGTCGGGTTGGTCAAATTTAATAGAAGCGGGGCTAGGCCAATGACATAATAAGCCAATCCTTTACACAAAACCATGGTCACTATTATACATAGGCTAACATCATGCTTGTTAACCAAGTGATTAGCACCGAGTTAACTCATCTGCACAAAAATGTAAACAGTCATCACATAATGTGCTCATCACTGGTTCGCTTAGGATGCCACCCTGTCTTTCTTGCTTGAAACTTCTAACATTGCTTGCTTCAGGATATCATGATAGTTTGCAGGTGAAACAGAAATACAAGGCATTGTAACCCTTATTTTGTGGTATTTACCGTTGCCTATTGTGGAATAATCACTTTGGATAATGACATGCACCAACTGGGATGTTTGGTATGATGCAGGCCTAGTTTGGCAAGTCCAACTCAATTGTAATGATGTTTTGGTATAGACCAACACGATCGAATTGTGGATGGGGTGGTGTGTTGAAACAATCCTTTAAAAGACCTTTAAATTTCATATTTTAAAAAAAAATTGTGTTCGCAGAAGTATCTGTCCATGATACATGTTCACTGCCTTCCTTTTGCTCATGGGACCGCCTCCGTGGTCTAGTGGTAGAGCGTCTGCCCGGAGAGCGGAAGGTCCGGGGTTCGATCCCCGACCGCGTCATACCAAAAGACGTTAAAAGATGGTACTTGTTGTTACCCTGTCTGGCGCTCGGCATTAAGGGGCTAAAACAAGGACTGGTCGGCTCGGAGTCAGTATTCTGTGTCTGAGTTGGGTATTCATGTTAAACTGCGGCATGGTATCTCAGTGAGCTAGCACTATAAATCGGCATCAGTCCGGACTAGTACAAGCAGCCACACAAACACACACACGTACATGCACATCGCTATATAAGTGCAATGATCTTGGACGCGATGTTAAACCCCATTTCACCTCACCTCCTTTTGCTCATTGTTCAAACCTGTTATCCTCACAGAAAAGACAGTTCACTAATCATGTTAATAAAACCTCACCTTCCACTCTCCCACATTTTCACAAATACATCATTAAATTACGGAAATGGCAGTTTGAATGATTTTGCTCTATAATCATGATAATGGTATGTACCTACTGATAACTTTATTGGTGCATATATCTTGTGAGAAACGTACTTGCCCCTGAAAACAATCGTATCAGCAAAGTGTCAAACAAGCATGGCAGTGTAAATAAAAGTTTTCGTTCCTAGGGACATTTTTGCACATTGATGAGTGCAGATCATAATTCCTTCCTTCTGGTGTCCAGTATTCTGCATTCTATCCATTCTTGCCATTCCAATTTTGTGTCCAAATATGGATTTAGTGGTTTGGCACTGAATCATTACGCCAGAAACATGATAAAGGCTGCCTCTGGTGTAGTGGATGGAGCGCCTACCCAGAGAGTGGAAGGTTGGTGGTTCGATCCCCAGGCCACATCATACCAAAAGACTTGTAACATGACTGGCGCTCAACAATACAGGGATAAGACATGGACTTGCAGGCTCGGAGTATAATGGAGTATAAAGGAGTACAATGTGTCAGAGTGAAGTGTCCATGTAAAATTGTGGCATGGTAGTCCGGACTTGTAGAAGCAGACACACACGTGCTTGCACTTCACAATATATGAGGCCCGTGAAGATCCGGGGTAGAATAGGTCATCAGCAACCCATGCTTGTCGTAAAAGACGAATATGCTTGTCGTAAGAGGCGACTAACGGAATCGGGTGGTCAGGCTCACTGTCTTGGTTGAAGCATGTCATCGATCCCAATTGCGTGGATAGATGCTCATGTTGTCAATCACTGGATTGTCTGGTGGAGACTCGATTACTTACAGACCGCCGTCATATAGCTGGAATATTGCTGAGTGAGGCAAACAAACAAACACTATATATGAGCAAGAGTAGTGAAATTATGTTGGAACGTGACGTTAAGCCCCATTTCACCTCACTGCAGAACCACAGGTTTGTTTAGAAAGCCTGGAATATTACTGGTTTCAAAACCACAAACAATGTCAGCACCATGCATGATTTCATGGGTTTCACCAAAGTGGTAAATGTCTGAGACCTGCATCACTTCGGGCTTTACTCCCACATCAAGGTGATAGTGATACATCCAGCATAAAATACTATTAAAGCTGCATTAAACCCAACTCACTCGCAAACAAACAATATATGACATTTGAGTCTGTTGATGAGATGTCAGGATGAATGCCAACCAAACAGTATATCAGGAATTTTCAGAAAAAGTTACCATTTTTTCTGAAAAAAAATATGAAAAAATGACCACTCTCGTATCATGTTGTATACTTGCACAAACAAATTAGATCACTGTTAACAAGGCTATAAAAATGATTGATTTAGTGTGATTAGTGTTTAGCTAAGGATGTCCTGTTCATCCAGGTCACTGTGATATGTCTCCCATCATGTTTGCCCGTTTCAATGGTTAGCTTCATTTGTTGTAGGTGTCGTTTGTGATGCGCGAGGAGGTGGAGCGTCACCACAGGTCTGGTGTGAATGCGTTACAGTTTGATCCACTGCTCAACAGACTGTACTCTGCAGGGCGAGACTCCATCATCCGGATATGGAACACAAGAACAAACAAGGCAAGAATTTGTTGTACATATTCATATATATCATTATATATAGAAACACTCCATCCATCCGTCACTTAACTCAAGAGCCATTATTATAACCCCGACCTTTTAGGTCTGGGGTATATAGTTATACCAACATGACCAAGGTTCCGTCCATCCGAAAACTTTGTCCTTGCAATTTCTCTTAAACTATTCAGTGGATTCATCTCAAACTTAGTACATATAATCCGTGTCATATGGAGGGGTGCAGTCAATGAAAAAAAATTGTTTTTTTTAATGAATTTTTCAAACCCTAACCCTATCCATTATTTAACATGTTTAAATTGAAACTACTGACACACTAGGCGGGTCGGGGGTATTAGTAAGCCACGCTCACTTTTGCCCTTGTTTATCTTGACTTGCTCAGAGGCTGATATTTGGCCCCAAGTCTACATTTCCCAATTCAGGATTAAAAAATTCCCATTATTTGTTTGGTAGAGATAACCTGTATTTCACTGGTAACAGGACCGATAATTAGGAAGAGGTTTTAAGGCTTAGTTTAAATTATTAAGTTGAATACAATCTCCAAAAACACTGTCAAATGCATCTAAATTTAAGAATTACAGATTTTTCCCCCCATTTGCCTGCCCAGGGACTTAGTTTAGAATCCCTTGTAAATCCCTGTTCACTAACAACTATCATTAGTTTATGGACAAGTAGTTTATAGGTTGCTTGGTGTATGATCCGAAATGCTAGTCAAGGTGAGAAAGTTTTCCATAGTCATGTTTGTGTTGTGTGTTACAGGACCCCTACATTCTGTCCATGGAGCATCACACTGACTGGGTGAACGACATCGTCCTCTGCTGTAATGGCAGAACATGTAAGCTCCGATCATTCAAATGTTGAAAAGAAATTAAGATCTTATGTCTTGAACGTGTGAAACAAGCACAGCCAAGTCTTTGATAGGCATTGAGAAGTTGGAAGAGCATGGAGACATGACACTTTCATGGATAACAACTTTATTGTTTGTCACGATATTTGGGACTATTCCTTGCCCTTTTGTCATCATTTTCCTGATGTTGTTAAAGAAGTTGTTATCCATAACTCTGTGGGTGGCATGGGTGGCCCACTTGTCTACATCTTCCCAAGGCAAGGGAGTTAACTGACTAAAAACGTCCAGTTTCCACCCTTGCCGAACTTGGCTGGTATTATGGAGTTACATTTTGGCTGGACTAACGAGTCTATGCATAGTCCAATCAAAATCGGGCAACGAAATCGAAATCCGGTTCGTAAACTGTTGTGCAGATTTCGGTTGATTGCAGGATTTGCAAAGCATGTGCACCGCCAACTCGTTGTCAAGAGATACTTTCCAAATCTTTTCATGTTTTTAATCAAGGTGCTCACGCATTGCGTGATGTAAGACCCGTTTTATCACAACATAGACCTTGATTATCGATCAGATCGTCTTTACTGGGCGCCACTGTTTTGTTTCAAGCAAATGCAAGTGATACGAGAGATGGAATCTGATTGGTCTGAAGGAGAGGCTTAGAAGGGTCGTAACTCATAATAGCCACTGGTGGCGCTAGGATAGAGCCCAGTAATACCAGCCTAGTTCGGCAAGGGTGGAAACTGGACTTTTAAAGTCAGTTAACTCTCTTGCCTCGGGAAGATGACTTGTCTAAGACTCAGCAATTCACTGTGAAGAGTTGTGACCCCTGGGCACACCAGAAACCCATGGTCGCCTGCTCGAATTCTGGATTGCCTTGTTTATGTTTCTAGGTTTGTCAGCACCGTACCCGTGCTCGTGGGTATCGTGAAAGTGGTCAGCATCTTTGTTTGTTTGTATGGTGTTTAACGCTGCACTCAGCAATATTCCAGCTATATTATGGTATGTAAATAAACGAGTCTGGACCAGACAATCCAGTAATTGTCATCATACGCATACGATGACATGCATGAACCAAGTAAGCAAGCCTGACCACCCCATCCTGTTAGCTGCCTCTTAGGACAAGCATAGTCGCCTTTTAGGCAAGCATGGGTTGCTGAAGACCTATTCTAACCCGGATTTCACGGGTCTGTCAACATCTAAGACCTGCATAACTTTGGCTTTCCTCTCGCATCAAGCTGACACATTGTGATGTGACAGGAATGCTGTTCAAAGCTGCATGAAACCCAGATCACACACTCACTTACAAATGTGTCATGTCTTGCAAAACAACCACATGAATGATGATGTATTCTCTTCATAATCCTTCACCTGATAAATAAGTCTTCAGCATCCCATGCTTGCCATACAAGGCGACAGTGCTTGTTGTTAGAGGCGACTAACGGGATCGGGTGGTCAGACTCGCTGACTTGGTTGATGCATGTCATCGTATCCCAATTGCGTTGATCGATGTTCATGATGTCAATCACTGGATTGTCTGGGGGCACAGGTGGCCCAGTCGTCTAAGGCGCCACGATTTGCTGTGCAGAGTTGCGTCCCTTGGACACGCCAGAAACCTATGATATTGGTTTGCCCCAATTATGTCAGCACCATACCCGTGCTTGTGGGTTTCACCGAAGTTGTGAACGTCTGAGACCTGCATCACTTCGGGCTTTCCTCCCACATCAAGCTGACACGCCGTGATATAACTGGAATACTGTTAAAAGCGGCGTTAAACCCAACTCACTCACTCACTCACTGGATTGTCTGGTCCAGACTCCATTATTTACAGACCGCCATCATATAGTTGGAATATTGCTGCATGCGGTGTTAAACAACAAACAAACAAACCTGATAAAGGGGCAAGAAGTAACCCTGAAACATCGTTACAAACATTAAACTATTGTTAAAGTGTCATGTCTTCAAAATTAGCCGCTTGGGAGAAGCAGGTTTAATGGGGAGATTAAGGTGTCATGGTCAGGTGACCTTTATGTGTAATTTCCCATGATGACAATATCTGATGAACATGACTGTTGGTGTTTCAGTAATCTCCGCCTCCAGTGATACAACTGTCAAAGTATGGAACGCTCATAAAGGGTTTTGCATGTCAACGTTACGGACACATAAGGTAGGTCTTCATTACTTGGATGCGTGTATAAGATCGTCAAGCGGCAACTAAAACATCAAACTTCAGTCATGTACACACAACTAACTTGCTCAACACCTTTTCATAGAATATTAAACTTGAATATCTTTATGTTTTATGATGAGATTTAATTGCTTTAAAGTGACCTGTTATTAGGCATGTAAATATTTAAAAAAAATTGGTCACTAATCATGCAAACGCTTTATCATGTTTATAAATGAAAAACTATATCACACCTGGTACATGGGTATTCATTAATTTTTTAACTTATCCTTTCTCACACTGTGCATTTCTTCTTTCAATCCTATATGGAAACTTCCTTGAACAAAGTTTCCAGCTTCTAAAAAAACAAATCACCCGAACACATCCCAGCATCAACATGGTCACCACCCAAACAAATGGGTCAAGCACTGTAATTTTATGCATATCGACCTACACAACCTGATCACATGATTACTCCTGCCACGCCATTCTCTTTCTCATCGCCACACAGTGGAGACGTGCACTGAATGTTTTACCGAATATAATTTTTTATGCTGAATTACCTCCAACATTGTATAGATTTACGTTACAATCTGAGTGATGATGAGCCAGGAACCTTTTCCAACACTGACCCTCACGAATTATCTTGTGACTGCCATGGCCAGTGCAGTGTTGACAAGCATTGATCATTGACACCGTGACATAACTCAACTGTTCAAAGTGGCATACAAACCATAGTGACACACACTCATATATATTGTATGGAATGCTAAGGAGTCATCTATGTTACAGGATTATGTGAAGGCGTTAGCGTATGCGAGAGACCGAGAGCAGGTGGCATCTGCTGGACTAGATCGAGCCATCTTCCTGTGGGACGTCAACACTCTGACTGCCCTCACTGCATCTAACAACACTGTCACCAGTGAGTACCAACATCTAGGGGTGTAACCATAGATCAAACACTGTCCCCAGTGTAACCATAGATCAAACACTGTCTCCAGTGTAACCATAGATCAAACACTGTCCCCAGTGTAACCATAGATCAAACACTGTCTCCAGTGTATACCAACATCTACTAGGGGTGTAACCATAGATCAAACACTGTCTCCAGTGTAACCATAGATCAAACACTGTCTCCAGTGTAACCATAGATCAAACACTGTCTCCAGTGTATACCAACATCTACTAGGGGTGTAACCATAGATCAAACACTGTCTCCAGTGTAACCATAGATCAAAACTGTCCCCAGTGTAACCATAGATCAAACACTGTCTCCAGTGTAACCATAGATCAAACACTGTCCACAGTGTAACCATAGATCAAACACTGTCTCCAGTGTAATCATAGATCAAACACTGTCTCCAGTGTATACCAACATCTACTAGGGGTGTAACCATAGATCAAACACTGTCTCCAGTGTAACCATAGATCAAAACTGTCCCCAGTGTAACCATAGATCAAACACTGTCTCCAGTGTAACCATAGATCAAACACTGTCCACAGTGTAACCATAGATCAAACACTGTCTCCAGTGTAATCATAGATCAAACACTGTCTCCAGTGTATACCAACATCTACTAGGGGTGTAACCATAGATCAAACACTGTCTCCAGTGTAACCATAGATCAAAACTGTCCCCAGTGTAACCATAGATCAAACACTGTCTCCAGTGTAACCATAGATCAAAACTGTCCCCAGTGTAACCATAGATCAAACACTGTCTCCAGTGTAACCATAGATCAAACACTGTCCACAGTGTAACCATAGATCAAACACTGTCCCCAGTGTAACCATAGATCAAAACTGTCCCCAGTGTAACCATAGATCAAACACTGTCTCCAGTGTAACCATAGATCAAAACTGTCCCCAGTGTAACCATAGATCAAACACTGTCTCCAGTGTAACCATAGATCAAACACTGTCCACAGTGTAACCATAGATCAAACACTGTCCCCAGTGTAACCATAGATCAAACACTGTCTCCAGTGTAATCATAGATCAAACACTTATCATCATTCAGACCCAGATGCGTGATTAACACAAGACATTTATGTGAGTAGAATAGCTTCTTCAGTGACAGAAGTAGACCATGTATTGTGTTGTTTGCAGCGTCCAGCCTGACCGGGAACAAGGACTCCATCTACAGCCTGACAATGAACCCTCCCGGGACTGTCATCGTGTCAGGCTCCACGGAAAAGGTGCTCCGAGTTTGGGACCCGCGCACATGTCAGAAACTAATGAAGTTGAAAGGGCACACGGACAACGTCAAAGCATTGGTTCTAAACCGTGATGGAACACAGGTAGGATGACACCCTTTCCTCACAATCATTTGATAAAGCACTGGATTCTCTCATAGTTAACAACAACAAAACATTTACTTGACATTATGGATGTCCTGAGACAAAGGTAATTATTATTTTCCTGCAATTTATGTCTTGTTTTCCATATCCATAACAGGGTGAAAACAGCTCGCCAAAACACAACCTAGAAGCCAGTCACCCATTCCAACCCTTGAATGTCCTCTTGCTTCAACTTGCTATGTACGAGATGGGGATCCTCCCTTCTCCACCTGTAGGGATGCTGCAGTGACACTTATGCCTGTTCCAGTGGTGCCTTCAGCTGATCCAGTGACACCTATGCCGGCTCAAATGGTGCCTGCGCTGATCCAGTGACACGTATGCCGGCTCCAATGTCACCTGCACCTGATCCAGTGACACGTATGCTGTCGCCAATGTCACCTGCGCCTGATCCAGTGACACGTATGCCGGCTCCAATGTCACCTGCACCTGATCCAGTGACACTTATGCCGGCGCCAATGTCACCTGCTCCTGATCCAGTGACACGTATGTCGGCTCCAATGTCACCTGCAGCTGATCCAGTGACACCTATGCCGGCTCCAATGTCACCTGCACCTGATCCAGTGACACGTATGCCGGCTCCAATGTCACCTGTGCCTGATCCAGTGACACGTATGCCGGCTCCAATGTCACCTGCACCTGATCCAGTGACAGTTATGCTGTCGCCAATGTCACCTGCGCCTGATCCAGTGACACTTATGCCAGCTCCAATGGTGCCTGCAGCTGGTCCAGTGACACTTATGCCGGCTCCAATGGTGCCTGCACCTGATCCAGTGACACCTATGCCGGCTCCAATGGTGCCTGCAGCTGGTCCAGTGACACTTATGCCGGCTCCAATGTCCCCTGCACCTGATCCAGTTACACGTATGCCGGCTCCAATGTCACCTGCACCTGATCCAGTGACACCTATGCCGGCTCCAATGGTGCCTGCACCTGATCCAGTGACACCTATGCCGGCTCCAATGGTGCCTGCACCTGATCCAGTTACACGTATGCCGGCTCCAATGTCACCTGCACCTGATCCAGTGACAGTTATGCTGTCGCCAATGTCACCTGCGCCTGATCCAGTGACACTTATGCCAGCTCCAATGGTGCCTGCAGCTGGTCCAGTGACACTTATGCCGGCTCCAATGGTGCCTGCACCTGATCCAGTGACACCTATGCCGGCTCCAATGGTGCCTGCAGCTGGTCCAGTGACACTTATGCCGGCTCCAATGTCCCCTGCACCTGATCCAGTTACACGTATGCCGGCTCCAATGTCACCTGCACCTGATCCAGTGACACCTATGCCGGCTCCAATGGTGCCTGCACCTGATCCAGTGACACCTATGCCGGCTCCAATGGTGCCTGCACCTGATCCAGTGACACTTATGCCGGCGCCAATGTCACCTGCAGCTGATCCAGTGACACTTATGCTGGCTCCAATGGTGCCTGCAGCTGATCCAGTGACACTTATGCCAGCTCCAATGGTGCCTGCAGCTGATCCAGTGACACTTATGCTGTCTCCAATGGTGCCTGCAGCTGATCCAGTGACACTTATGCCGGCTCCAATGGTGCCTGCAGCTGATCCAGTGACACTTATGCTGTCTCCAATGGTGCCTGCAGCTGATCCAGTGGCACTTATGCCAGCTCCAATGTCACCTGCAGCTGATCCAGTGACACCTGTGCCGGCTCCTATGGTGCCTGCAGCTGATCCAGTGGCACTTATGCTGTCTCCAATGGTGCCTGCAGCTGATCCAGTGACACTTATGCCAGCACCAATCTTACCTGCAGCTGATCCAGTGACACTTATGCCGGCTCCTATGGTGCCTGCAGCTGATCCAGTGGCACTTATGCTGTCTCCAATGGTGCCTGCAGCTGATCCGGTGACACTTATGCCAGCTCCAGTGTCACCTGCAGCTGATCCGGTGACACTTATGCCAGCTCCAATGTCACCAGCAGCTGATCCGGTGGCACTTAATCCGGCTCCAATGTCACCTGCAGCTGATCCAGTGACACTTATGCCGACTCGATTGTCACCTGCAGCTGATCCGGTGGCACTTGCTCCGGCTCCAATGTCACCTGCAGCTGATCCAGTGCCAGTTATGCTGGCTCCAATGTCACCTGCAGCTGATCCAGTGACACTTATGCCGGCTCCAATATTGCAGATGCGTTTCACTAATGTCTACCTCTAGGGAGAGGGCAAACTAAGTTGGAAGTACTTGTCCCTCTATTCCGTTCACGTCTTGTGAGTAAATATGTTTCAACCAAACCTGTGCTTGTGTTTTTCAGTGTTTGTCTGGTAGCTCCGATGGCACTATCAGGTTGTGGTCACTTGGTCAACAGCGGTGTGTGGCCACGTTCAGGGTACACAACGAGGGAGTGTGGGCATTACAGGTGAGTCCAAAGGTCACAACAGTCTCATGTCTTCACACCGTGACAGAGACTTCATTCAGCTACTATAGGTCCTTTCTTCAGTACACTGCATACAGTAATTGGTTTGGTTTGTTTATTGTTTAACGCCGCACTCAGCAATATTCCAGCTATATGACGGCGGTCTGTAAATAATCGAGTCTGGACCAGACAATCCAATGATTGATATCATGAGCATCGATCCACGCAATTAAGACCGATGACGGCATCAACCAAGTCAGCGAGCCTGACCACCCGATCCCCTTAGTAGCCTTTTACGACAAGCAAAGTCGCCTTTTACGGCAAGCATGGGTTGCTGAAGACCTATTCTACCGTGGAATCTTCACGGGTTCATACAGTAATTTGCACATATTGTCTTGAAAATGTGTATTCACTTTTCAGTATTGTTGTTTATACCAAGGCAACGGTTCTTTGTTTTCCTGTTTATGTATTCAAACGACACCTAAAGACAGTGATTAGAAAACATATGTTTGATCACTCCTCGATCTTTGATCATGTATGTTGATTATAAAAATAAAGGTATATAACAACATAAACTAAACTAAAGGTAAGTCTGTTTTGCGTACTAACAATGAATACCTATTGAAAGATTTATCACATTACTTATTATATGCTTGTGAAAAACGAAAATCGTTTGTAATGAACTGACAGAGTCCTTGTGAGTTTGTATATTATATGTATTTGTGTATCCATGTATTGTATCACCTACTTGCTGTGTGTATGTGGTTCTTTATATGGGCCTAAGGCTTTCATGCAAATAAACATCTTCTTAACAAAAGTTAACTGATGATGATGATGAGTTGCTCTGTTTCAGGCTAATGAATCCTTCTCGATTGTGTATTCCGGTGGCAGGGACCGCCAGATCTGGGCAACAGACATCAAGAACCCAGACAATAGAACTCTTATTTGTGAAGAAAAGTTTCCAGTTTTAAAAGTAAGTAATCAGTGTGGAGTTATTGTTTTTTCGAAAATGGAATATAATCCTAGTGTCTTTTTGTAAGTAATTTGTACTGAGTGGGGAGTCCTTTACCATATATTTAAATACACCGTATTTTCTTTTGCAACCTGGTACTGTACAGGTATGTTCAATTCTAGGGACATTTTGACATGCTGACTGCAAGTGGATGTTAGTGTGATCAGTACCACAAGACTGCTTCTGTGGTCTAGTGGATAGAGCATTGGACCTCCAGACTGGAAGGTCGGTGGGTTGATCCCAGGCTGTGTCATACCAAAAGATGTTAAAAGATGATTCTTGTTACGCTGCCTGGTATCAGATATTGAGGTGATGAAAAAGAAGACTGGTCATCTCAGAGTCCCTATACTGTGTCAGAGTGGGTTGCCCATGTCAAGCTTCTACATGCTATCTCAGTGGGCTAGCACTATAAAAGTGGCATCAGTCTGTTCTAGTACAAGCAGCCACACACACTCGCATGTACGTCACTATATAAGTGCAGTAATCTTGAATGCAACCCAATTTCACCTCAACTCAACTCAACTCAACTCAACTCAACTCTCCTCAGAACCACAACTTTAATATATTCCGGCTTACATCTACAGAATGCTGTGGAGACACTAACTGTATAGCTCACTGTGTTACTTGACCCCATGGGGATACCTAGTCGGGCTGGGACAATTCCAAATTTACTACCCGGGTACCCACCCCTTATTATCCGACCCTACCCGGGTACCCAATGTAAGTCTCAAGAGATACAAAATGTCCGATTGGGAATATTTTTACCACAGCATTTCCAAAACGTATTTAGATGCATGTATTTAACAGTCTGGTCATGCATACACTGAAGTTGACTTAAGTTATATTTTTATTCAACCACATGAAAAGTCAGAAGGTATGGGTGCACAGTCAGAAAGAAATGCCAACATTAGTGACTTGAAGTGTAAACATAGAGTTCCAGATAATTTTTGTCATTAAACAATAAATCAAGTGACTTACCACGGGTCCGGGTAGTCCTGCTCAGTACCCACCCGACCCGGGTACCCTAGTTACCCGTCACAGCGCTAATTCCTAGGGTAGAAGTGGCCCCCAGCTGGCTTAGAGATGACCTCATGGATTGGGCGGTCAGGCGTGTACACTTTGTTACTAGTGTGCCATTATGCCCCAACAGCATGAGATAGGAATGACGGGATTGTTTGGTGTAAAGCTGGAATATTTAGGAGTGTGTTGTTAAATAAACAAATGACTCTGGATTCTGGTGTCCACCCTAGATGGTCTTATCGTTCATGTGTCATCAGGTTCGTTATAGTATTGAAACATTATGTTTTTGTTTCCTTTCAGCTTGAACTCCACACGGAGCAGCCATCGTTATGGGTGGCCACTACCGACTCCAGTATTAGGAACTGGGTAGGATATGCTCAGCCTTATTGTTCTTTGGAATCTTCATGTACTGTAGGGACCGCCTCCGTGGTCTAGTGGTAGAGTGTTCGCCCGGAGAGCGGAAGGTCTGGGGTTCGATCCCCGGCCGTGTCATACCAAAAGATGTTAAAAGATGGTACTTGTTGTTACCCTGTCTGGCGCTCGGCATTAAGGGGCTTAAACAAGGACTGGTCGGCTCGGAGTCAGTATTCTGTGTCTGAGTGGGTTATTCATGTTAAACTGCGGCATGGTATCTCAGTGAGCTAGCACTTTAAATCGGCATCAGTCCGGACTAGTACAAGCAGCCACACAAACACACACACGTACATGCACATCGCTATATAAGTGCAATGATCTTGGACGCGACGTTAAACCCCATTTCACCTCACCTCATGTACTGTAGTGTCCCACTGTTTAGTACATTACATGGTGTGGAAATATGGCAGTGTGCACTGGGTCTATCAGTTGCATCAGATCTATCAGAAGTCTCTGTTGTCTTGTGGATAGAGCTCTTCCTGGGGAGCGAAGGGACAATGTTGCAATCCTTAGTCACACCATACCAAAAGATGTTAAAGTATAGTACTAGTTGCTACCCTGTCTGGGTGTTGAAGGGGCGGTCGGGTAGCCTAGTGGTTAAAACGTTCGCTCGTCATGCTGAAGACCCGGGTTCGATTCCCGACATGGGTACAATGTGTGAAGCCTATTTCTGGTGTCCCCCGCCGTGATATTGCTGGAATATTGTAAAAGCGGCGTAAAACCATACTCACTCACCCTGGGTGTTGAACAAGGGGCTAAAACAAGGAGTGGTCAGCTCAGAGTCAGTATACTGTGTCTGACAGAGATGTTCATGTTAGACTGCAGCATGGTATCTCAGTAGGCTAGATGTATAAAACCAGCATTAGTCTGGACTGTTAACAACACAAACAATCGGAACCATGTGCAAGCACATCGTTATATAAGTACTATAATCTTGAACATGACATTAAGCCTTTTTTCACCTCACCTGTAGAGTTGTGTCCCTTAGCCATGCCAGGATCTGCTGCTGACAGGCCAAATTCCTCCTGATTATGATCTATTGTCTGTCAGCACCATATCTACTGGTTCCCTTAAAGTTGTAAACATCTACAATCTGTCTCACCTTTGGCTTTCCTCTCACTTTAAGCTATCACGCCGCGAAATAACAGAAATAATGTTTACTAGGTGTCAGTGATTTAAACACATGTAATGCTCCTGTATAGTTGCTGGAGTCAGTGTTTTGTGTGAAGTTAAACTATTAACTCAATGTTTGAATCATATTTCAGCCAATCAAAGTCCCCAATGCCAGAACATCAGGAGAATATGACAATGAGAGTTACCATCCTGCTTTTACACAGCCTGATTTTACCATCAAAGGTACGCATTGTATTTTTTTGGATGTAATTTATTGTAGAGCTAGCTATCTGATATTTTATTTTATTTGATTTTTTATCTTACCTTTTAACTATTTATTTTATTAACTAAAGATTTTTAGTATTTAAATAAAACATGGTATCTCACCTCCATCGCAGAATGTTGAGATCTGATTGGTTCATGTGATCTTTATAAAATACTATGCCGCCTGGGAGGGAAATACATTTCTGAGCAGGAGAATACACCAATTATACCCCACCCTGAAGACAACAGGCCGCACATGGATTTCTGAGCTGGAGAAAAAGTCTCTTGGATCCCAATATGAAGCAGAAAGCTGCACATTTACCAATCAATGAAAGTCACGTGACACAGCACCCCTCACTAGGTTATAAACCACTCGCCTCCGGCTTGCGGTAAAAAAACAAACACGGGATGCATAAAATCACATTTACAGTGTTATGCTACAACTTATACTACAGTCAATAATACAAATGTATGATAAATAATTATACTATGACTAAATACAGAATTCATTCTAAAGATAAATAATGAGGCAATAAGATGTTTATACAGAGTTGTGTTGTGGACGGTGACAGAAAGGGTATTTCGCGATAAAAGGATTCTGCAGGTTGTCTCTTTATTATCTTGACCTGTGAAGATTCCGGGGTAGAATTGGTCTTCAGCAACCCATGCTTGCTGTAAAAGACAACTATGCTTGTTGTAAGAGGCAACTAACAGGATCGGGTGGTCAGACTCGCTGACTTGGTTTGAAGCACGTCATCGATCCCAATTGCGTGGATCGATGCTCATGATATCAATCACTGGATTGTCTGGTCCAGACTGGATTATATACAGACCGCCGTCATATAGCTGGAATAGTGCTGAGTGCGACGTAAAACAACCATCCAACTATATTATCTGCAACGTAAGATACTAACTTTATCCATCTTTCATGTATACATTTTGAAAATGTTGTTGGCAGTATGGTTGACAGCTTCATAAAAAAAGGAAATCTTTCAGTTTTCGTCATGTCGAAAATACTTGACCTTGATGGTTTGTCTATGTGATAGGTTCTGGTATTTAACTTCTCTGTCATGTGGTGTACTCTCTTCTTTACAGGAGGTCCAAGTATTCGTCAGTACTACGTGTTAAACGACAAACGTTTCATCCTGACAAAAGACACAGATGATTGTGTTGCATTGTGGGATGTTTTAACGGTTAGTGACTATTCATATTTTACATCCATATTAAATTAAAGGGACTTTTCAGACAGATTTGATTTCTGTTCGATATTCAGCCCCAACTCTGAAGCAATTTTCAGTAAAACTTCCCAAATTGGAATAAGACATTATGTTATCAGGTTATGTTTTAGACTTATCCTATCTCACACTATGCATTTCTTCCTTCTTTCAATCCACTGTAACAGCCATGAAAACACCTGTGGTACCATCCCCTCCCGGAAGGACGTTTGCGCAGTCATGTTGAAGGACCAGCCTTATCAGGACTACCATTCTCGTGCAGGCTTCTACCGTTATACCTATTTAAACTGTTATATCAGATCGTCTTGACTGGACGCCACCATTTTCTTTGAAGTAAATGCAAGTGATATCAGAGGTGGAATCAGTTTGGTCAGTAGGAGGGACATAGAAGGGACTTATCTGGTAATAGCCACTGGTGGCTCTACAATGGAGCCACAAAATTCCAGCCAAGGGTGGAAACTAAACTTTTATTGTCAGTTAACGCCTTTGCCTCGTGAAGATGCCCTTTTCTACACATCAAGATTCTTCGCCTGTAGACACTCGTCAGGATTGACATTCACCTAGTTGATCCATGTCTACGTCTCCAGTTCCTGAGCAACCAAAGACCTGCTGTGTCGGCTCCTACTATGGAGATTCCTCCCTCTAGCTACATCCTTAGACCATCATGGCCAGACTAGTGATTCGTCGCAGGACTTAGAGACGCTCCTGCAGGCGTGACTTCTGCTCTACAGCACTGTACTGGGCCACCATTGATACCTCAATGTGACACTGCGACTCCCTTGATGACTCACGCATGAGGTACTCTTCCTGGATCCACAGCTACTGTTTAACCTCATGTTGCTACTGTGTCTCCCGATGTTCTCTTGGATCATCAGTCTTCCCCGCCTCATCTACTGGGAACCTGACATTGTCAACCCACCTATTGTCCTTCCAAGGATTGCAGATAGACTTCAGTTACAATGTAGGGGCACGGGTGGCCCAGTCGTCTAAGGCGACTGTGATTCGCTGTGCAGAGTTGCGTCCCTTGGGCACGCCAGAAACCTTTGATTGTGGGTTCGAATCCCGGTTCTCCCCGATCATGTTTCTAGGTTTGTCACCATACCTGTGCTCGTGGGTTTCACCGAAGTGGTAAACGTCTGAGACCTGCATCACTTCAGACTTTCCTCCCACATTAAGCTGACACGCCGCGATATAACTGGAATACTGTTAAAAGCAGCGTTAAACCAAACTCAATCACTCACTCACTCAGTTACAATGTAGTACTTCTGCCGATGACCAGTCAACATGTTTCGTTGTACCCAGTGCTGGCTCTTTTACCATCACGCTACCTTCCAGGCCCAGCCTGTCTGATGTCGCCACTAACTTGGACAAGGCTTTTGCTACGTTTTGGTGTTTACAAGATGGACTTCAATCTCTGCGGTTCAATACAGAAGATATTGGTACTCATGGTTTGTTGACTACCACCATGAAACCTGAACTGGATGGCGATATTTTGACACTCTTACCCACGCGTTCTGTTATTACATCTACTGTGGATTATCGGGATATCCTCCACTTGGACACCACTGTCTGGTTTACACGCTACGTTCATTGTCTCCTCCAGTTCAGTCCCTTTATCCTGGCGCAGCAACTGACGACTGCCATTCAGCGCAGATAGACGATACTGTACCCACTCCTGTTCACTAGTACTTCGTATCCTGAATATACAGAATAAATATTGGAATCGTCGCTCCTGTGTTTATTGTCCTTCTTATTCATGTTACAAGACTGAGTACCCAGTGGAGGGTGGTCGATCTCATCTGTAGAGACTCTTAAAAAATTAAGTTGCCGCAAGGCGCGGATGTTGTGACGGTGTCCCATACCTTTACCTATCCAACTCTGCCTTATGTTTCAGTACTGCTTTGAAGATCCTCTTGTGGATGTTGTCGATCTTTCCTCTTCTTGTCTTAGCATGTTTTAATCCCGCGGGTGTGATTGATAGCTTTGACAAAGCGTTAAAAGAGATGCCAAGCTGGTTGGATCAGGTCATGTAGGTGGCTATGCATGAGATTACAATGTATGACCCATTTGTTTGGGTCGTGACCATGGTGATGCTTCGAATGTGTTTGGGTGAATTGTTTTTTGGAAGCTGGAAACTTTATTCAAGCATGTTTCCACACAAGGATTAAAAGACGGAAGAAATGCATAGTGTGAGATAGGATAAGTATGATCAATATACAAGTTAATGGAAAATGTACAATTGTGGTGACCGATAAACAAGATGATGTTTTTATGTTCAGTTTTTCATTTTTGTTTTGAATGAAATATTGATATACTCCCAAATTTTAAAATATAAACACTTTTAAGAAAGTTCTTATGATATCTTTCATTTTGGAGATGATTGACATCAAGGAATCGCTTTATAGCTGCAATAGTCACAATGTGATATGAAATTTTAACTCACGACGTGGAGGAAAGTTGACATTGATTGTTCATTTCAGGCAAGGAAAGTTGAAGATTTAGGTAAGAAAGATTTTGAAGAGGAGATCAAGGCCAGAATGAAGACTGTGTACGTGCCGAACTGGTTCTCCGTGGATCTAAAGACTGGGGTACGAACTGTTGGGTGTAGTATTTCCTCAGTTTATACATGCCACCAGCACACAGAATAGGTGGAGTCTGATTATGCATGGGTATGAAAATATCAAAATTGTGAACTTGCCCCTGGCCAAGTAAACTATTAAAATTCACTTGTCCAGATTATTGTCCTAAAATGGTGTTTTAGCTCAGAATATAAGCATGACTAGGCAACGTTATTGTCATCTGCTCGTAGCCACTGGACATTTTGAAGTCATTGTTTCTGAAAATCTTGTTAGTTTCTTTTCATACTTGCTGAGTTTTACTGACTGCAAATTACGATTGTTGTTTTTCTGAGTTCGTATTTGCAACACTATGGTTTTTTCAACCTTAAATAATAAATTTGTTCATAGTTCGGGCGTAATCAAAGTAAACCATATGTTTTGAGCAGCTAGTGCCACAGCTTCTTACAGTACATGGGGCGGTCGGATAGCCTAGTGGTTAAAGCGTTCGGGTTCGACATGGGTACAATGTGTGAAGCCCACTTCTGGTGTCCCCCGCCGTGTTAATGCTGGAATATTGCTAAAAGTGGCGTAAAACCAAATTCACTCACTCACTCACTCTTACAGTACGTTACACAAGTGGCTGCATGGTACACTGATCAATCAATCAGAGAGTGTTTCCTCAAGGGTGATCAGAATTAAGGAAGGGCACAATTCACTGCCATCAGTTGGATTGGTCATACAAAGTTTGCACTTGTTCAAAGCTATATTAAGAACTTGTTATGAATAGTTTATCAAACTTTGCAAAAGGCCTGCTTAATGTTAAGGTTGTCTGCAGACAACTGAAGCCGATCTCAGTTAACAAGTCGGCAAGTCTGGCATTGATTTTCCACACCACTGTTGTATATCATTGTGCCTTGACAAGGGGGACATTACCCAAGATTATTACCCATATGGGCTCAAATATGCAGTGTAATAACTTTTTGATATTTGCACAGTGTGCAATTAGTGATTCTCGAAGCTGATTGGTCAGTTAAACAATGTCAATTTTCATTGGCCGACAGGACTATTTTTCTCTCACTGAGTTCATTCACAAATCCAGGGCATTCATTCACATGTTTTACGTGCTACAATCTCACTTAATCGAGATTTATAAGACTAGAACATAGTTTCATATCAACCACATGATTTCACAGTATTATGAATAAAGCATTTATTTCGCACGAGTTTTAGTTTACAATAAGCGTAATTACAAAAAACAAAACTACGTCTGCATTGTTTGTAAACAAACATGGCTGACCATTTGACACCTGTCAAACTAAATGACCTCGTTAAAGTAGACGGAGATCTGACAGGAAGAGTTATTCACATAATTCAACCTCTGAACACATTTAATGTCTTTGTTGTCAAAACTGCATATGGCCAGATTGAAGTTCCAAGATTCAGATTGTGATGTTGCCAGAAACTGTTTCTAGTGCGCTAAAAATGAACACCACCAAGTCCGGATTTGCGTCTGTGTTAGAGGACTTGCTGTTTGGCGAATCTTTCGACCACACGAATCCCCAAAACCGGACTTTGTATAGACAGGTTTGCCTTTGTGAACGATGATGACATCGATAACTGCCAATGAAAAGGAAAACACAATGAAAAAGACTAAATTTGACAAGTTGACATGAACTTAGTTCAAATTTATACTGGTAAGAAAAACACGAAAATAAGACTACTCACACTTTCAATGATGGCATTAGAATAAAAACAAATTCCTTTTGAAACAACAGTTAGACTTTCCGAAAGACATTATAAACATACGCCATTTCGTAGAATTTAAGTTTGTAACATTGTGTGAAGAAATAAGAACGCAACACTTTTTTATACAATGTATACGTTTTTGTAACCGCGACGTCAGCACAGTACGGCGCTGAGCGGTATGCAGGCTGACTGACGTCCGGGCACAATACGACTATAAGGGTTAATGACACAGGAAAGGTGCAACTAAACATTATTCTTTGCAAATTTATCATTTCGGCATGCACATCAGACAGTTCAGAATTCGAAATGCCTACTTTGAAGGAGATCATGGTAGCACTCGCTTAGCGACAAGATTACCAACATCTGGTTGCAAAATCGATGCACTTTGCTGAACTCAAATAGGTTTTGAAATCAAAACAAAAATAATTAAAAATACAAGGAAAAGAAAACTTACCCCAGCGAGGTGATCCTGTGTCCGACATTGAACTAAATGAACTCCGTGAATGCGGACAGCTTGTCACTAAGTCTCCAGATACCGTGTTAGTCTATCGACAGGTATTCGACCATTATGAATCACATCAAAATATCAACAAACTCACGTTATCTGACTGTGTCCACTCCACAAGCGCGTTCGACAAGTCCTCCTAAAATCCCACATGCACATGTTTCCCATCAGTAACACTTGTCTCAAATCACAAACGATGTTCATTAAACTTGTTGTCCGGATTAAACTGTAACGCCGGTTCTCTTGTCATTCCTGGTTTCGGCTGTCTCATATCTGGGTCAAGTCGGGTCATTCTTTCCGACACTGACAGCAATCGTATTTTTCAAAGTTTACCTACTTGTCGTAACTTTTCTCAATCAAACATGACTTCTGTACATTCCTTCTATGTTGTTGTTATAGGTTTTTGCATTTTTACCGAAATGACACATGAAAAAGTTGACAGGTTTTCCGTGTTTCCTCTTCTCAATGTGAAATTCATGTCCATGGTGATGCACGACGGCTATTGTCTTGTCAATGAGAGGTCTTGTCAAAACAAGCCTTGATTAAAAAGCCTGTTGAACCTTTTTTTGAAAATTGTCTTCTTTTAGCAATGCTAGATAGTGTTCGCTGTGTAACTCAGACAGAAATATAACTGCAATAATGTGATCTTTCAAGTTTTGTTAACAGAACTATATTTTTACGCGTAGCAAGACGTTGATTGAGTAATGCGGTTGGAGTGAGCGGACAGTGTTTTTTCACACGCGGATACAAAACAGCTGATTCTTGATCGGCGACAGTTGATTGTTTTTTTCTTGAAACATGTCTTTAATATGAATATGGGTAATAAATAGAATAACCCACTCGGTACGAGTAAAGCTCGGAACTTAAAACATTAATTTCACTCGTGACATATTTTCCGTAATCACTCGTACCTCGTGGGTTATTCTATAAGTATCAACTGGTTAGCCTGACCTAGTCCAGAGTATTTACAGGCTGCAGACAACTGAAGCCGATCTCTGTTAACAAGTCGGCAAGTCTGGCATTGATTTTCCACACCACTGTTGTATATCATTGTGCCTTGACAAGGGGGACATTACCCAAGAGTATCAACTGGTTAGCCAGACCTAGTCCAGAGTATTTACAGGCTGCTGTGATATATTTAACGCGGCTGAGTGCGGCATAAACAACACTCTCCTACATTTGTAACTTCTAATGACCTGTCACTATATAGCTCACCTAGCCTATATGTATTTTTCTAGCTCCTTACAATCCACTTGGAGGAATCGGACTGTTTTGCAGCCTGGATGTCAATACGAGAACTCGGTCTTCCAATGTCCCCTGATGCCCCGGAGACTAAAAGTAAGATGGAGACACTTATTGCGATAGAAATGTGGGACCTCGCTTTTCAATCTTGTCATTATATTGAAATAGGAGGACATTTTAGACAACAATCAGTAGAGGACAAAGCATGTACGTCAGCCAGGTCCCAATGTTCAATTTTAAATACCTCTAAATTTAGGAATATAAAAACCTTTTAATAAATCCAAATTTTGAACAAAATAATGATTTTCCGCACAGGCACTTAGTTTGGTTTCTAGATAAATCCCTTGGTGTGAAAACTGACGGAAGGTTCAACACAGAATGTTTTTATTCCAGTCAATATCGGCAGTGCCCTACTACAGGCGTTGCTGGAACACTGGCCAAAAGCTCAGGCCGAGGACCCTCAAGGTACTACCGTGTGTGATGTTGTGGTGGTGGTGGTGGTGGTGGTTGTTGTGGTTGTGGGAGGGTTGTCAGTAACACATTGTCAACACTGACCTTCATACACAGAGATCCCTGCATGATTTCCAGTCAGATCAGGTTCCAACCAACCCATGTTTGTAAGAGCTGAGTACATGGTGGTCTCAATAGCAACCTGCCTGATTGGTTGTATTCATACGCCAGGTGTGTGGATCGTTGATCATGCTGTCAGCCATTGGTTTGCTTGTATCAAACCTATTGATGTAAGGGAGGTAACTCTAAAACCCGGAAGTATTTCTATAAATAGAACGCAATGTTAACATAGTTTGGAATGGTTGTGTGAGTGTTGTGATGATGTCATCATAGTAATACCGTTGTGTAGTCAGTTATGGTTTTGATCTGAACAAGTAAACATCGTTTGAGTTTACTTGTGACTTGAGTCTTCTTTCACTATGTTACGTGAAAGGAATATTCTTATCTCCGACTCACTTGTTTGTGTAGCAATAAATGAAAGTATTCAGAAAGGTCAAGTTACAGTAAATCTTGATGCATGTACAGGAAATGTTGATCCATGTAGATCTGGGTAGAGAATTGGTCTTCAACAACCCATGCCCAAGAGACAGCTATGCTTGTCGTAATGGCAACTAACAGGATCCGGTGGTCATACTTGCTGACTTTGTTGATGCATATCATTGTATCCCAATTGCGTAGATTGATGCTCATGATGTCAGTCACTGGGTTGTCTTGTCCAGACTTGATTATTTACAGCCTGCTGTCATATAGCTGGAATATTGGTTAGTGCGGCATTAAACAACAAACAAACAAACAAGGAGAAATGTTACTGTGGAGCCCTGATGTGTACATGTTGATTGTCTGCAGATGGCAGCGCTGGCACGGACAAGTCCTCCGCCTCCAACCCCATGTTCAGTGTGCCTGGACATACACCTGTGATATTTAGGTAGGTGATTTCGTGCACGTCGTCCTTCATGGCTCAGTGGGCACACTTAATAGGTCCCCAGACCTCTATTGCTAGTTGTGAGGGAGAATATCTAAAGCAAAACAGATTTATGGTTAAAATCAGATTCAGTTTCCGCTGTCATATAGCTGCTGTATTGTTGAGTGCAGCGTAAACAAAAGACAAATGAGTCTGGTGATAACATAAGATGGTCATGTAATTCATTAAGTTCATGGTAGTATTGAAACATTGTTGCAGTGAGGTTGGAGGTCGCACGTTGTTCCGCCTGCTGTGCCGGGATGCGGGTGGGGAGACGGAACAGATGCTGCTGAATGAGACCGTCCCCGCCTGGGTCGTCGACGTGGTCGTCCAGAAGAACATGCCAAAGTTCAACAAGATCCCCTTCTTCCTCCAACCCCACCCCAGCACCGGCATCAAACCAATCAAAAAGTGAGAACAGAAAAAGACGTAGTTCTTGCCGTATTCGCCGTCATAAGCGCCCTGGTTACTTAGAAAATTGACAAAGGCGTCCACTCATTAAAACCATACACAGCATGTTGTATTTACTGCTGGATATCGAGCAGTAGAGAACAAACTTGTTAAGACATATGGATACTCAAATGTTTTTAATTATACTTCCTGGGTAAATATATACTGTTTCTACACTGCAGTGATTCCTATAAGATCAATTGTAACATTAACAAGAAAATAGACTGTCATGAAAATGTTGGAGCATATATGGGGTGCTTATGGAGATTACTGTAGATTGGTGTAGATGTTGGTTTAGGGGCAGTTATTGGAGCGGGCGCTTTATAAAGCAAATACGGTATTTAACTCTTGAACTCATTTACCAAGTCACCAACACTGCTTAGTTCTTGTGATATCAGAAAACTAGTTGTTGTTATTGGTGTTGGTGTTGGTGTTAAAGTGATGTTGTTGTTGTTGTTGTTGTTGTTGTTGTTGTTAAACTGAGCCATCTGTGTTGCCAGGGACCGACTATCAGCAAGCGACATGATCCAGGTGAGGAAGGTCATCGAGCATGTGTATGAGAAGGTGCTGGGTCAAGGGTCAGATGCAGGGTCACAGACAGCCAATAGTAATGGAGGTCAGGAGAAGGAAGGCGAGAAGGAGGAAGACTTGTCATCTATCGCAGAGGAGAAAGTTGAACTTACCTGTAACGATCAGGTGAGATATGGCAGGATCATGCTGCAACAAGTCGGCACGAGGCTGTGAAGGTTTATTCATGACATGACTCCAGTGGGGGTTACTGGGCTAAACTAAGGGCCAGGTGGTTACAGTGTGTTACAGGAGGAGGACATCTAATACCTGCATCACTCCAGGCTCTCTCCTCCGACATAAAGTGACCCTTGAAGATCCGGGGTAGAATAGGTCTTCAGCAACCCATGTTTGCCGTAAAAGGCGACTATGCTTGTCATAAGAGGTGACTAACGGCATCCGGTGGTCAGACACGCTGACTTGGGCGATGCATGTCATAGATCCCAACTGTGTCGATCGATGCTCATGATATCAATCACTGGATTGTGTCGATTATTTACAGACCGCCGTCATATAGCTGGAATATTGCTGAGTGCAGCGTTAAACAACCAACCAACCAACCAACCAACCAACCAACCAACCAACCAACCAAACATAAAGCTGACATGGTGTGATGTAACTGGAGTACTGTTCAAATCAGCGTTAAACCCGAACTCACTCACTCACTCAAGAACTATGATATTGAGCTGACTAATGGACTGAGTGGGCGGTTTCATTATTTGGCCCTGATGGTTGGGATTGGTGTACAGTCAGGGGTTTGTCTGGCTTCGTTTGGATTATTTACAGGCTGCCATGATATAGCTGGGGTATTGCTGGTCGCATCCTGCAACATGCACTCATTATGGTATTCCCAGCCTATGTGTGTTGATCGGGTGGTCAGGATCGGTGACTTCGTTGCTTGCATGTCATCGTATCCTGATTGTAAAGGACATTACTTATCTTATCAATCACTTGATTGTCACGTCCAGACATATTCCTTACGGGCGGTCGGGTAGCCTTGTGGTTAAAGCATTCACTCGTCACGCTGAAGACCTGGGTTCAATTCCCGACATATGTATAATGTGTGAAGCCCATTTCTGGTGTCCCCCGCTGTGATATTGCTGGAATATTGCTAAATGCAGTGTAAAACCATACTCACTCATGATCTCATGATCTCATGATCTCATGATTCTTCACAGCGTGTTGTCATATATCTGGAATATTCCTGTGTGCAAAGTTAAGAAACATACAAACAAATGTGATATGATGATGTGTCATGCCTTGCAGGTGCTGGACCCGAACATGGACTTGAGAACGGTGAAGCACTTCATCTGGAAGCAAACAGGGGACCTAACTCTGCATTATCGTCCACTCGCGAAGAAAGACTTCCAGTCCTTCTGCAAATATTCCTCTATGAATGCTGGCGAGAGTTAGGACAATTCCACCTGGAATCTCAATATATCCAAATGGCAGTCTGATTCCGGAGTCAGTTTACAGAATCACGCAGTTGCCCTGGAGATAGTATGAAGAGAGAACATTCTACCCTCCGAACTTGCCTTGTTCCAGGTCACTGCCGATAGACTGGCTGCTTGTGACATGCAGTGGTTGGCCATCCACATGAGCCAGTTTATCTCTACACATGTAGGAAAGCAAGCGGGAACGTCATGGGGTCGTTATCATGACCCTAATGTTAAAAGTTAAAGATTTACTACTCAATTTTTGATAGGGATAATCAGATATGTCATTCTATTTAAATATACACTTGACATATTATGAGAATCCGTGTTGTGTATCTTGGAGATAAAAATATCCCTATCAAATATGGAGTAGTATGCTACACATTCTGTAGGAGCAAACCCAAGTCCTCCCTTGAACATGTTCAACACTGATCAGTCTGGCGCTTTGTTCATGAGGGGCCAGTCTAGTATTTGAAATATACTACTATAAAAAGTTAAAGAACACCGATTCTTCCATATTATTATGTTACTGTAGTTAATCTGTCATGACATGACAGAATAACTATAGTAATATGAAAGAATCGGGTGTTTTTTAACTTCTTTTGAGTAGTATATTCACAGTGTATGATCAAGGAGCTGTGAGCTTTGTCCCAAGTGAATTCATTTTGTATGTCCTAAACACTGGCAAGGAAAGTTGACCAGTGATTCACGGGGGACAGATAGTCTGTCATGTGGCAAGTAGGATAGTCTCTCTCTCTCTCTCTCTCTCTCTCTATATATATATATATATATACACAGATCTGTGTGTGTACATTACCCGTAGTCGGCTGTGATGTCTGATGTTATCTTCAATTATATGTGACACTGTGTTGATGTGACACTGTGTTGATGTGACAACACAGTGCTATTGGCTGTATGACAGTGCATGTAACACACCCTGGTTAGTATGTTGCCAGGTTACACTGGTCCTGACAGACGGTGACAGGTCGCCGTGCAGCATTGAACAATAAACTAACCGCATATACTGGGAAATATGAACTGATTCAAGCTAGTCTAAGATTCGTACTAACTTTAAAAGCTAAACAGTCACAAGCTTGAATTGATAATTAAAGTTTCTCCCCTGTCTCAAACATCAGCTATATTTTTTTCTAAGCCATTCATTGCTCTATAATTCTTTTTGTTAATTATTCGCCTCTCTGGTCAAGTGGATACTGTCTGACTGGAAAGCAAAATCCCCTGGTTGTGTCATGGCAAAAAATGTTCAGAGATAGTACTTGGACCGGTCAGCTCGGAGTCAGTGTTCTGTGTCTGAGGAGATCCAAGTCAAACAGTGGCATTGTAACTCAGTGGGCTAGCACTATAAAACCGGCATGAATCCAGACTAGTACAAACGGACACACACACAAGCGTGCAGGTATGTCATAACTTTTTTGTTGTAAGTGAAATAATCTTGGACGCAACGAGAAACCACATTGCACCTTATTTTTCTGTTGACGGTTAGGGGGCAGAGGTGGGTTTGAGGTCCAAGTCCAATTCTAGATTCACCCAATTCCAAGGTCCGTCAGCGCCATTCCTACTCTAGAGTTTCACCAGTCATGTTGGGCCTTCCTTTCACATTTAGCAATAAAACTAACCACTGTTCAAAACAGCATTAAACCACTCACCCACTCACTGGTAACGTTCAGGCTTCACTCAAACTGACAGTTTCCCGCACTACACTTTTGACATTTTTTGCAAGAAAAGTAGAGGTATGACAAGAGACCATTTTTACTAACCTGAAATGTCAAATTAACAGAAATGTGACCAAAACTTGAAACATTCATACATTATTTTGAGAAGGGGTACAGGTACCTTGCTGATTGCTTGGCTTGACAATCCCTGGTTACCCAACATAGTGAAGACAGGCTAAGACGACCTTCATGTACATCACTGTCCTAACACAGATCATTTATAAACCTCAACAGGGTTTCATAGATTCAAGACAGGATTTATGTTATGAGTGAGTGAGTGAGTTGGGTTTTAAGCCGCTTTTAACAGTATTCCAGTTATATCGGGGCGTGTCAGCTTAATGTGGGAGGAAAGCCCTAAGTGATGCAGGTCTCAGACGTTTACCACTTCGGTGAAACCAACGAGCATGGTACGGTGCTCACAAACCTTGAAACATAATCGGGGCAAACCGGGATTCGAACCCATATTTATGTTTATGAAGAAAGAAAAGAAAGGTGACATGAGAGATTCACTATGAAAAAACATAAGGTGTTCTTTAGCTTCTTTAGAGTAGTACATGCACCCTGACCATTTGCTGCAGCCAGCCAGACTGTATGCTGCAGCCAGCCAGACCATATGCTGCAGCCAGCCAGACTGTATGCTGCAGCCAGCCAGACCATATGCTGCAGCCAGCCAGACCATATGCTGCAGCCAGCCAGACCGTATGCTGCAGCCAGCCAGACCGTATGCTGCAGCCAGCCAGACCGTATGCTGCAGCAAGCCAGACCATATGCTGCAGCCAGCCAGACCATATGCTGCAGCAAGCCAGACTGTATGCTGCAGCAAGCCAGACCATATGCTGCAGCCAGCCAGGTTGAAGGTGGGAACAGGTCGAAATACAGGAGAGGAGTGTTCCGTTGTGGACAAGAAAGTTCGATACCTTAGAAATCTGTGTTCGATCTCATAATGATATACATTCATAAATTTATGATTATATGGCGTAGATAATGGTATTTTATTTTCTATTTTCAATAATATAGAAATCTATATTCAGACCATTATCTCTATTTACAGCTGGTGGAGATCGAATTTGCACATTGGACTAGTGTTTAGATGTTGAGTCATGTCTTTGGATTGAGAATTGGGCTAGACTGTTGATTCAGTGGATGAGTGCCATGCTGGAACACCAGCATGCACACAGCGACATAATCCAGGTCATAATATTTATCCTGATGTTATTTGTCATCAAATACCTCGCCCCTTATGATTCTTGCCACTTGTTTCTGTGTTGGGTCCTTTGTCGGGTCAAGACCCTGTGTAGTCGGTCGGGTAGCCTAGTGGTTAAAGCGTTCGCTCGTCACGCCGAAGACCCAGTTTCGATTCCCGACATGGTTACATTGTGTGAAGCCCATTTCTGGTCCCCCCCCCCACCCCCCGCCGTGATATTGCTGGAATATTGCTAAAAGCGGCGTAAAAACATACCCACTCACTCACTCAGGACCCTGTGGTTGTAGGGTTAATCCCGGATCCACCCTGATAACTGTCACTTGAGATTTCTCTCCAAATTAACCTGACACACTCTGACAAGTCTGAAAGTTCCATTTAACTCAGGTGGGTAAACCTGAGCTGGTTCCACAGACTAGGGTATAGGTCTGGTAGTCTTGGTTCATGAGTTTTGAGTCCAACCCTGTTTTAGGTTTGTCGGCACCATACTTGTGCTCGTGGGTTTCACCAAAGTGGTACCAATGTAAGGCCAGCATCACTTCAGACTCCTACATTAAGCTGACACATCGTGATGTAACTGACTTTACTGTTTAATGGCACTGAACTCAAGTCTTTGGCTTGGCTCTGTGCTCATGCTGAAGTGGCAGGCAACCAAGGTGAAGGGCTTATGTTTATTTCGATGGTTTATAAGACCAACCGACATTAACCAACTGAAATTAGAAACAAAATAAAAATGACTCTTTATTTTTTTATATTTTGTCCAGTTCTGTTTTATGATTAGGTGAAAAGGAAACAAAATCACAAGTTCACCTCTGTTCATAAGAAATGGAGAATAATACGTATAAAAATAATCTTTTTCTGACCAAAAAACAATTATCTTTCAGTATCTTGCCATGTGTTATGGTTGTTATTCATTAGTAGCAATACTAGCCTGGGCCCCGTTCTCAAAGCGATCTTAGCTCTACGATGATCGTACGCCTATGTTAAAATATGGGACTTACGATCACTTTAGCGCTAAGATCGCTTTGAGGAACGGGACCCTGGAAGGTGCTTATTATTTTTGAAGTATATTTGTTCAAGCACCTACATTCAGTTTTAGGCCAGGTTGGTGTTGTAAACCAACTAATGTAAAATCCTACAAATGTCCGAATCTCCAGCAAGGCCTGTATTTGTGTTTTCTGCTGTCTGACCATTTGGCATGTGAGGAACACATTTGTTGGAAGTCTTTGTTGCCATGCTCGTCGTCAAGTGACTATGCTACTGTTGTCATCAACATTTGTTTGATTTGCAACAATTGTAACTGTTGAGGTGTCAATACAGTTTGTTTTGAACTGCTACTGCCTATGCTATTGTGTGGTTTGCCTGTTTGAATGTGAAAACTATGCTCTGCTTTGTGAGTGGCAGTTTTTTGTGGGTGTCAGAGCCTCACAACACAATTTATGTGATATTTGAGTTTTAGTAATATTTTGTAATGTGAAACTGTCAGGTAAGGTCAAGAGCTGGACCTGAAAATCTAGAAAATGAAGATATGATGGAAGAATGTTGCCCCAATTTTCATGACCCACGTAGGGGCAGTCGGGTAGCCTTGTGGTTAAAGCGTTCGCTTGTCACGCCAAACACCCGGGTTCGATTCCCGACATGGGTACAATGTGTGAAGCCCATTTCTGGTGTACTCCGCCGTGATATTGCTGGAATATTGCTAAAAGTGGCGTAAAACCACACTCACTCACAAAGGCGACTATGCTTGTCGTAAGAGGCGACTTACGGAATCAGGTGGTCAGGTTCGCTAACTTGGTTGATGCATGTATCTCAATTGTGTGGATTGATGCTCATGATGTCAATCACTAGATTGTCTCAATTATTTACAGACTGCCATCATATAGCTGGAATATTGCTGAGTGCAGCGTTAAACAACAAACAAACAAACAAACAAACATGACATTGTCTTTGTGTTTTGCCGTAAGTGTAAGTTGCATTATTCTTCATAATGACCCCGCACATGAAATGTGCCAAGGGTGGACAATTCAATTCATTTTCTCATAAAGCTTGTTACGTTTGTGGCCCACATGGTTGAATTTGGTTAGCGCCGCCCCCTGTGGGTGATATGGACACAAACCTAGATGTGTTTCAGGCAAGCGTGGTCATTCAGAATCCAAGATTCTTGTTCATAAAGAGGGAGCCCTGAAAAATTATTCTCTTCTATCATATTAATGGTATCTTGGTTATTTATGCTTTAAATATATTTTAATGCAAAAATCTGAAGATGACAAAGAGGCTTAAACATTTCGTCCTCAACAGGGTTAGACATAGTAACATCCAAGTATAGTGAGAATCTATCACTTAGGAGAAATGTGCTGTGGGATAGTTTGACTTAATATATAATACTCAAGAGAAGTTACAGAACACTCCATTCTTTCATATTACTGTAGTTAAGAAATGACAGATTACCTGTAGTAATATTAAGTGATATGTAGACTTCTTTTTTTTAGTAGTATATTGTGTTAACTCCTACTCAGGCAATATAATAAAAGAAGGTTTTCTTTTTGTGCCGTCATGGGAGCTTCTCTTCACTTTTCATCATTTTTCTAATGTGTTGTGCACTAACGTCGGCCATATTGTTTCTATGTTAATCCAAGTTTTTGTTACTGTGATATTAGAATCACAAGAATCATCTAGCCAGATTTAAGCAAATTGTACAAAGTGTATATTGCCTATTTCACTGTAATATGTGTTATTTTATTTTTGTCAATTGTTATTTAAATGTGAAAGCTAGACACAATGTAAATAAAGTCTTAATTACATGTGATTTTCTTGTTTTTGCTTGTCACAATATTTCAGTCATATCCTGGTGTGTTGGATTTGAGCATGACCAAGGAAGATGAATCTGTATCTATCGTGGAACACCTCTCACAAGTTTTCCTTAAAGTTACACATTTGAATAGCAAGGGTGGTGTAGTGAATACAGTGGTCGTCCATAGGTTTGATTTCCCAAATAGGGGGGAAAATGTAGGAAGTGGTGTAAAACCTCACTCACTCACTCACTCAGAACCATTTCAATCTAACTTTCACAAACATCCAAACAAATTCAAAGAACAAGCTGAAGCAATATTCACTGAGATTTTATTTGAAAGCTTATGTAAAGCCTACAGTAAACTGTAACACTGTTATGGCATTAAACACCATATACAAAGATTAGAGCACTCGGTGAGACCACCACACCAGGGGGACACTCCATGAAGTTGGATCATACATACTGTACAGACATGCTTCAAGTCCATCACAGACAAACCTACATTTCTTACATCAGCCCGATCCTAATGCTACATAAATAAACTTTCAGTGACAAAGAAAGTAGAAGTATTCCATCTTTCTTTGTTACACGTTCTGTCAATAAGATTCTTAAGAAATAGTTATTATTTTTTGGCCCACTAGAAATTGCAAATTTCTGTGTAAGTTTTAGATAGTGTTACGAAAGACATAAAACATTCATATACATGTCAACTAGCCTTTGCTTTAGCATAAGAAGATCAAGTAACAGAAAAGGGCTAGTTGGTCCATATCATGTAATAAACAGGTTAGTTTTTCCATATTACATAATAAACAGGCTAGATCCATATTACATAATAAACAGGCTAGTTGTTCCATATTACGTAATAAACAGGCTAGTTGTTCTATATTACGTAATAAACAGGCTAATTCTTCCATATGTAATAAACAGTCCAGTTGTTCCATATTACTTAATAAACAGGTTAGTTGTTCCATAGTACGTAATAAACAGGCTAGTTGTTCCATATTACGTTATAAACAGGCTAGTTGTTCCATATTATGTAATAAACAGGCTAGTTGTTCCATATTACGTTATAAACAGACTAGTTGTTCCATATTACTTTATAAACAGGTTAGTTGTTCCATATTACGTAATAAACAGTCCAGTTGTTCAATATTACGTAATAAATAGTTTGTTTTTGACATAATATGGAACAACTGGACTAAGTGCAAGTCTTCACCTACATACATTTATTTGACAAATCAATTACCGGCCCCTACACTTGCTCTTGTAGAAATTTAAAAAAATACTACTTGATAAAATCGACACCTTTTAGCCCTTACGTTGAACTGGGTTTGAAAGTACAACTGCAAACATTGAAAAGAAACATGCCATTTCTGTTTTCTGTCTAGTAACTTTCATGTCAGTTTCCCCCCATTGTTCTAAAGTTCAGTTCTAGTGGGCCTAAAGAGATCCTTACCACCCTCATTGTTTGCTATGATCATAATGTTATCACCATTGAGGACAAAAGCATGTTTTATTAAAGCCAATACGTTACAATATCCAACTTGGATATACCAGGAGATACCATCACCTTGTTTAGGTATTCTCCTCATGGAGTCAACCCCTGTTGAAAGAGGATGGTAGTGTACTTATTATGCATTTCACGCATTGAGCCTCAACGGAACTGCCCACAACAGTTACCATGGTTACAGAGGGGTAAACGAGTTGCAAGATGGCGTCACAAACTCACCACTGACGGCTGGTTAGGACATACTATTGAAAAAAAATACTGCAAAGAATTTGATGGAACAATCATATATAGTGGCATTAGTTTTGTGAAATGGACATGTCATGCAGTGAAATAAACACCTGTAGATGGGTGATTGCTGGTCATTATTGACTAGGGCCAACTCGGTAATTGTACAATAAATGAGATCTACTCCTCCGTAGAGGCTGACAACATCTGTAATGACAATATCTTGAGAAGTCTTTGTCATAACTGGACTAGCACAAGGTTTGGTGTAATGAATGGAGCCACTATTTCACAGAAAAGATATACTGGAAACTGAACTACAAAAACAGCAAATACAGTGAAAGCTCAAACTTGATAGAAGAATAGATATGATTTTCAAGTTTTGCAAACATGCAAGTTGAAACTATTGTCTGATATCGGTTCTAGCAGAATCCTCAATGCTATGGTCTAATCTCGGTTCTGGCAGAACCCTCAATGCTATGGTCTTACATTGGTTCTGGCAGAACCCTCAATGCTATGGTCTAATATCAGTTCTAGCAGAATCCTCAATGCTATGGTCTAATATCGGTCCTGGCCGAACCCTCAATTCTATGGTCTAATATCGGTCCTGGCCGAACCCTGAATTCTATGGTCTTACATTGGTTCTGGCAGAACCCTTAATGCTATGGTCCAATATCGGTTCTAGCAGAATCCTCAATGCTATGGTCTGATATCTGTTCTAGCAGAATCCTCAATGCCATGGTCTGATATCTCCTTTGTCTGGCAGTTAATGGCAGACCTTGGGCTACTGCAAATATTAATGCCCTTTAAAATAACGTTATACCAGGGTATGAAACTCCCAAACATTTCAGCCAGACCACAGGACTGGCTAGCTGAAATACTTGCCAGCCCTGACCAAAACCTGCCTGCCCACTATAATCATATGTTTCTCAGGATAAGCTAACGGGGTTTCTTTTTGGTTACATTTTATGATTCATCTTTACATGTGAATTAATGCTTATCATCGGGAAATATTTTGAATATTTTCACCAAATATAACCGACCGTCGGGCAGGGGGATTTGAAAATCTGGCAGCCCGAGTTGAAATCAACCCGTCTCGGACGGTCGGGCAGGCAGGTATTTCGAACACTGGTTATACTCAAAATATCGGTTCTGCCAGAAGCCCTAACACTATGGTCTAATATCGGATCTGGTAGAACCTTTATCAACGCTATGGTCTAATATCGGTTCAGGTAGAACCCTTATCAACGCTATGGTCTAATATCGGTTCTGGTAGAACCCTTATCAACGCTATGGTCTAATATCAGTTCTGCCAGAAGCCATAAGACTATGGTCTAATGTCGGATCTGGTAGAACCCTTATCAACGCTATGGTCTAATATCAGTTCTGCCAGAAGCCTTAACACTATGGTCTAATATCGGATCTGGTAGAACCTTTATCAACGCTATGGTCTAATATCGGATCTGGTAGAACCCTTATCAACGCTATGGTCTAATATCGGTTCTGCCAGAAGCCATAACACTATGGTCTAATATCGGTTCTGGTAGAACCCTTATCAACGCTATGGTCTAATATCGGTTCTGCCAGAAGCCATAACACTATGGTCTAATATCGGATCTGGTAGAACCCTTATCAACGCTATGGTCTAATATCAGTTCTGGCAGAACCCTTTTCAAGGCTGTAGTCTCTTTGGCACTCCTTTTATCTCTTACTAACTATATTTCTGATGGTCCACAGGACTTCAAGTAACTAGGTCTCTCTCTCCCAAGAAAATATTTGCATTGATGTAACCCTTTCCAACTGCAAATAACTTGTCAATGAGGTAAACTATCTCAGTTTCTGAAAGGCATGTCGTTTATAACACCCTTGTATCTCTCTTTAACTCATGACTAACAAACATATTGCAAGCAATTACCTCTAAGATGACTCCAAATACATACAAGGCAGAATTACAGATATCATCTTACCAATCATACTAAGGTCGAGTATGACCTGATAAACAAAAGGTTAGGTCCTCATATTTTTTTAGTTAGTTTACAAGACTACCGAAAACGAAAGACTGAAATTTGAAAAATATTAAATGACCTCTGACCTTTTCATTCAGCCAACTCTCTTTTAAAATTAAGTGAAATTAAAAAACCACAAGATTTTATCACTGCTGTTCGTAAGAAATGGTGAATAAGATGCACAAAAATCTCTATTCCAACAAAAACACAATCCAATCAATTAAATTTTGTTATTGTTTCCCACTCATACTTCCATAATGGTGTGACCTACAAGTTTGTTATTCATTCATTATTAGCAGTGCTAACCTGGAACTTGAAATTATTACTTATTTTCTTTCGACGATGTATACTGAATTTTAGGCCAAAATATTTGTAAACCAACCAATAAACATACAAGGCCTAATTTTGCATCCAAGACTTGACAAACACTGTGGACCAGTACACATGCACGGAGCATTCTCTGCCATTGTTTTCAATTCCTGTGCTACTAAAACCTGTAGCCGTGTATAAAGATATGAGAATTAAGCAGTAACAATACTACATGTTGTAAATGAGACTTGGTATAAGAGAGACATATATTACCCAAAAAGCAAAGAGATTCAAAACAAATAAAACATTTACAAATAATGTTCATGCTAGCAAAAAGCACTAACATGATAACCCACAAACAAGGCAAAACGGCAGTAACTACAAGAGCATTGTGATATACAACAGACATGATGACAGTAGGCTATATACATGGCCTACAGCTCTGCTTGTGACTTTGATCCTGTATATACAAATGGTGGGACTTTATGTATATAAACAACAAATACATAATAACTAATGTAAACAACATACAAGCAGGTCAATAAATGACCAAAACTAGAAATCCTGGTCTTGTAAGGTGATGCTGGTTCCTGCAGTCGAGAAGGTACTTATTCAATTCTATTGAATCCAATTGGAAATGGAGGAAGCACACTTTTAACCTTTACATCATTATACTGTGTATTGTACCTCCTTTCCACCATGACGGGTAAGTGATGTCACCATCTCTATCAGCAACTTTCCAACGTAAGAGAATGAGTTTGCTATTACGCTGCTTTCTTTTTGCAATATTTCAGCAATATGCCAGCAGGGACACCGATGTGGGGATTCAAACTCGGGTCTTCGACGTGATGAGTGAACGCCTTAACCATTAAGCTACCCTACCACCCCCAACTTTCGAGGTATTTGTTTTGTATATCAATGTTAAATGATTGGACAGCTATTTATACGTTTGTGTGATTCTAATCAGATGAATCACAAATCTATGGTTTGTCCAGGGTACTTATCAACAGATAGAATCATTTTTTTCTTGTAATCTGGGATGTACAGCTGACGGTATCGGATAAAAGGACATCAAGATGAAAAGTAGTTAGTTTTTCAGAAATCAAGCATTATGAATTGTTATCAACCATCAAGTGTTTTTCTATCTCCAAAGTCAAAGATTTACCCAGGTGGGGAGAAGGTGCCACTTTGTCTTAGGGTTAAATATTTTCTCAGGATAATTAAATGTAACTAGTATAAACATCTCATTTTCTTGAGTAGCTCCTATGCGACTTGTTGTTGTGCTGCTATGTGGCTGTGTAGAAGTTATATCCCTCTCCATGTTACAAGGGAATAAGGAACCATTACCATTTCTGTAAGGTATTCACTGTAAAGTTCAGTTGTATGTTTGATCAATTAAGAGATAAAAATAGCCCAAGGAAAACAGGTCATCTATTACATTTACAAAATGCTTAGTGCAAATACAATTACATGCACATATATGCTTTTGAGGAAATATTTATAATTTAGCTGCTTGTAAATGCGTAACTATTTCCTACAAATGTACCAGAATATTTTCACCTATGAACAGCATTAACACTGCATGTTGTATGGCAACATCTATGTATTGAAACAAGTGTACAATGGCAAGTGGATTCCCAATTATGAAGGGATATTTACTAATTAATTATATAAAAAGAGCAGGCTGACAACCTATATAGTTTTGGATATCAAAAGTTCTTTAAAACCTTTAACTCCACAAACAAAAGATGACAAGGACAACACCCATGCTTGTCAACATAAATATTGTAACGTACTGCCTTCTCCAGGGTTGTCACAAGTCTATGCTACAAGGAAACAATATTGAATTAAAGCTTAGATATTTATCAGGACAAGTGCAAATAGTCATAGGCAAAACATCTTGTAGCTCTTTTTCGAATATGTATTTTTGTTTAAGGCCAACCTCAGCAGTGTTCTATCCAATCTCATTAAAATCAGATCTTAGTTCTCGCTACCGCTAAACAAAGATCTGAGGACATCCCATTACGGGTCACGTCAGACCGACCTTGTGCGAACTTTGACCGACCAGTGAAATGACTAAAAAGAAGTTCAAATTAGCCAATCAGAAGGCAGCTTTCTCGTGCTTTACGGCACTTATTTCAAATTGACGACTACGCTTCGAAACATATTTTGACAAATTCTCGATAAAAAAATTGAAACCTGAACAAAAAAATATTTTGCAATGGCTAATAGATAGTCTAGATTGTATGGATTCAGTCGTTAAGCCCGTAACTATCATTCGGAATACCCCGCGGTAAAGTTTTCGAGGTTGCGAGATTAGAAATCACATTCCGACTGATACTTTCATGATCTTGTAAGCGACGCTCTGATTGGTCGGATGAAAGGTTGTTCTGACGCGACCCCTAATAGGATGTCCTCAGATCTTTATTTAGCGGTAGCGAGAATTAAGATCTGATTTTAATGAGATTGTTTTCTAGCAATATGGCAATAAACCACTAAATCTTTTTAATAATTTTCACTTTTTATGTTGACTGCTGCACTATTGGAGCTATGAAGGCAAATTGGGAATAGTTTCGTAGATGTAATGGTAAAATAACCAAGGCAAATTCCACATGTACTATCAATATCTTTTGAAAAAATATGAAATGTTGAATAAATAAAAAAAACATGTTACCGGTAATTAATACTGAAAAAGAATTCATGACCTTTAAAGCATACAAATTACTTTGATACAAAAAGACAAAATGATAATCTTGCTAAACAAAGAAACGGTAAACAGAGAAAATGCCAGCTGTTGTCATGCACACAATCTGGCAATCCTGCGCAAATCACAAAGTTCTAATACTGTTTTAATATCAATGAAGCAAATCTCTATCATAAGAACAAATTCAAATGTAACAAACGAAATAAACTCTCAATTTTTACACAACATTATAATGTCCCAAACTCACAACCCTGACATGTAATTTGTTTGTTATAGCAAGAATGAGAAGTTGAGTCTAAACAACAACACATGATTACATGGCTACATGGACGAACACATAGCTTACACGGGGCATGCAGACATCAGCAACACCAACTCACAACTCATTCAGACAGGTAGGGTCTCACTCAGGGTCTCAGTCAGGGTCTAGATCAATTGGAATCTGCTTTATGAGGATCAAGGTTATGCTAAACTTCACACATTCTGTTGAACCTCTTCATGAAGCCCGATACTGCTGTGTCACAGGTCCATCTTGGAGCACTAACCCACCACCTCTGGATGATTAAAGTTGGTTATCTCACAGTAATCATAACAGACTTTCAACACTGTGCTAAAACATGATTCCCTGTTTGTCATAACAAATATGCTATACTGCTAAAGGTCGTCGAATAGTAGTACAATACACTTCCCTGTTGGACCTAAATGACACACCACAGCGCATCAGAATAGGAGGGGCCCAGATCACATTCCATGATCAAATACAACCATTATTTCATTTCAACATGAGGTTAAGTTAAGCTAAGGAACGTTTGTGTTCTGTGTTCTGCAGCTTGACTCCTGAGAGTTTCTAGAGCTTTGGTCCTGCTCTACACTGAAGCACATGTAACACATGTGGAGTCTCCCTAAGCATGTAACTTTGTCCAAAATATGCTTCTGTCCACCTAGCAGTGAATGGCTACCCACTAGGATGAGATGGTAATGTGACTGTTAACTTTCTAGTGAATTGTGAGGCAGATTAGGTTGTATACTCCCTCAGGGAGCTGAGAATCAAACTCCAGTGGCTGGCGTAAAAACGGAATATAGTGTAATATAATAATTAAGTTATTATTATTGAAAACCCATTCTGTTCAGGCCAAACTTGGTGCATAATGAATGGTGTAGCATCAACTGGACAAATCAAGGCTTCATAAAGAAGTTCAACAGTGTATCCTATAGTGTACCTTATAGGGCTGCGGTCTAGTGGATAGAGCATCTGCCTAGATGGTGGAAGGTTAGTGGTTCAATCCCCGGCCACGTCAGACCAAAAGACAATAGAAGATGATACCTGTTACCCATCTTGTTACCCAGCCTGGCATTAAGGGAATTACACAAGGAGTGGTCACATGAGAGTCAGTATATTTAATGTGTCTGAGTGGGCTAGTCATGATAAACTGTGACATAGTATATCAGTGGGCACGAGCACGTACACACCTCTCTTCATCTTGGGCCCATTTGACTGCTAAATCAAGATAAAGTGGTCACTCACGGGTTGTCACAATCAACAAATGCATAACCTTATAGGTAGCAACATTCACACTCACATCTCACTGGCCCCCATGTTGACTAGAAAACTACTGAGTATTTTTTAACGTCATTACTGTGACCAACAGAAACTAAGATTTAAAACCATGTCCTACACGTCATGCAGCTCCAGGAGAAAACCAATTTTGGTCTTGTGTCCAAAAACTTCCTGCAAACATTTCCATCAATTCATAGATATCAAGACAGAAACAAACATTATGTAGAAATACATCAGTGACAAACGTTTTGCTGAGAAATTGTAGGGATTGTTGATTTTACAATGTTGTTTGTACAGTGCGTTGCATGTCCATGGTATTAAGACATTTTCTTAAAAACAACAACACACAAATGCATCTCAGCAGGTTTTCGTTTCAAAATCAAGAAACATTGGAGCAGATTTCATAACAGCATGAGCTTGTATTAAAGATTCTGTGCCAGTGTGGTGCTATCAATATGATCAGAATCATCATGGGTGCAGGGTTGGTGATAATCTTAACAAAACAAAACTGTTATCACATATTTGGGCAAGCAGACTTCATGGACAATTTCAATCAGTCATCAATTAACTAACAAACCTGCTAACCGATTCTCTAAACAAATGCGTACATCTGAAACGATTAATGGGTTCCTGTGACCAGAAAAGAGTACTCAGCTCTAGTAATATATTCACCATCAGCACAATTCAGAAAATAAACAAAAGGTTTTAACGTCAATCGTTTGACAAACAAAACGATACCAACCAACAATTGAAACTAAGTACTCGAAACATGGCGACAGGTCTACAATGGTCGTACAGCTTCAGTCTATGAGGAAGAACTCTTCGTCCAAGTATGTTCCCTGTCTCTTTTCCTGCAGACACTGGCCTTTGCTGGAGAAATGATCTAGGGGAAATGTCTCGGACCTATTTCTGAAACATACAATGGCAATTATCAGACACTGCCATCATCCTGTCTACAAAAAATGGAACTCTAATCACAAGTTTAAGAAATTGTAGCCTGTCAGTTCTAAGACAGACAGAATGATTAGGCGGGGGTAGTCAGGTGATCATGTTGTGAAGGTGGCAATGCACAGGATTACAGTTGACCCATTTGTTTGGGTGGTGACCATGGTGATCTTGGGATGTGTTCAGGCAAAATATTTTTAGAAATTGGAAACTTTGTTCTAAGCACGTTTCCATATAAGGATGCAAAAGAAGGAAGAAATGCATAGTGTGAGATGGGATAAGATTAAAAATTTATATCATATTGCATCAGTTCCTATAAGACAAAAATGTGATCCACACATTAGCTAAATGTTTGTTATCTAGCCATGAATCAAAGTAATATTGTAAATATTTCAGTGAAGATTTACAATATTAATTTTCATGAACCAAAATTAATATGAATTGGCAATACCAGGAATGGAGATTTACATGGAAAGTGCTCTTGTCTAGAAATATTAGCTGGGCCATATACTATGACTCAACAATACTGAAAATAATTCCAAAACATAACTTCAGACTAAAACATACTTGGATCAAATTGTAAATGTGTATGATTCCCATTGTCATCAGGAGAGCTAAGAATGCAAAAGTGTTTTAAATATAGCAAACACACAGCCTTCCAATTGTGGGTGTTCTTCAACTTGTTTTGAGTAGTATAAATGTAAGCCTTCAAGGTAACATACTTGAGCTGTGAGCTGTTTGGCCAGTATATATGCTGGTCTCCGAAGCTGAAATTCTCGTCGCCTATGAGCTCCTTGGCCCAGGACTGGTTGTTATAGGGGGGCTGCGTCCCTCCTAACTCTGCAGGTAAGATGTCTTTGTTGATGTGCTGGTGGAGGGTTGTCAAGTTAATACCATGCATCTGGATCTACAAACAAGTCAAAGTACCGCATATTACATTCTATGTTCCTCCAGATACTTTAAATCATGAAATTAACTACAGCAGGAATCTATGTGAAAACTGTAAGTGCCCCTTGTGCGCTTTAATAAATACTGCATATGATGGAACCAATGAGATATGTCACATAACATCATGAACATAGCTCCCAAAAATCAGTGAGATATATCACATAACAGCTCCAATAATCAGTGAGATCAATCACATAACACAGCTCCCAGTAATCAGTGAGATATATCACATAACACCTCCAATAATCAGTGAGATCTATAACATAACATAGCTCCCAATAATCAGTGAGATCTATCACATAAAATAGCTCCCAATAATCAGTGAGATATATCACATAACATAGTTCCCAATAATCAGTGAGATATATCACAACACCTCCAATAATCAGTGAGATCTATCACATAAACTAGCTCCCATTAATCAGTGAGATATATCACATAACATAGCTCCCAATAAACTCTGTATTTCAGTGCTAGTACAGCCTCAAGTCTGGTTCCCACTCTTTACAAATGGATCAAGCAGGAACTGTTGTCAAATGTGCATAACAACATCTTTTTGTTCAAATAACTTTGTCAGATAATTAATACTTTGAGACAAAACACTGCTCATCCACAACATGTAAATGTGCAGTACAGTGACAGCAGACATAGCAATGCTGAAGTAATACATAATAGCTTCCTTACATTCAAAAGACCATGACAATGGAAGCCATGCAACCTTTACATCTTCATGCGTTCACCAGAATGTGCCTTATTTGGCATTCCTGCTACTAACTTCATGGAAATCAACTCAGATATAAATCTGTCCCCACTGCACAAATTGTACTGAACTGTTCAGGGAATGTTTTGTCATGTTATGATTTTAATAATGCTAGAAAACCCTGTTCTGAGTGTGTAAGTGGTTGTTTTTAATTCTACATTGAACAATATTCCAGTTATGAAATGATGTGTCTGCTTCATGAGGGAGGAAAGCCCAAAGTGATGCAGGTCTGACTTTTACCCACAAGCTTGGTGCTGACAAACCTAGAAACATAATTGAGGGCCAACTGAGATTCAAACTCACGATCATAGGTTTCTGGCAAGCGTAAGGGATGCAACTCTGCACAGGTAATTTTGGTGCCTTTAAGACAACTGGGCCACTTGTGCTCCCCAGGCAAGTATGTTTTGCACCAGAAAGAATTGGGTTAAAAGATCACTGGAACCAGGAAGGGGTTTCTGTTATTGTGCATCCTAGCATAAGCTTTAATATTCATAGTTCTGCATACATGACATGAAATTATTGATTCTTTGAATGAACTTATGATTACCTTGTTTCTATTTTTCTCCTTAAGAAACGGACGTAACATTTTGAAAATTGCTTCGATGTACCATGGCTGATTTACAAAATGTATAGCAGCAAATCTGGCCGGGAAACAATCCTGAAACACAGACAATGGATAACAATATGTTCATTAGACATGTTACATTATATGCAGACAAGACAACTATCACCATGATCACCCTATAGTAGAGTGATGCTAAGTATCCTAAACATGATATATCCCTCCACTGTATGGTATATCTAAGAAAAACAACAGTGAACAGTACGCATGGTATGATGAAAAATATATCTATCATGTCCATAACTTGTGTTGACAATAGTATCACAGTCGTTGAGAATCAAATGTCATTTTGAGAACTGATATGAGTAGAGATGAGTTACTTTAAGTTGTTACGTAACTGTGATAATCAGAGACACTTGTAAAGCTGGAAAATAGTTGACTTCTTAAACATGTTAAAGCAGGGACTGGTCATTATGGCAGGGTTGAGATTGGTCTTAGGACTGTATCATATTTTGCTTACCCCTGACTCATGCCCATGCCCCTCCCCCACCCTCCCATACCTGTAACAAATTCCCATGACACACATACCCGTAAAAAATGACTAGTCACTAAAAATTTATAACTCTTTTATTTGAAATAAATAGAACTGTCATCTTTTCATGCCCTTCCCTCCAACCATAGTTGTGTTAATTTTAATAAATACTTACTTGTAAACCCTCTATCATCAACTTCAAAATTTTAGGATTTAACCAAGTTGACTGTTTGAATGTAAACTGACTCCAGTCCACAACCACAACAAAACCATTTATCTGCACTTCATCACTGTCTACCAACTTCTCTAATGTCAAGAGAATAGCTCGATATATTGCAGCAAGCCCGTAACGGGAATTGTCCCAGTTTGCAGAGTAAAGCACCAATATTCTTCTTCCGAATACATCCGGTTCAGGCAAGACTCCTGGCAAGCCATCGTACAAGGCTTCTTTGACGCCAGGTTCCGAGGCCTGGAATCTCTTGAACAGGTTGGGGTTGTTTTGCCGATACTCAAAATATCGGGCATATAGTTTGAAGGTTTCAAGTGTGTTGAATTTTCTTGCTCTGAGAAACCTGATGATAAACCCCTCATCTTCTCTCAAAAACTCTGAAAAGGTGAAACAAGACAAGGTAATCAACGGTATGTACTGACAATAAATGTTAATACTACTTTCTCCAGGTAATTCTAATCAAACCATAGTCTGGTCAATCTGAGGTTTTAAATCACAACAACCACCTCTGATTGAATCACCTGATCTGAGTGCCACATCAACACAAAGGTTGATATCCATAGTAGGTTACATCTTCTAGTTTTGATAAATAGGTTAGTGGACACTCTTTTCTCGGGAAGATGAGTAAGTTACATCTTTCACAATTATTACCGGTAGACATTTTGAAATAGTTATATAAATACAATTAAAGGCTACAAAATGCAGTGTTGCATGACAGATTAACTATAGTAATATGAAAGAATTGGGTGTTTTTTAACTTCTTTTGAGTTGTGTATGTGTCAATACACTTTGGGCAGAAAACGTGAAACACATCAATAAACATGATAAAAAGGTCCATTAAAAATCTTAGGAAAAATGCAGAGCTTGAAATTTGGTACTTCTCTATATCTAACTGTGACAACACATTTTACTTATTTCTGTTCACCAACATCAAAGAGGTCACATTTAATTTTGTAATAGATTAGAATTAAAGACTTATCTCCTCATCAACACATACATAATGTAGAATTATCAGCAGGGCTGTAACAGTTTGAAATAAAGATTAAAAGTCTAGGGGTCCATGACTCTCTTTAACTCAAGGTGAAAACACAGATTTTGTATGTTTAGGGATCCCTAGATAAAATACTCCATCCCTCTTACACTGTTGAGTCCTAAGGCTGATTGACCACTACCCCACCAGTTTGTTACTTCAGCCACAAGGCCAAAGCCTAAAACATTTGAAGCCAAGCATGATTAGCCCACGTTTCGACTATAAGCCAATAAGATTCAAGCGTTTTGGGCACAGACTGTCACAACTTTTAACTTCCTCGCAACAACACCTACTGATATCAGGCCTGGTTATGATCTGTTCTTGCACTGCCGACACACTCTCTTGCCGTTGTTCAGGGACTTCACGGAGCTCATGGCGGGCTTTTCGGATCAGCTCTTCTGGTAGCCCCCATCCATACTCCGCCATATCACAACGAGACACGATGTTGAAAGACAGTGTCACCAAACCTGTTGGAAGTGAGGACATGCATAGTATCGAACAATCCAATTTCAAACCATATGTCAAAATAGCTTTACTTGCTAGAGTGAGAGAGTGAGTGAGTGAGTATGGTTTTATGCGTCTTTTAGCAATATTCCAGCAATATCACGACGGGGGGACACCAGAAATGGGCTTTACACATTGTACCCATGTCAGGAATCAAACCTGGGTCTTCAGCGTGACAAGCGAACGCTTTAACCACTAAGCTACCCGACCGCCCCTTACCTGCCAGACCACTGTAACCTACTCATCCCTCAATAGTCTCATTTGAACTACTAAAGAGATCCTTAACAAGTACACTCAAAATATTTAGAACATACGACCAAAGTTGCAGTTTCATAAGAAGAATTAGGGCGAGGGTCAAATTGGGGGACAAGCAGGTATTGAGAAACATGACATTTATTTAACAAGCCCCCCAAAATAAAATGTGCATAATGGTGTTATGTGGCTGTGTATATTGTACGTATATTTCTGTTTCTGTGATTGTTTGGGGGCACAGGTGGCACAGGCGTCTAAGGCACTGCGTCCCTTGGGCACGCTAGCAACATGATTGTGGGCTCTATTCCCGGTTCGACCTAATATGTTTCTAGGTTTATTAGAACCATACCCGTGCTCTCAGGGTTTCACCAGTAGTTAACATCTGCGACCTGCATCCCTTCGGCTTACCATCCACATTAAGCTGACAGGCTGTGAAGTAACTAGAATACTGTTCAAAGCAGTGTTAAACCCAACCAGGTCACACACATTATGATTGTTAGTGGCAGCAAAACTAACTCTCATAGTATGTTGTTAGCTGTTAGAAAGCACATAAGGTAGAGTGACCTCACTTGGTGTTCTTCAGCCCTTCGTTACCCTTCTGGTATAGAGAGCTCCACTTTGAGTAGTTTGTTTACAGTTATCGATTCACTACCTCATTTAACACACCTTGCGAGGTAACAGTTTCTTGAAGGCTGGCCGTACCTATACAAGAGCGAGATGAGGGCAATTTGAGGCATTCTATGATTTGACTTGCAACATATCGACTTGCCCAGTGTGGACTGGATAGCTATTTGAAAACACTGACTTTTATGACTGCTTCCAAATCTGTTACCTGGATTCAAGAACAGAGCATGTGCCTCATTCAAGACATTAGACTGTGACAAATTCTGTTATTTATTTTTGCTGCCACATATTTAACACATTGTATTGCCTTTTATAATGGTAAACCTAATCCTATGTGTTTCAATATAATTTATTGATTATTCATTGATCCTGTCTGGTTAGTTACTGATTTCACAATTTAGTTCTGTACATACTGATTTCTAACCTCAAGTTCACGAGTGGAATCAACTCCTAATGGATAGACCAATGTTTGACTAAGGGAAGATCCAGGTTAGAATAGGTCTTCAGCAACCCCCATGCCTGTCTAAGAGGTGACTTACGGGATCGGGTGGTCAGGCTCGCTGAATTGTTTCATGCATGTCATCGTATCCCAACTGTGTGGATCGATGCTCATGATATAAATCACTGGAATATCTGGTCGAAATTTGATTATTTACAGATCGCTGACAGATAGCTGGAATATGGCTGAGTGCTGTGTTGAACAACAAACACTGTATGTGTACAATGTAACAATGGGGAACGTGTCAGTGTAAAACAGGAACAGGGAAATTTGGATGGAAAGTATCCTATTTGACAGTACCCTGTCACTGAACAGGAAGAACCAAGACCTAAATTTAGTCTTGAATCCTGAATTGTTCGAACTTTGGAATTCGGGAACAAATTCATACTATCCAACCATAGTGTTTATTGTGTATGACAGCGAAAAAAGAATTAGTCATATGAAAAAGTAATAGTTTCCAACAAGTGTAGACTGAAAATTTAATTTGACAGTTCCCATGCTCGAGTTGGTTCCAGCAGAGACCATAATATGGTTTTTAGTTCCAGTCACATCGGCTGAATCCACGGAATTATTGATGTGCTGAACGTATGGTTGTTCTGAATTATTATTCAAAATTCATTTTAATTACATAACGTAGAGTTTAGAAAGCTATACCATACCTGAAGGTGTTGGGTTGTGCCAGAATGACCGAGTGCGTCGGCTTCACTGCGGCAAGATATTCATGCAGCCGACATATAATGGTGGGAGCTGTTATTGCACCGGAAGTTGGATAATTAACTTCTACAAATATTCATGTAGGCACTTGCGGTCCCCTGAAAGTGTCTCTAGTATTATGTTTTCGTTGCATATTTATGTCTTAAAGGTACAGAAAAAATATAAACGAATTCATATTCATAAATATTACGTTACTAAACGTAACATTGTTGAGTCGAGTTTTGCACAATTATACCTCCCCCCATTCACAATCTTTCAACGAGAATGAGATTATTGAATAAAACGAACAATTAACAACGTGTCCTAAGATTTTCACAGGAGAAATAAACCCATTTCGTTAACGCGACATTCAGATCTGTAGGGTTATAAATTGTAAAGGAAAGATTATTTTTAAATACCAATATTCATAGAAGCGATAGAGTTAATGAAATCCTTGTACTCATCTCGATTAAAAGATCGAGTGCATTAATTGTCCGATATTTGCACGACAAGTTTCCATTAAGTCTCTTTCAAATGTTTCACTTTCTATCCAAAGGTTGACCTGGCGTATAGTCAAGGTATGCGTGATTTTGTGTCGATGAGTCGTTTGTTCAATTGTTCAAGCACAGGAATACATAGATGAATACAAAAACAAATTTTGATGACACATGCATCCTACGAGGTCTTCGTTAAAAAAGGATCAATAAAAATAAACTTCAAAGCAAAACAAAGTTATCACCCATGTTGTATAGTGGCTAAAATGAAACAAACAAAAAATAGTTATTCGATGGTGATGTATTTGATCGGGTTTCATAGTTGTTTTTTGGACCTTAAGTTTGCGCCTTTTGTTTCGGCGACTATTTTCAACCTGGTACGGTTTTGATAACATTTGTAATCGCTTTGTTTGTCAAATCCAATGTTCAAATGTAAACGTTTCTTTTGCCCAGCAGTTTAAGAATGTTTAGTCGTGCAGCCACGTATTCCTTTGGTTCAAGGAATTAAGGCGCGTATATATTCAAGGATTAACGTAAACTGTCTCTGAAGATGTGCTAACGTTACGAAACGAGCCTGGAATGTAGGATTTCCCATTAGTGGAGTGTGTGTGTGTGTGTGTGTGTGTGTGTGTGTGTGTGTGTGTGCGTGTGCGTGCGTGCGTGCGTCACAGGAACTCGTTATTGGTCAGCAAATAAAAATATATATTCTCTCCTTACATATAGGAGACCGCCTCCGTGGTCTAGTGGTAGAGCGTCCGCCCGGAGAGCGGGGTTCGATCCCCGACCGCGTCTTACCAAAACACTAGTACAAGCGCACACACACACACACACACACACACACACACACACGTGCATGCACGTCTCTATATAAGTGCAACAATCTTGGACGCGACGTTAAACCCCATTTCACCTCACCTCACATATAGGAGGAATATATTTTTATTTACTGACCAATTACAAGTTCCTGTGGTGTGTGTGTGTGTGTGTGTGTGTGTGTGTGTGTGTGTGTGTGTGTGTGTGTGTGTGTGTGTGTGTGTGTGTGTGTGTGTGTGTGTGTGTGTGTGTCGTAGCGTGTGATCCAGTGTTAGGGAAGGTGGTTGAACACCCTTCTGTGTAGTTGCTGCGACGGTGTTTGCATGAGACACCGCCTATGTGTATTGGGGTATAGTGTCAATGCTACACTGATCAACACGCAACCTCAAAGTCTACCAGCTTTTAGGACCCGTGAAGATTCCGGGGTAGAATAGGTCTTCAGAAACCCATGCTTGCCGTAAAAGGCGACTAACGGGATCGGGTGGTCAGGCTCGCTGACTTGGTTGATGCATGTCATCGACCCCAATTGCGTGGATCGATGCTCATGATATTAATCACTGGATTGTCTGGTCCAGACTCGATTATTTACAGACCGCCGTCATATAGCTGGAATATTGCTGAGTGCGGCGTTAAACAACAAACCAACCAACCAACCAGCTTTTAGACCGCCTCCCTGCTCTACAGTGGATAAAGCGTCTACCCACAGAGCGGAAGGTCGGTGCCGTTCGATTCCCGGCCGCGTCATAACAAAAGATGTACTTAAATTGTTAATATGCCTGGCAGTCTGCATTATGGGGATAAAACAAGGACTGGTCGTCTTGGAGTCTGTAACAAGGACGGGGAGGGGTATCCATGTTTAACTGCGGCATGGTATCTCAGTGGGCTAGCACTATAAAACCAGTCTAAGTCCGAACTAGTACATGCAAGTACGTCGATCGCCACACAAGTGCAATAATAACTTCATTTCACCTCACCACCTCACACCAGATATCAGAAAGGTTCAGCATATGGATGTACGCAACGTTGCATCATCCAGAAACTTCACTTAGAAATTTGATGCTGCTTCTTAGAGAATCGTGGAACTGGATGCCTCTGACGTCACTGATGCCTTGATCCTAATCGAGTAAAAACCTCGGAAACCATTCAACACCTTTTCTAACATATTGTCAACTCCCTTTGGCTTTTGGTATGCCGGGTGCCAAGCCCTGTAAAATGGTATTCTGGATGCCATGGTGCCGTATGCTGGATGCCATGACATGTACCTGGTACGCAGATGCCAATATTTAAATTCGATATTTGTTTGATCCTTTTTTGTTTGCTATGAGTGATAAAACAATAAAAAAAATTAGCCCTAAGCTTATGAGCACACATATTCAAGCATTTTATGTGAAACTCCCAGTCTAATTTACTTGTACCAGCTGTGTGCACTGATATGACTCAAGAGGTCTTAAATGAGGTAAAATGGGGTTTAACGCCGCGTTCAAGATTATTTTGCACTTATAGAGCGACGTGTGTGTGTGTGTGTGTGTGTGTGTGTGTGTGTGTGTGCTTGTACTAGTCTTTTGGTATGACGCGGTCGGGGATCGAACCCCGCTCTCCGGGCGGACGCTCTACCACTAGACCACGGAGGCGGTTTCCTATATGTAAGGAGAGAATATATATTTTTATTAACTGACCAATAACGAGTTCCTTTGACACACGCACGCACACGCACGCACGCACGCACGCACGCACACACACACATTCCACGCGCTTGTACTGGCGACTTATGCCAATTTTATAGTGCCAGCCCATTGAGATACCATGCCGCAGTTTACCATGAATACCCCACTCATACACATTACACCGACTCAGAACTGACCAGTCCTCGCTTTAGCCCCTTAATGCCGAGCGCCAGGCAGGGTAGCAATACGTACAATCTTTTCACGTCTTTTTGGTATGACGCTGCCGGGGTCGAATCCCCGACCTTCCGCTCTGACGGCAGACGCTCTATCACCAGACCACGAGGCGATCCCAACACAAATAAAGTGGTATAGGACGTAAGCCTAGAAGAGATGGGATTCTCATGAGCGTGTATCCAGGCAACCCACAAGAGTCAACAACGCCAATGCACGTTACACCTAGGAAAGGGTTGTTTCAACCAGGGTAACTATACAGACTCCCCGTTTCAACAAAGGGGCACTATACTAGTCATCTTGTCTCTTTGGACTTTTCTCCACATTAAGCTGCTGTATAGACCACAACACAACTAAAAATACTGTTCAAAGTGGCGTTAAAACCAAATCCACTTATTTGAATGACTACATATCTGTACCATGATTTTCATTCAAATGTGAATTGTAAATTGAAACACACTGAACCAATTGTTCATCTTACGTATTCCCTGCGACAGAGTGAGTGAGTAAGTAGGATTTTACACAGCTTTTAGTAATATTACAGCAATGTCATGGCAGGGGAGAGTGAGTGAATATGGTTTTAGGCCGTTTTTAGCAATATTCCAGCAATATCATGGCGGGGGACACCAGAAATGGGCTTCATACATTGAACCCATGTCGGGAATCGAAATGGGTCTTCGGCGTGACGAGCGAATGCTTTAACCACTAGGTTACTCGATCGCCCCCATGGCAAGGGAGAACAGAAATGGGTTTCACACAATGTACCCATGTGGGGAATTGAACACGGGTCTTCCGCCTGACAAGCGAACGCTTAAACCATTAGGCTACCCCACCGCCCCTCCCGAAGACCGAACTCCAAATAAGTAATGAATGTGTTGTTTCCAATGTGTTGGATCTTTTAAACAGATATTCCAGTACACTTAGACCAACATAGTCTGTGAAATATTCTATTACACAATACCCGAAAGTAAAAGACTTCACCCAAAGACATTAAAATGATTTATTTTTCCACATAATCCACTTCCACATTGATACACTTTCGCCAACTGATTTGGGGGCGACTATATCCAAGTTTCGTAGAAGTCCTTCTCTTGGCTGTCCTCAAGGTTCTCCACAGCTGTTATGACGTCATGGTTCGAGTCTAAGTGGGTTCTGGCTAAGGTTTCAGTTTGGGAACAGATGGAAGTCTGATGGAGCCAGATCAGGAAAAGAAGGTGGGTACTGAAGGAGTTCAAAACCACACTGGTGGATTGTAGCCATGGCAATGACTCATTTGTGTACTGGCGCATTGTCTAGATGAAAGAGCAGATCTTTTCTCAGCTTCCAACATCTCTTAGTCTTAACTTAATCATGTGATTGCCTCAAATGGTCAGCATTATATGCTCTATTTATTGTCTGGCATTTTGTGAAGATAGTCCACAGTGACACCTTTTTTGACAGTGGTGATGTCAAATGCTTCCACTGTTTTAATTGTTGTTTGGACTCAGGCTGGAATTGGTGAACCTAGGTTTCACCTGGACTCAAATTGTTGCAAAAATCTTTCTGTATCATCTTCAAACAGAGCTAGATTATCACAGGAATATGTTGCGCCTAGTACGTTTGATCAGATGTCAGAAGCTTTGGTACCCAACAAGCTGCTAAGGTCTCTTCTCCGATACTAGCAGTAAGACAGTGAATGTTGTTTTGTCAGCCAGCAACATCCCAGCTATATCATAGAGGCCTGGGACCCGTGAAGATCCGGGGTAGATAAGGCCTTCAGCAACCCATGCATGCTTGCCAAAACAGGCGACTTTACTTGTCGAAAGAGACGACTAACGGGATCGGGTGGTCAGGCTTGCTGATTTGGGTGATGCATGTCTTCCTATCCCAATAGTGTAGATTGATGCTCATGATGTTAATCACTGGATTGTCTGGTCCAGACTTGATTATTTACAGACCGCTGTCATATAGCTGGAATATTGCTGAGTGTTGCATTAAACAACAAAGAAACAAACAAAGGCCTGTAAATAACCGATTCTCGGAGAAACAAAGAGCATTGATTACTGCTGTGACCAATGTTATAAAAAACAGATCTTAGAGAGATTGTGTGTAGCGGTAGCGAGCACTAAGATCTGATTATACTGAGACTGCACAAGGGCACAATGACATATAAGCAGCAAAGTTGCACACTGTAATAAAAACATCCAATCATCCTTAACTGGCTCTTACAATCTTATAGCCTTTAATCCTTCAGGTAGACAAGCATGAGGTGCTACTGCCCAACCCAGAAGAGCCAGTTATCATTGGTCTGCTTCACTAATGATTTAGGCTGTCTTCTAAACAGAGAACTACATGTACCGTGAAGGTTATCATTTATTTTCACAAAATACATTGTGGATGGATTATCAGTTGTCCAATGAAATACAGTGGATTAATTCAACAAGGCAAATAATTTATCTCATAAAATGTACAAACTATAACATTTCAGTCAATACTTACTCAAACACCTCTGAGTTCAAGCATATCCTGGACATCCAACCAGAAATACACTTTCACAGATCCATTTTGTGAACTATTTTTAATGCTTTTACAGCTATTTGTACAGTACTTCAAAACTCAAGAATGAGTGGTTCTAGCATGGATAGCCAACTAATGTCAGCATAACATCTGGATGTGTTTCACTATCACCCTGGTAGATACAATACAAGAAATATCTCATGTAAACATCACCTTGTCATATCTTCGATCATTCTTGGTTCCAAAACACCCTCATAAAAACCACACGAGTAAATACACATATTAAGTTGGAACAGTACCTTAGTCATACTACATGATTTCTCACACTCAGACAGATGGAGGACAATAACGAACATCAGTTATCAAAGCAGATGGAAGCTTAATAACAATTTGAACATGAGTGAGTATGGTTTCTGCCACTTTTAGCAATATTCCAGCAATATCACGGCGTGGGACACCAGAAATGGGCTTCACTCAATGTTCCCATGTCGGGAATCAACCCCTGATCTTCAGCATGACGAGCGAACGCTTTAACCACTGGGCTACCCGACCACCCCTTGAACATGATGAAGTCTTAGAAAAATGATGACAATTCTTCATAAATCAGCTTGTTCACAAACTTTTCATAACTGAATGGTCACTTTGACCTTTAACAAAATTGAAACACCCGTTGTAGTCTTGTAAAAATAATTGAAATTCTCAAGTTTGTGTGGTTTCAAGCTTAAAAAATGTGACTTGGGCCTAGAATGTTAACTAATAAAAGTTTGAATGAATAAACTTGGCCTTTGACATATGTGAAACATAGGTAATGACATTGACCTTCAAGATCCCCAAGGGTTATTCATGTGTAAGGTGCATCTGGCAGTGTATGGAGCAAGCACTAGTTTACAAGGGCCGATTACATTTGTTTCAAACAGGAAAGAGGAAGGTATTTAAAATGAAGCATGTGTATAACCATAACAGTCTACAAGGAAGAAACAAACTTGATAGCACCAAGAGGAAACACAAAGAGGAAACACAAAGAGACCAAGGTGACCAATCACTATCATGCATAAGGCCAAGCTCCTCACAGCTATATCCTGTTCGTGGAGCTCTCTGTACTATCGCTGCCACAAGTCAAAGCTCCCCACTGTGATAGGTGGCTACAACCATGCTTGGAGCTGAACTTGCAACTGATTGACTGTTATTTTTACAAACAAGTGACGACTGCCGTGACCCGAATACGCTTACTCCTGCTAAATCATTTTCTTTGTTTGTCAATTTGAATTTCTGTTTCATGACAACTATCATGGAATTGGTATAGTAAGAATATAAGGGAGAAATTGGTTGATTTTCCTTTTGTCAGTAATCTCGAACCAATCCGATCAAACAAACAAAAAGGTAAATTCACCTGGGAAATATGGTCAGTCGTAAACCTTTTCAAAATTAACTGTGATGGCATTCCCAAACATATAAACAAAAGTATGAACGTTACTACATTTGGGGTAAGAGGGCAAATTTCAAGATTCTTGTAATGGCCGTGCCCACACTAGTGGTAGAGATGTTACCGAGAGTGTCACGTGCGGGGAAGGAGCGTGGCATAAGGAATACAAGGGGAGATAATAATGTAAAGGAAGCACACAATAACTTTCCATGGTTTGTTAGGTACGCTCTACCGTGCTTGGAAAATAAAACAAAATTAACTTTCCTTCAATCAGTAGCTGTCTGACACCAACACAGATGACTGTAGAGCATCCATATCTCCTCACGTATGTAACACAGGACATTTCAGCAAAGGATCAACAGCACTTCACTTCACATTTGATTGAGCACAATTGTAGCCACCAAAACTGAATGTATGATGTTATGGTGAAGAATGTCTGATATCCCACCAGAGTCCACCCTGCCAACCTTGTACAGACAGATCTCTACACAACATCACCTTGCAAATACTAGATTCAGGTCAACATAACATGACATTCCCAGTTAACAAATAGGAACAGATCAAAAATATTTTTTCACTTTGGATGTTCAAGTGGTATATTTATTTTGGCTTGAGACATACCAGTATATAAAACAGAAACAGTAAAATATACCTGGACGGATAGTTTAAGTTAAAACCTGGACGGATATTTTACAATAAAAACTGGATGAATATATCAAGTTAAAAATAATACAAAAGATGTATAAGCAATAGGTAGTTATATACAGTAACAAATAAATACTGATAGGATAGCATGTAAGAATTCATTACATGCAGAAATCTGAAATCTGTGCAAATTCTACATATGAAAGAACCATTATCAACTGTAAAGAGTTGTTAGATTCAGTATTTGATACAGGCACAACTACGCAGATTATTACCAGTGTGATACAACTTAACCAAATGATACAAGGAAAAACAGAAGACACATAAGTTCAGTCTATTATTTTGTCACTAAAACTTCAAAATACATATAATAATACTGATAGCCTGTTACACTTCAACCCTAGTAATCAGGACAGCCTTTACTGTAAAAATTATTAAATATCAGGATCAACAAACCATTTATACAACTATGTCATTAGGTGATGCATTTCAATGTTTGAAGGTTTTGCTGTGTGTTTGCATCCAAATTTAGCAGAGTCAAATTTCATCTCTATCTTGAAAACATGGCAAGTTTACCTCCTACACGCCAGTCACCGATCATGACACATATGTCGAGACTTTAAAAACAACAACGACACAACGGTGAAATAGACACATTCAATCAAATGTACATGATGTATTGACAATGTAAATAAACAGTAGGCAACCAAACTTCAAAATAGAGTGACAAAACTATTGACCAATAACTGTGTTGGGAAAGGTTCGAGATATAAGAATATGTTTCCACCTCAAGTAATTTGTTCTAAACACGCTAAAGGAATCAACTTATAACACAGAATACATCTTCCTGATGCAAGGGCGTTGACTGACCAGAAAAGTCCAGTTTCCACCCTTGTGATACTAGGCTGGAATTCCAGGGTTACATTTTGGCTGGACTAACGAGTCTATGCATAGTCTAATCAAAATCGTCTAACAAACTAGACATTCGATTAATAAACAACATGGTTTTCAACTTGCAGATTTCATTTGACAAAAGGAATTGCAAAGCATGTGTACCTCCAATTTGGCATCGACAGATATTTAGCAAATCTTTTCATGTTTCTAATCAAGGTGCTCAAGGGATTTCATGCATTTGGTAAAGGAAGACCTGTTTTATTACAATACAGATCTTGATTATCGATCAGATTGTCCAGATTGGGCGCCACCATTTTGTTTGAAGTAAATGCAAGTGATATGAGAGGTGGAATCTGATTGGTCAATAGGAGGGACATAGAAAGGACTAACTCGTAATAGCCACTGGTGGCGCTACAAATTCCAGCCTAGTTTGGCAACGGTGAAAACTGCACATATTATTGTTACCAACTTTCATGTAAAATGCATAATCATGATAATGTTGTTTAATGGCAATTAACAATTCATTTGAAGGAGCTGACTGCAGTCTTTGCCCCAAACTACAAATCTGTCTCCCGTTCCATAGGGCGATTATTGTACTTGTATGTTAAAACATGGGCATTGCGTTACTCGTAGTCCAAGGGTCACTTAGTTGAACAGGTCCTGAACTATCGTCAAGTTACTATTACCCACATTAGTACATTGTGGTCAACATGGTCGAAATAAAAACAAAACTATTTGACCAGACTCCTGACCGATTAAGCCTCTGACTGTGACTGTATTTTGAATTCGAGACAAAATAGCGGATGAAGCATGCCAGAACACTGCAGTCTCCTTGAATGATCTCAAACCAATGAACCTAATCATGTAAACATGGGTAGATAGTTAATGAATACACCATTGCATGAGTGAATTCCATTGCATGAAGTGATGATATCCATGGCTGTTGTTACTGACATCGTTTCAACAAGGCTGTCCGAGCTGACACTAACAACTTGAAGGCGTCTTCACTTCCTGGTGCCACGCTCTTGTCAGGATGCAGCAACACGGCCAGCTTCCTGTACGCTTTGTTCACATCATCCCTGGGGAAACACAACACACACTTGTTACACAACACCATGGAGTTGACAGAAGCGTCATGTTACTGTATGTGAGCAGTGATGAACACTTTTCATTTTTTGTTTCTCGGACCATCAAAATAACACTGAGTTGCTGAGATGGATTCTGGCCTAACCATAACATTTCATCACCTTACGTGACACGTCTAGTTAACTTTGTTTCAGTAAAAACAAATATTTTATCAATATCGAAAGAAAGTCAAAGTTGTGTAGTTTATCAGCACAATATACTATGTTTGCCTCTTGGACAAACTATCCTATTATGACCAAGGTGCATCTTTTCAACTCTCAATAAAATCTAATCGTTCACACTGATACCATACGTCTCTGCACTGATTAAGATCTCACAAAATCTCTATACAGGTTGCATCACGAGAACACTGAGCAAACTTAGACTGACAAATCTAAAAGGAGGCGTGGGTTCTTGAGCCAACCAGTTGTAAACTTTCCAAAACAATTCGGCTTCCTTTTATTATCACCTTGATTCGGAAATGTTTCGATTTGTATAGCAGAAATGAACACAGAACATGAATATTCTTTGCCACTGTGCTCAGAAACAACAGGATGTATGAAATATCCACAACAATATAATGGTACCACTATACTATACTACTTGTTTTCGAGAAACAAAAAACAGATACGCTGGTTTGAATGCTTCACTCACTTAAACTGAGAATTTCGAATCCTTGACAGTGAGAAAGTTCACCTGACGCAACATCCAAAGGAGGTGACCTCAGATCTTCACACAGATAGGCATCATGTTGGAGTAACAGATCTGACGTTAATGAGACATCAATAAACATGGTGTTAAATCTTCTACACTTACTTGGATGCCCCTGGAGAGAGACCGAGCCTCTCGAAGTCTGACTTAGAATTTTTTAGCCTCTGTATGGCATCAATCTGCTCCTTGGTGTATCCGAGCTGCGTCTGTACAGGAAGTCTCTTCCCACCATTGTCTACTGTACTCACAACTCCATCAAACAACATCTGCAGTGGGGACAAGCAGGCATATCAGGGAATGTTAACCATTTCCTATAACAGCATGCATCTATGACCTCGATGACTATGAGGATAACTTTGTGTTGAGTGCTATTTCCCTACAAAGCTTGCCTGCATACTATTTCCATAGAGAAGCTTATATGAGTACTAATTCCCTACTAAGCTTGCCTGTGTACAATTTCCCTACTAAGCTTGCCTGTGTACTATTTCCATAGAGAAGCTTATGTGAGTACTATTTCCCTAGTAAGCTTGCCTGTGTACTACTTCCCTACTAAGCTTGCGTCAGTACTATTTCCCTACTAAGCTTGCGTCAGTACTATTTCCCTACTAAGCTTGCCTGTGTACTACTTCCCTACTAAGCTTGCGTCAGTACTATTTCCCTACTAAGCTTGCCTGTGTACTATTTCCATAGAGAAGCTTATATGAGTACTATTTCCCTAGTTAGCTTGCCTGTGTACTATTTCCCTAGTAAGCTTGCATGAGTACTATTTCCCTACTAAGCTTGCGTGAGTACTATTTCCCTACTAAGCTTGTGTGAGTACTATTACCCTACTAAACATGATAAGCTTGCCTGTGTACTATTTCCCTACTAAGCTTGTTTCACTTCTGGCTGGTAATACACCTGTCGTGCGAGGCATGTTAAAGTGTGTACTTGAAGTAAGGCAGGTACCTGTACATGTACAAATTAAGTATATATAAGTATTACTATAAATTACATAAATATAAGTATTACTACAGGTCCTGTAGTTGACAAAACATAACATATGTGCAATGGAATCAATTAGTTTTGAACATTCTACAGGTTAAGGTATCACTAAGCCTAGTTAATTATTAGTTTGCAATGCCTTATGTGGCCATTTTGATTTCCTAGTTAAGAACATTTTGACGACCATGCTTTTTCATATGAGTTACTTGTGACATCAAGCATAGGGATACCAGGGCCTAATCCCAACATGCCGGCAATTCTAGAGACTGCATACCAAAATAGCTGACAACCAATGCAAGGGAGGCAACTACCTGAAACATGTCATTGATTCCCTCCCCTGTCTGTGCCGACACTTCAAAGTAGTTGTAGCCACGAGAATCGGCCCACAATCGGCCCTCCATTTCATCAACAGTTCTTTTCTTGTCAATCTACAAAATATATCATACTTGATAAAAGCAAAATCACAATGATTTGAGGCACATAACGCCTATAAAATTTCTTATCTGTAGAATTTCTTTCTTATTTATGACCATTGGTGTTGTAATCTTTTCATCGTAGTACCATACACACTTCATCTCTCACCTTGTTAGTAAACACACACAAGGGTGTCCATCTCTCACCTTGTTAGCATACACACACAAGGGCATCCATCTCTCATCTTGTTAGCAAACACACAAGGGCATCCATCTCTCACCTTGTTAGCATACACACACAAGGGTGTCAATCTCTCACCTTGTTAGCATACACACACAAGGGCATCCATCTCTCATCTTGTTAGCAAACACACAAGGGCATCCATCTCTCACCTTGTTAGCATAAACACACAAGGGTGTCAATCTCTCACCTTGTTAGCATAAACACACAAGGGCATCCATCTCTCACCTTGTTAGCATACACACACAAGGGTGTCCATTCCTCACCTTGTTCGCATACACACACAAGGGTGTCCATTCCTCACCTTGTTAGCACACACACAAGGGTGTCCATCTCTCACTTTGTTAGCACACACACAAGGGTGTCAATCTCTCACCTTGTTAGCACACACACAAGGGTGTCAATCTCTCACCTTGTTAGTAAACACACACAAGGGTGTCAATCTCTCACCTTGTTAGTAAACACACACAAGGGTGTCCATCTCTCACCTTGTTAGCATACACACAAGGGTGTCCATCTCTCACCTTGTTAGCACACACACAAGGGTGTCCATATCTCACCTTGTTAGCACACACACAAGAGTGTCCATATCTCACCTTGTTAGCACACACACACAAGGGTGTCCATATCTCACCTTGTTACCACACACACAAGGGTGTCCATTCCTCACCTTGTTCGCATACACACACAAGGGTGTCCATTCCTCACCTTGTTACCACACACACAAGGGTGTCAATCTCTCACCTTGTTAGCATACACACACAAGGGTGTCCATCTCTCACCTTGTTAGCATACACACAAGGGTGTCCATCTCTCACCTTGTTAGCACACACACAAGGGTGTCAATCTCTCACCTTGTTAGCATACACACAAGGGTGTCCATATCTAACCTTGTTAGCACACACACAAGGGTGTCCATATCTCACCTTGTTAGCACACACACAAGAGTGTCCATATCTCACCTTGTTAGCACACACACACAAGGGTGTCCATATCTCACCTTGTTACCACACACACAAGGGTGTCCATTCCTCACCTTGTTCGCATACACACACAAGGGTGTCCATTCCTCACCTTGTTACCACACACACAAGGGTGTCAATCTCTCACCTTGTTAGTAAACACACAAGGGTGTCAATCTCTCACCTTGTTAGCACTCACACAAGGCTGTCCATCTCTCACCTTGTTAGCACTCACACAAGGCTGTCCATCTCTCACCTTATTAGCACACACAGAAGGGTGTCCATTCCTCACCTTGTTCGCATACACACACAAGGGTGTCCATCTCTCACCTTGTTAGCATACACACAAGGGTGTCCATCTCTCACCTTGTTAGCACACACACAAGAGTGTCCATATCTCACCTTGTTAGCACTCACACAAGGGTGTCCATCTCTCACCTTGTTAGCACACACACAAGAGTGTCCATATCTCACCTTGTTAGCACTGACACAAGGGTGTCCATCTCTCACCTTGTTAGCACTCACACAAGAGTGTCCATCTCTCACCCTGTTAGCACTTACACAAGGGTGTCAATCTCTCACCTTGTTAGCATACACACACAAGGGTGTCCATCTCTCACCTTGTTAGCATACACACAAGAGTGTCCATCTCTCACCTTGTTAGCATATACACACAAGGGTGTCCATATCTCACCTTGTTAGCATACACACACAAGGGTGTCCATCTCTCACCTTGTTAGCACACACACAAGGGTGTCCATATCTCACCTTGTTAGCACACACACACAAGATTGTCCATCTCTCACCTTGTTAGCACTCACACAAGAGTGTCCATATCTCACCTTGTTAGCACACACACAAGGGTGTCAATCTCTCACCTTGTTAGCACACACACAAGGGTGTCCATCTCTCACCTTGTTAGCACACACACAAGGCTGTCCATCTCTCACCTTGTTAGCACCCACACAAGGGTGTCAATCTCTCACCTTGTTAGCACACACACACACAAGGGTGTCCATCTCTCACCTTGTTAGCACTCACACAAGGGTGTCCATCTCTCACCTTGTTAGCACACACACAAGGGTGTCCATCTCTCACCTTGTTAGCACACACACAAGGCTGTCCATCTCTCACCTTGTTAGCACACACACAAGGGTGTCTATCTCTCACCTTGTTAGCACACACACACACAAGGGTGTCCATCTCTCACCTTGTTAGCACTCACACAAGAGTGTCCATCTCTCACCTTGTTAGCACACACACAAGGGTGTCCATATCTCACCTTGTTAGCACACACACAAGAGTGCCTATACCACACCTTGTAAGCACACACACAAGAGTGTCCATATCTCACCTTGTTAGCACTCACACAAGGGTGTCCATCTCTCACCTTGTTAGCACACACACAAGAGTGCCTATACCACACCTTGTTAGCACTCACACAAGAGTGTCCATATCTCACCTTGTTAGCACTCACACAAGGGTGTCCATCTCTCACCTTGTTAGCACACACACAAGAGTGTCCATCTCTCACCTTGTTAGCACACACTCACACAAGGGTGTCCATCTCTCACCTTGTTAGCACACACACAAGGGTGTCCATCTCTCACCTTGGTAGCACACACACAAGAGTGTCCATCTCTCACCTTGTTAGCACACACTCACACAAGAGTGTCCATCTCTCACCTTGTTAGCACACACACAAGAGTGTCCATATCTCACCTTGTTAGCACACACACAAGAGTGTCCATATCTCACCTTGTTAGCACACACACAAGGGTGTCCATATCTCACCTTGTTACCACACACACAAGAGTGCCTATACCACACCTTGTTAGCACACACACAAGGGTGTCCATATCTCACCTTGTTAGCACACACACAAGAGTGTCCATATCTCACCTTGTTAGCACACACACAAGGGTGTCCATATCTCACCTTGTTAGCACACACACAAGAGTGCCTATACCACACCTTGTTAGCACACACACAAGGGTGTCCATATCTCACCTTGTTAGCACACACACAAGGGTGTCCATCTCTCACCTTGTTAGCACACACACACACAATGGTGTTGTCAACCTCGGTCTTGTCTCCCATCTCATTGTGCATCTCCTGCACCCACGCATCCAGAGACTCGAAGCTCACACGGTCAGACACATCGAACACAAGAATTGCACCCTGTGCATCTCGGTAGAACTCATTGCGAACCTACAACATAGCATGTGACATGCATCATAAAACAAACACCACAAATGTATCCACAATATTTCTTTTAATATCAACATCCAAGTACATATCAACTTTTCTTCAAATGGTCACCAAATCAGTCATTGTGAACCAGGGTTCATTCAGATCTTTGGACTCTAAATTCAAGCACTTTTAAGCACTTTTCAAGGAAAAACATTTGTTTTCAAGGACCCTTTTCTTGATTCACAATGCCCAAATCCTGTAAATTTAATCCCAACAATTACTAACCAGTTTTTCTGGTCACGGCTGCTTTGTCTGTGGGACTTTAGCGCACTTTCCCCCATCATCAGCCTATCATACCAAAATCAATTTCCTTCCTGTTTCACACACCAATTGGTTCTTTGAAACTTTAAAACCCATTTCCCTATGATTTAAACACAATTTGGCTATTTTCCGGATCCTCTGCTTGGTCTGTCGCAGAAACAGGAACCAGTCCAGAGTTTCAAGTTCTGCTCATGATAATGTTAATAAAACTATATTCAGGAATAAAATGAGCAAAGGAATTGATGCACGTAACCCACAGAAAGAAGACAGTCTTTCTTTTTTATGTTTTAAGCAGCAGGAAATAAACAATGCATTAAATCTTGACCGATTATAATTTTCAGTAGCAATTTTGTTACAGCTAGTCCGTTCTTATTGACATTCCTGCACTTTTCAAGAAGTGTAAAAAAAATCCAGCTCTTCGATGGTACAATAGCAGAATCAATCACTTTTTTATCGGAAATGGTTCAATTCAAGCACTTTATAAATCTGTGTGAACCCTGTGAACATACTAAGGTAACTACTTTCACAACTTTAACATTGCAACAAAAGAAGAGGCATCGTACCTCATAAAATATGGGATGCCCTGCCATATCGAAGATGTTGACTTTAACATCTCGGTCCTTCACACTGATCCTGCAATAGACAAGATGATGATCACATTAAACAACGACCATCTGTATGTGTTAAAATCTTTGTCACAATAGCTTCATTTGCTTACCACCTTAATTTTTAAAAAGTCAATCTCAGCAACAACAAAAAATGCCGAAGAACACAAATATACACCTCTAATAGTACAACTTTTCTATCAAGATGCCATGTTGTAGGCTGTAGATAATATCCATAACAATAAAACTTGTAATGAGAATTTGAAAGCCTCAACACTCATTGGCTGAGTAGAAAATTCACCTCACAAGACCTCCTTTGGAGATATTCTCAGATCTTCATGCAGAGATGGATCATATTTGAGCAAAAGATCTGATTTGGGGAGAGATTAGATAATAGCCTCATTATCATTACTAAGTAAAACTAACATTACTGTGTGGTAGAAACAAACAGTTTTAGTCCACTAGTCCTTATAATGATAACATATAGCAAAACCCTGAAAAATGGCAAGTATCTACTAGTCCTTATGATACCTTAACTATTGGGTAGTTTGGCAAGGACTACAGGACTAGTGCCAATTTCTACCGCTGCATTATTAACATAATAATTAAAAAATCAGAACAATAACCACCAAATGAAAATCAACAGTGATGTACTTACTTGGTGACGCCATAGTCGATGCCTATAGTAGCCAAGTATTTGTGGACAAACCTCTTCTCACAGTAACGTTTGATTATACAGCTCTGGAAGGCAAGCACAAGGAAAGTGTTGTTAATGTTTTTGTTCTAATTTACCTGATCCATCTTGGATGATGTTAACTCACTATTCTCGGGGCAGTTTCATATGTATAAGATGTTTCTTCAAATATCAGAAATCTGGTGTTTTGCTTTGCATATCATGTTAAATAAAAATCTGTTGGATGTAGACTTCTTGGATTCTCAACCTCAACTAGTAGTGGGACAATACAGCGATGCATCGGTGGATAATGATTTTTAACTTCTCTCAAAGTCGCACACACTAAATAAAAAGTATTGAATCTTATCTTAAATAAATTCTTTAACAAATGTTACACCAAACACTAATTACATGTACTAGTGAAAATGAATAGTGAAAATGTAAATATTTTCATCCATTGCAGCATACTTTACACTGCCAACTGTAAATTGATGGTGTGCCAGGTTTTTGGCCATCCTGTCTATGAAAAAGATGGCTTATGCTACGAAGATAAGAGCACATGTAAGTATCGTGATATGTATCAGATCGTGAGCAAAGTATCGTGATACGTATCCGATCGCGCATATGGTGTATTGTCTCAGGCCTAAGCCCAACCAATACTAAAAAACGAGTACATGCATAAGAATCGCCAGTTGATTGATTAAATGAAAAACAATGATGCCTCACACCCTGATTTGGAACATTTGACCATTGGTACAGGAGTGAGTGAGTGAGTGAGTTGGGTTTAACGCCGCTTTTAACAGTATTCCAGTTATATCGTGGCGTGTCAGCTTAATGTGGGAGGAAAGCCCTAAGTGATGCAGTTCTCAGACGTTTACCACTTCGGTGAAATCCACGAGCACGGGTATGGTGCTGACAAATCTAGAAACATAATCGGGGCGAACCGAGATTCGAACCCACAATCATAGGTTTCTGGCGTGCTTAAAGGATCAGTCTGCACAGCGAATTGTGGCGCCATAGACGACTGGGCCACCTGTGCCCCCCCATTGCTACAGGAGCAAGTAGCATATGAGGTGGAGGGATAATAACAGTCATGGCCATTGCAATCCCATGTGGAGCTTCATAGTACTGCTCGTTAGTATAAGCATTCTTAATTGAGCGTTGTGTGTTACTGTAACCTTAGAAATAGTAACATAATGATTGTGACAGTTGGAAGTCAGTTATGCTTTGGTGATGATAAAGTAAACAAGCGTATACACTGAGAGAAGTTGTTGTTTATATCAAATGGTGCTACTCTGGAACTGAAAGAACAATATCAACACAATGCAGAACTGAATTTAGCATTAAAAGAATACTAACTTCAGGGTCAGGTTGATTATAGGTCAGTCAGCATGGTCGGTGATGAACAAGGACTTACATATTAAGGCTCAGTGGGACACTTGTACCATATGCCACAAAACAAGATAGAGATTCCACTCTGTACTAGTTCAGATCGGAAATGACATGCTCCCAAATCAAATGCAAACTGTGAAGCATGGTTTCCCAGGAGTCACTGTGGGCTAGGGCTAGGACCCACAGTGGGTTAGGGCTAGGACGGGTAACTCGGGTACTTGGGTCGGGTGAGTCCTAGTAGGACTACCTGGATCCATGGTTAGTCATGTGATGTATTGTTTAATGACAAAAACTCACTTATAGCTCAGTGGTTACACGACAAGTTGCTAATGTTTGCATGTTTTCTGACGATGCACACATTCCTTTTGACTTGCTTATGTTTGAGTAAAGATAAAGCTTTAGTCAACTTCAGTGTTCGGATGATCTGATCGTTTGATACATGTATCTAACTCGTTTTTGGCAGGGCTGGGGTAAAACAATTCCCAGTCAGACATTTTGTTCCAAACTCTTGAAACATACAGTGAGTACCTGAGTAGGGTCAGGTAATAGGGGGTCGGGTACTCGGGTAGTAAATATGGAGTCTTCCCAGCCCTACTGTGGGTACAAAGTGACTATAGGTGGGTGCAATTTGACTGTAGGTGTTATTCATCAAGCTATCCAGGTTTATGAATGAGGAAAAAACATGGTTCTTTCCATGCTTGCAGTTGCCCTAACATCTTAGGATCAGCATCATGCTGTTGTTTCAATGTTTGCAAATGTTTTGTAACATATGAAACATCTAGGTTGATATATCGTGATCATATTTTGAAGACAGATGATCATGCTGATGTCATAAAAGCAACGCCATATAACTGGAAATATGACCAATGATCAGCATCTGTGTCAATGTCAATCTGTTTGTTTGTTGAACACCGCACACAGCAATATTACAGTTATATGACGGTGGTCTGTAAATAATCCAAATCTGGACCCGTCAATCAAGTGATTGACATCATGAGCATGGGTCCACGCAATTGGGATACAATGACATGGATCAACCAAGTCAGCGAGCATGACCACCCGATCCTGTTAGTAACCTCTTATGACAAGCATACTCGCCTTTTACGGCAAGCATGTGTTCCAGAAGTTCTATTCTACGCTGGATCTTCACGGGTCAAATGTCAATCTGAAAATTTCAGCACCAAAACATGATTTATAACATGATAAACCCAACACAAACATAGGTGGGGATGGAATTCTTTGTGAATTTCCAAAAGTTAACTTTGTTCTGAGTATAAATTTACCTTGCCAGTCTCAGCATTTCCCATACTTATTATCTTGATTCGCAGGGAACGACGAATACCTTTGTTGGACATGATGGATGATATCAGAGAGAGTATGTTTCCCACGCTCTCTGTTATTACTGGTAATGTGAGACGAGATTCATCCGTTCAACAAATTGCCAGTGACCCGGTATGTTGTCAAGAACGCTACTTTGTTCAGTTGACATTTCACTTTGATTTTAATCCTATAGGAGCCATTACCGCAAAAGATGAACGAATGTCAAAAAGCCACTCTGGATGTCATAGAAATCCTTCAGAATAAGTTACTTTGTGTCTGTTTCATCTACACTGAGTTGCTAAATTCCTCCGTGTTTCGTCCATGCCCAAATAATGTTGACAACTCAATCGGAAAATGTCGCTGATTTACGAGACTATATGATTTTTCGACAGCGAGAGAAGGTATCATAAGAACGTTCCGATTGATTCTGAACTTCGCAATAAATACTGTTCGGTTTGTGATTGGTTGTAACTATTCTTCATGTATATATACACGCGCGATGAAGGATAACTCCGTGGATAACTCCAATAGTGGTTAAATTAATAGAAGAGACCATAAAATATATGTATTAAGCGCCACTGTTATTTCGATTCAAATGGTCGGTAACGTGTCTGTGCTTACTCGAAGATTCTTGTCAGCATCTTACAACTGACACCACATATTGAATCATATATTGGAATTTCACATTAAAGTCATCCAGCTAATTTGCTTGATATACCAAGACATTGTCACAATTTTTGTTTCAGTAGACTTCCTGATATCAAGTTCCAGAGAGTATTTGAATTTGTGCCATGATGCAGTGTAGCAACACTTATTTGAAGATGATTCCTGGCTCCTGTTGTGCTTCGTCACTTGTATATGTAACAACAGGTTCTTTTAGCAAATAATTCCCATGAAACTTTACTTTAGGCAATACCTGTGATGTATGGTAGAACTGGGGCCATGAGGGCTGTAACTCGCCAGGCTGCTATACAAGATAAAGTAAGCTTGATCTCACTCGTACTGAGAATTAGTAAGCTTAGAAACCTTTGCACACTCCATCTGAAACAGCATTATAATTTCCTGTCATGAAAAATGAAACTTTTGTTGATGCGCTTACTGTATCCCTTCCGTTCATCATTTTACGTCGGTTTAATCTATGTATCACTACTGGCTGCCACTGAAACGATAAGCGGAAGAGGGGATACAGGAAACTGCTGCTACACCAGTTCTCAGCTCACCGTTACGGTCTCAGATGAATCTAAAGTAAGGGAGCAACCATTTATGGCGGTGTCATAATAATATCTAAAAACAGTACTGAATTTTTACTACATAGCCTATGCTTCACATTGAAGGAAAGGGGTTAATGTGCTCTAACTCCAACCAAACGCTGTCCCGTGTATTCATTAAAATGGCTCAATTATATTTATCTGAATGGATGGAGGACGGGAAGTGAAGGAGACATACAAATGTCTGTTTTCTTGGGGACCGCCTCCGTGGTCTAATGGTAGAGCGTCCGCCCGGAGAGCGGAAGGTCCGGGGCGTCGATCCACGGCCGCGTCATACCAAAAGACGTTTAAAGATGGTACTTGTTGTTACCCAGTCTGGCGCTCGGCATTAAGGGGCTAAAACAAGGACTGGTCGGCTCGGAGTCAGTTGACTGTGTCTGAGTGGGGTATTCATGTTAAACTGCGGCATGGTATCTCAGTGTGCTAGCACTATAAATCGGCATCAGTCTGGACTAGTACAAGCAGCCACACACACACACACACGTGCATTCACGTCGCTATATAAGTGCAATAATCTTGGACACGACGTTAAACCCCATTTCACCTCACCTCGCCTGTTTTCTTGGCAGATAGCTGAAACGGCACCTCAGCAAAAACGTCACCGAGCGAAATCGTCACCTTATTATTTTTTAACCTTGGCACTGAAATACATGAAATTAAACTCACATGAAAATACATTCACATAAAGCATATATACTACCACATAAATCGTTCTTATCGTTATTTAAAATAGAGGTGCCGTTTTCGCCCGACAACTGGTAGCCGTTTTCGCCTAATGAGGTGCCGTTTTCGCCCGAAAAATTGGTGACGTTTTGCTGAGGTGCCGTTTAGCCTGTATCCCATACATCTTCATTCGTTTTGTTAAGTGGACAAGTTAATCAAACAGGAAATGACATTATAAGTCCAGTTTCCACCCTTGCCGAACTGGGCTGGATTTATGGAGTTATATACTTGGTTGGACTGACACTAACGAGTTTATGCATAGTCCTATCAAAACCGCGTATCGAAATCAACGTTCGGTTCATAAACAACATGGCGACTGACGTGCAGTTTTTCGTCGATTGCGGGATTTACGGAGCATGTCTTCCACCAACTGGCCTTGGTCAGATGTTTTCCTTATCTTTTCATGTTTTTAATCAGGGTGCTCAAATGATTTGATATACTTCGCGAGGCAGGACCCATTTTATTACAATAAACACATTGAGTATCAATCAGATCATCTTGAATTTTGTGAGGTTAAATGTGATTGGTCAGCGGGAGAAACGTAGAAGGGACATAACTCATAAACGCAGCTGGTGGTGCCCACAATCGAGCTACGAAATTCCAGCTTAAAAAGTTCGGCAAGGGTGGAAACAGGACTTTTACACTCAGTTAACTCCCTTGCCTTGGGAAGGTGGCTGCTGGAGTGGCGTCTATGTCAGGGACATGTTTCACAAGCTAACATGTGCATGAATGTATCAATAGTGACTGATTAATGACCAGTTCTTATATAGCATGATCAGAATTCTCTCCCTTATGTGAAGGTTGGCGAGATTATCTTGATTTTGATTTATGTAAGTGAGCGTAATGTGTGAGGAAAGCCAAACATGACACTGGCCAAGACATTTAAAACTAGGTGAAACCCACAAGCACAACTGACAATTGAAGAATCAAAGGACACTTTAGGCATGTGTTCCCATTGAATACAACTAAGGTGTGATTTATATGAGGTGAGGTGAGGTGAGGTGAGGTGAGGTGAGGTGAGGTGAGGTGAAATTGGGTTTAACGTCGCGTCCAAGATTATTGCACTTATATATAGCGACGTGCATGCACGTGTGTGTGTGTGTGTGTGTGTGTGTGTTGCTGCTTGTACTAGTCCAGACTGATGCCGATTTATAGTGCTAGCTCACTGAGATACCATGCCGCAGTTTAACATGAATACCCCACTCAGACACAGTATACTGACTCCGAGCCGACCAGTCCTTGTTTGAGCCCCTTAATGCCGAGCGCCAGACAGGGTAACAACAAGTACCATCTTTTAAAGTCTTTTGGTATGACGCGGCCGGGGATTGAACCCCGGACCTTCCGCTCTCCGGGCGGACGCTCCACCACTAGACCACGGAGGCGGCTGTGATTTATATGAACATCTGGTATCAGCCATTCATATAATTTTTACCACTTTTTTTACTTTCACACCCAATAGAATCTGTTTTGTTGGCAAATCAAGACTATATATGGTTATTCTCTAGCTTTGACATTGTTTTTTTTACAAAAATACACCTATGAGCTACACAGAATTTAAGTTATCTGTCAATAGAAAATTTAGAAATCTGTTCCTGATCACAAGTGGAGACCAGAGCTCAGTCAATACATCGTTGGAATGATGTGACATGAAACCATCTGTGATGCAATGACCACTGGATGATGTCATGTTCCATTGTTTGCAACAGGATGTTGGTATGATGCAATATGTTACTGCTTTCAATGAAATATGGAACAATTGGCATAAAAACAATTGGCATGAACTAACCAATCAGTGTGAAGCAAAAATAATATCATGTGAGACTTACTGAAAGAACTTCACTGGTTTCCATGTGTCTGTGAGTGAAACAGTCAAAAAGAACAAGACAAGACTGAATTCATATTGTAATATACAGTTTATTGAAGCATGTACAAATGTTTATTTATTTATATACACAAGATATTGACACACATACTTTATGCATCCTCGCCGCCATCACTACCTATATGTACATCAACATGACCTTGACCCAGGGGCCCCCGTACAGTATCAACACTTGGTGCACAGTATCGGTGTCAGACCAACAGGACTAGCCCATTGTGTAAAGTTGCTTAACAGGCAAAATCTGATATAATATGGGTGAACAACAGACTTGTGCACCAATAATTGATAGAACAGAAAAGCCCATACACGCAAAACTATCTCTAAATGTCTGTAATCTGATACGCAACTGAAAACTCGCCATTGAAGATCGTCTAGTGAGATGGTCCGACAAAAAAAAAAATTGAACAAAATCATTATCCCATATAAGTCCACTTAATATTCCTCTTATCAAACTTCACCAACATCATAATCAAGTTAACCTTTGACCTTGTTCAGATTGTACATCACTAAATGCTGACTGAAGAGTTGCTTTATTTAATACAAAATATTTACAGTTATTTCCATGCTAAATATTGGTCAATGAAAAGCTCACTCAGTGTTATGTCTATTCGACTGCAATAGTGACCACAGTGTTATGCTGCAACTGTGTAAAGACGTTACATCAAACAATCTTGCATTAATAAATACCTGTATTAAATACAAAAATATTGCCTCTAGATACATTAGCATTTTCCAATATCAACCATATGTTATAGTAGGAATTGAGGGTATCATATTACATTCTCATATATATATATAAAGTAATACCAATTTCTCCTTTTTCTTAAACATTTTCAACCAATCTGAGACCTCTATGCATTAATGACATGTCAATTCTGTATCATTTTGGACATTTTATTTCAATCATGATTTGTGTTTTAGAATTGAAATGTTCCCCTATACATTTGAAATAACAAGTCACCCGCCTTAACAAGCCATTAGCCTACAACAAACTAATTGCTTGTGTGTCAAATCTGTTGATGCGAAGACACGGCACATCTTATGGTTTGAGTCCATGAGATTAACTCTGAGCTTAACATTTTTTACATTTGATATTTATGTATTGACTCAGGAAACAATGTTAACTCCACCTGAAGTAAGGGTCCTTTATTGTCTGGTGTTGTGCTGTTTGTCTGGTGGACAAGGGAGATAACTTAATCACTAAACTGGAACCAGTCCAAACTGGGACAAAATTTGAAGGAAGGCAACAAGCGAGTAATTAACTTGTGGCAATCTGGAATGAATCCATAAAGTTACTGTGTATTTTGTCTTGCATTTTACAGAGCAAAGCTTCAAAAGAATCTTTCAACTCAAAGCATACTGATTTGTATTAATGTACTTACATACCATTTCTAAACATATACTAATTTAAAAGCATCAGTTTATTGAAACAGGTCTTGCTTCAAATGTGCAAGAATAAACAAACATACTTACGAGATATATGTCAATAGTTTTGTACTCTGATAAATTTAAGATTTTCAATAAATAAACTTTTTGGAATTACATGTAAAAGAACTCTTTATCACTCTTAATAAAGATATTTGAGAATAGCCGTATCACACTTGTAATATCCTGAAATAATTCACACTTTAACAATTGCATAACTATGAGGTGTTCAAATTATTTGAAAACTCAATGCTGATGTGATAATCAATATCTCAATGAGGTATATGTTACGATAAAGCTCTAAACATACAATGACCAGCAATGCTTGTGGGTCTCCCTCATTTCCTCTGTGCTTAATTTGTTCAATAAAATGACATTTATCCCCATCTAAATGTCCCTCGTCCTTGAAACCCTTACTAAATAGTGCATGAAGTTCCTCACATGCACAAACCGGGAAACAGCATGCCAAACCTCCGACCACACCCCAGACACAATGGGAACGAAAAATCTAAGAAATTTGTATTTCAAATCTTTACATAACGTCATAAATTGCCAGTGAAATAGATATTACTGGCAGACTGTGCTTCCATATCATGAATATCATATATTGGGAATTTTTTTTTTTTAATTCCCAATTCAGTGTTCCTTCACTATTGCGCCCTTCAAAATAGCACTAACTCTGTCATAGGGCGCGGGATCGCATCACTCCCAAAATTTACTTACATTTTTAATAAACTCAAGTTTCAACACTGACACGATGTTCTTCCCTATATCAAAAAACATTATCAGCTGCTCATTGCAAACACTTACACCAGAAATACCAGTCAACAAATCCGAACTGAAGTACGCAATCTAATCCCATTATCATACTATCAGGTTATGAAAGGTGTCCAATGTATAATGATATCTGGACTTATTTTTGTAATGTATCCTATGAGTACATGATATCATGATATGGAAACACATGAGGGCAACAATCAACGCGTTTGCTCAATATCACCTAGAAATTTAAGTTACTTTTTGTTGTCTTAATATTTTTTTCGAGTCCAACAAAGCGATCAAATAAATGGAAATAACATTATACTATTTTCATTTTTGGATTGTGGCTTTTGGCGCCAGTCACTGAAATTTGTTAACTGAAGATTAAAACTGATTAAAAATTGTTACCAAAGTGCTATAACGTGCACAAGACTTTGATAAGGCAGATGAATTGCAAGAATCATAGTCCTAAGACAATTTGGGGAAATAAGGCCCAGAAGTTTAATGTTGTAAAATTGTTCTTATAATACTTTGAAAACAACTGACCGATTTGTCAATGACTTGCAATGTCAAACATGCAAAATTTGCTGCTACACAACCTCCTTGATGTGTTTTAAGGGAAGTTCTGATTGGTTAGACCCAATTGTTCCATGTATAGTGATTGGAGGTTTGACAAAGCAGGATGTGGGGAACGACATGGAAAACAGTACTGGAGAATCATCCAATAAATAACCGTTTAAAACCTATATATGTATTGGCCATAACATTCTTAATGGGAATAAATGCCCTGTGTTATATAAATACTGAATGTACAACAATCGCGACATACAAGTAATAATATTTACATAAACGTTTTAACAAATCTTAACCATGTAGGTTCAGAATATGACAAATAAATACATCCAGGGATGACACCATTCTTGTAGATAAAACAACTGATTAATGTTCATAAGAAAACCAGGAAGTTAAAAACTGAATAAAAAAATAAAAAATAAAAAATAAACTTATTTTCAGATGGTGAAAGAAGCATCAGCACTACAATATTTTACTGTCAGCACTAAGATTACCACCGAGTAAAATTCGGTAAAATCTACCCTTACTGTTAAAATGTAAAACTGATCACGATGGTAATGGAGTCCCAGTTCGACTTCATGCATGATGATGTCATGGCCAATCAGTGAGATCATGTTGAATCTGACATTCTTGAAGGCAGCACCGTTGAATTAATACAGAAGAGCAAATTAAACAAACCTGCTCCTAAATTGATTTCATCATTCAACATGGAGTGGCATTCATCCAAATACAATAACAATGGCGCCTATAAATAGGAACTACAGTGAAAATATATCTCGTACCTATTAAGACCCCACCCCACATAAACTACTTTCGTATTAATTTTTCTGTGTTGAAATCACTATCTCTTTTAAAGTCCAAAATCTTCCAAATATAAATAATCTTTGAAACATTTTCAACAAAAAAATTCCTAGTTGTTCAGGAAGAATTAATATTATGTGAGTTTAGTGATGTGGGAATGAATAGTCTTAATCATTAAGTACATTTGTAATTGCTGCAATGAGCATAAAATGTCACCAATTTTATTGATTTTTTTTTAAAAAGATTGTAAGTCATAATGGCCATTTTATTTTGTTTGCATCTTGAATGGAATTTTAGCACAGAAAATGCATTAACAAAAGAAATAACTTTACTCAAAGTATCAAAATTTGACTCATATAAAGTAATGATTGTTCCAATAAGTATGAACAGTATGTGATCACTGAATAAATGAAGTTTGGGTTTTAATATGACAAAGTTATACCTTACCCCCGTTTGGGAAATAATTACTGAAATCTTTCAAAATCACGAACACCTTTAACAATAAGCATGAATATAAAAATTCAAACTTCCTGATGATTATATATATATATTTTTATGAATCAGATTAAACTCAATTAGACAAAAAGAAATGTTTGAAAGGATTTTATGTCCATGATTATCACATATACAGAGTTACCTCCCCTTGACCACATTACACAAGAAGAATGCCAATCTGATATCACACTTTTTGACACTAAAACCTCCAAAACATATTCCACTCGCAAGCACCAATATTTAAAAATTAATCACCTGAAAAGCAGTACATTTCTTTTTTGCCTAAATATGAAAATAACTTTGCACTGCCTTCTTTTGATTGGAAAACCATTTTGCTCTGCTCAGGAAGATTAGCATTTGTCGCAGTCAGTAAAATATCGTTATTTGATGTCAAGATGGAGATGAAAATCCTCTGGTGATAAAAAATAAATTAACACATAAAATTTTCATGACAGATTAAGAGAAAGGCTACAGTTTCATAGCTATCAAAAAAATCTGATCTGAACATAGCATGTCAAATAAAATACAAGTATGCATTTTCATCTACTGAAATAGAATTTAAATTATCACATCATAACACAACTAAAACGTGCAGAGATGAACTGTTACATTGTTTAAATATTTGTTAAAACTTAAAAGTGTTAAAACTGTTACATCATAATGTTAAGGCATAAATGGAAAGCCTATATGTGTTCATATTTCCACACAAACATCCGTCATACATGACTCAGCATTATCAGTATAATATATAGCTTGCTTCATACACGTAATATAAATTTCTCTCATAAAACGTCAGGTTCCCAAAACACACCAATCACACACTCAAACACTTCACACAAAGCACAATGAAAACATAACATTTACTGAAGGGAGATGTTACTAATGACATTGGGTTAATGACACAAATCGTTAAAAAATAACCTTTTTCACTGAATTGAGGAACCAGTATTTTATTGTGGGAGGTCAGAAAGAATTAACGTTAAATATATCAGAAAACGTGACAACTGTATGGGAAGGAAGTAATAAACCAACAGGTCTTGCGTGTCTTTAAAAAATACGGTTTTATACTCTTGAAATATTGTCATAATAATATATTTATTTTATAATTTATTTTATTGATGGATTAGGCTTATTTTCAGATTTATTTTACAGATGCAACAAACTACTTCACTGACATCATGGAGGACAATAGAGTTTGGAGTAAAATATCCATGAAGGGTTGCCTAGACAGTGGGGATGGGCTTAAAAGAGATTAAGGATAGAAATTCACAAGTTTAGATAGCTATATAAATGACTGGTCCCTGTATATTCTCAAACTTTGAATAATAGTCTCAAATTTAGAAATGTATCTACAGGTAGTTTGAGAAACGCGTAAGTATATTGACTTGCATCTTGACTATTTGAGCAGTACCTGCTTGTAACACACCCTTCCATACAAAAGCAGGCTGTTGACAGCTCATACTTGTCTCTCTCTCTCTCACTTTCTCTCTCTCACACACACAGCTGGACAGACAAACTGACATCACGTTCTGCAGATTCACTAAGCACACCTGAGGTCATACAAGCTCAATCTGACGATATTTTTTCCTCAAATTTGACACAGGATCTTTAAAAAGTAAGGGGTCCATCCGACTCTTTGATCGCACAAGTGGCATGTAGCCAAAAACACTGGCAAAAGTGTCCACACAAAGTTCTCTCTGTAGAAAATGAAACTGGTCCGTCCACGGGGACGTCTTGCTGGTGTTGGCTGCCCCCAGCATAGCCTCCTTGTATTGTTTTCTTTGGGTGACCTTGATGGGGGGAAGTTTGGTAACATGGCTGACTAGAAAGTTGAGAAGGATGTCTTCACAGTTTGCGGCCTGGTCGACGGTTTTTATCAACACACTGCTCAGGAGGTTGGTGTACAGGAAGTTGTAGTAGCTGAAAGCGAAACACATTTTCAGATCATTGTCAGCGTAGACAAAAAACATTGGCAAGAGGTCATTAACGTGGGACGAATTGGCGGTAGTCCTTGTATCGATCATTAAAACCAGTCAAAAGCCACATTGTTTGGATGGTTAAAATTTGTGATGTATAATGATTACTCAACCTAATATATATGAATGTGCGTGTGTGCGTGCGTGCGTGCGTGAGAGTAGACTCCAGACTCCAGAGTCCAGACTCGATTAAACATAGACTGCCGCCATATAGCTGAAATATTGCTGAGTGCGGCATTAAACAACAAACTAAACGACAACAACAAAAAATTCTTTAAAGCAGATCCTGTTAACCTCTCAGGATATGATGGATTAGTTATGACATCAACGCAGAATGTTCCGTACTGAGACTTCATGAGACTTCCTAACCCTGATAACCCATATGTCTGCTTACATCCCCTCTGGGCAACCTATCAAGAAGACATGTACTAACATCAGCCCAGCACACTTCTTATATCTAGTCCTCAATAAACACACATCTCATGAAATACCCATTCCTGACAAGAAGCAGGCCCGAGGGGACAGCCAATGGGTTGACCTTTGGCTAAAAAAAGCGTTTTGATGAAGCGACTTCTGAATCCAATAACTGGCAAACAACATGCAGTGACCTAGTGTAAATAACACTGTCATACTCATAACATACACGTTTCCTAGATCAGGCATGTTAAACCCATCTAGCATCGCGAACAGCCTGCATCCTGCTGCTGAACCAACGTGAGACTGTGCTCATCGTCTTCAAGATGTTCGATGCATCATCAAACTCAATGTTGTGTGCTTAACTCAAACCTGTATTTAGACTTGTCTGACTTACAGAAGCTGCAGGAGTTAATGAATTGCTTATTGTATAACCCCAAAGTACAATTGGCATGGGTGGAATTGTTTGTCCTTACTCAATCAAAGCCATTTTTGCAGGATTGTATTGTCAGGAAGATATCCTGGTGTATATCAAGCCAGGTGTATTGTGGTGTACATCAAGCCAGATGTATCCTGGTGTATATCAGGCAGGTGTATCATGGTGTATATCAAGCCAGATGTATCCTGGTGTATATCAAGCCAGGTGTATCATGGTGTACATCAAGCCAGTTGTATCCTGGTGTATATCAAGCCAGGTGTATCATGGTGTATATCAAGCCAGGTGTATCATGGTGTACATCAAGCCAGCAGTATCATGGTGTATATCAAGTCAGGTGTATCATGGTGTACATCAAGTCAGGTGTATCATGGTGTATATCAAGCCAGGTGCATTGTGGTGTACATCAAGCCAGGTGAATCATGGTGTACATCAAGTCAGGTGTATCGTAGTGTACATCAAGTTAGGTGTATCATGGTGTATATCAAGCCAGGTGTATTGTGGTGTATATCAAGCCAGGTGTTTCATGGTGTATATCAAGCCAGGTGTATCCTGGTGTATATCAAGCCAGGTGTATCATGTGTATATCAAGCCAGGTGTATCATGGTGTACATCAAGCCAGGTGTATATCAAGCCAGGTGTATTATGGTGTACATCAAGACAGGTGTATCCTGGTGTATATCAAGCCAGGTGTATCATGGTGTACATCAAGCCAGGTGTATCATGGTGTATATCAAGTCAGCTGTATCATGGTGTATATCAAGCCAGGTGTATCGTGGTGTAACAGGGTTAACTAGGGCAGTATCCCCTATCAGAGCTCCTAATAGGGTCAATAGGGCAGTAGTCCCTCCTATCCGAGCTCCTAACAGGGTCAGTAGGTCAGTATCCCCCAGCTGAGCTCCAAACTGGGTCAATAGGTCAGTATTCCCTATCTGAGCTCCTAACAGGGTCATCTAGGGCAGTATCCCTTATTTGCGCTCCTAACAGGGTTCACTAAGGCAGTATCCCTTATCTGAGCTCCTAACAGGATCAATAGTAAAGTATCCCCTATCTGAGCTCCTAACAGGGTCAACTAGGGCAGTATGGCCTATCTGAGCTCCTAACTGGGTTAACTAGTGCAGTATCCCCTACCTGAGCTCCTAACAGGGTCAACTAGGGCAGTACCCTATCTGAGCTCCTAACAGGGCCAATAGGGCAGTATCACCTATCCAGGCTCCTAACAGGTTAGCACTGTCTACAAATTGGATTCATGTTCCCTCCAGATGGTACGAGTTGATCAAAGGAAATGGCAGACTGGCTGTACTGGTATGACTTTGTCATGTTTGGGCCATTTTCAGGTCATGACAAATAATCTGCTGTCACATCTACATCACAGATTTGTGGGTGGGTGAAATATTTCTTCAGCTGCCGCCTCAACACATGAAGCACTGGACATGAGACAGTGAGGCAGAGAGCCGTCCATCAATACAGTTTTGTTTCATCAATAGTGGCCTGACTTAATCTAGGCCACCCTGCTCAGAACTAAAGGAAGCACAACGAGAACACCCACAGAGTGTGAGGACGAGACCGAAGGCAGAGACGCTGGTGTTCATACAGGATATACTGTTACCAAAATGCTGCTCTATTTTTTTGTCAAACAAATTTATCTGAAGCGCTGAATCAAAATAAAATAATTACTGGGTTATTTGGTTAAAAAATATTTTGAAAATATTAAAATAATCATGTCAAAAATGAAATATATTTCACCTAAATTATTTTGTGTTTTTAATGGATGTGATAAGTCATGTTGTCATCTGTCCAAGACAACAGTGAAACCAACCAAAGTTAACGAGTTTGTCCCTAATTATGTGAATGAGTATGGTTTTACGCCGCTTTTAGCAATATTCCAGCAATATCACGGTTGGGGACACCAGAAATGGGCTTCACACATAGTACCCATGTGGGGAATTGAACCCAGGTCTTCAGCGTGACAAGTGAACGCTTTAACCACTAGGCTACCCCACTGCCCGTCTAATCATGTGAATAATAACCAGGAACAATATAGGAACAAGCCTGATTTCTGTGTATACATATGGTAAGACGGTGGGAGGTGAAATGGCACATAATGTCGCATTCAACATTTTCATATGACGTGCATGTATGTGTGTGTTGTGTGTTTGTGTTTCTATGGTAGACTAACATCTAGCCTCTGAAATGATCAAATTTCACAGAAAAAAATAGTTGTTAAATTATCCTAACAAAACATAATAAAAAGGAGCCCAGAGACTCATCCTGATACGGCAGTAATCTAGACTTGTCACCTATTATAGACTTGCACGGGCTGTATTGGATTTATTTGTTTCAGGGTCTGTATGGTGTGTGTGGATGCTTGTGCTTGTCTGGACTAATGCTGGCTTTTTAGTGTTAGTCAACAGAATATATTATGCTGAAGTTTAACATGAATACCTCACTCAGACACTGTATACTGACTCCGTGCCGATAAGTTTTGTTTTCCCAACTAATCATGTCTTTTGGTGTGACACACATGCGGATCAAATCACCGACCTCCGCTCTCCAAACTCATGTGCGGACTGTGTGAGTGTGTGAGCATGTGAGTGTGTGAGCGTGTGACTGTGTGAGCATGTGACTGTGAGTGTGTGAGCATGTGAGTGTGTGAGCATGTGAGTGTGTGAGCATGTGAGTGTGTGAGCATGTGAGTGAATGTGTGAGTGTGTGAGCATGTGACTGAGTGTGTGAGTGTGTGAGCATGTGACTGTGAGCATGTGAGTGTGTGAGCATGTGAGTGTGTGAGCATGTGAGTGTGTGAGCATGTGAGTGTGTGAGCATGTGAGAGTGTGTGAGCATGTGACTGAGTGTGTGAGTGTGTGAGCATGTGACTGTGAGCATGTGAGTGTGTGAGCATGTGAGTGTGTGAGCATGTGGGTGTGTGAACATGTGAGTGTGTGAGCATGTGAGTGAATGTGTGAGTGTGTGAGCATGTGACTGAGTGTGTGAGTGTGTGAGCATGTGACTGTGAGCATGTGAGTGTGTGAGCATGTGAGTGTGTGAGCATGTGGGTGTGTGAACATGTGAGTGTGTGAGCATGTGAGTGAATGTGTGAGTGTGTGAGCATGTGACTGAGTGTGTGAGTGTGTGAGCATGTGACTGTGAGCATGTGAGTGTGTGAGCATGTGAGTGTGTGAGCATGTGAGTGTGTGAGCATGTGGGTGTGTGAACATGTGAGTGTGTGAGCATGTGAGTGAATGTGTGAGTGTGTGAGCATGTGACTGAGTGTGTGAGTGTGTGAGCATGTGACTGTGAGCATGTGAGTGTGTGAGCATGTGAGTGTGTGAGCATGTGAGTGTGTGAGCATGTGAGTGAATGTGTGAGTGTGTGAGCATGTGACTGAGTGTGTGAGTGTGTGAGCATGTGACTGTGAGCATGTGAGTGTGTGAGCATGTGAGTGTGTGAGCATGTGGGTGTGTGAACATGTGAGTGTGTGAGCATGTGAGTGAATGTGTGAGTGTGTGAGCATGTGACTGAGTGTGTGAGTGTGTGAGCATGTGACTGTGAGCATGTGAGTGTGTGAGCATGTGGGTGTGTGAACATGTGAGTGTGTGAGCATGTGAGTGAATGTGTGAGTGTGTGAGCATGTGACTGAGTGTGTGAGTGTGTGAGCATGTGACTGTGAGCATGTGAGTGTGTGAGCATGTGAGTGTGTGAGCATGTGAGTGTGTGAGCATGTGGGTGTGTGAACATGTGAGTGTGTGAGCATGTGAGTGAATGTGTGAGTGTGTGAGCATGTGACTGAGTGTGTGAGTGTGTGAGCATGTGACTGTGAGCATGTGAGTGTGTGAGCATGTGAGTGTGTGAGCATGTGAGTGTGTGAGCATGTGAGTGAATGTGTGAGTGTGTGAGCATGTGACTGAGTGTGTGAGTGTGTGAGCATGTGACTGTGAGCATGTGAGTGTGTGAGCATGTGGGTGTGTGAACATGTGAGTGTGTGAGCATGTGAGTGAATGTGTGAGTGTGTGAGCATGTGACTGAGTGTGTGAGTGTGTGAGCATGTGACTGTGAGCATGTGAGTGTGTGAGCATGTGAGTGTGTGAGCATGTGGGTGTGTGAACATGTGAGTGTGTGAGCATGTGAGTGAATGTGTGAGTGTGTGAGCATGTGACTGAGTGTGTGAGTGTGTGAGCATGTGACTGTGAGCATGTGAGTGTGTGAGCATGTGAGTGTGTGAGCATGTGAGTGTGTGAGCATGAGACTGTGTGAGTGTGTGAGCATGTGACTGTGAGCATGTGAGTGTGTGAGCATGCATGTGTGTGAATGTGTGACTGTGAGTGTGTGTGAATGTGTGACTGTGAGTGTGTGTGAATGTGTGACTATGTGAGTGTGTGAGTGTGCGAGACTGTCAAGCAACCATCCATGCTGTCAGGGATTTCTCAAAGTCAGATGCTAGTTGTGAATCAAGAATATAAAAGTCACAACAACATTAGCTGTAATTCGACACAAGCATAAATACACATATTCTAATTGTCATAAAAAGATTATGCATTTGTTTGTAATATATCATTTTCAAACTTGAAAGAGTTTTAACATTCGTCAACAGGTAATTATCTGGGTGTAATCTGACATTGTGCTAACATTGTTCTTTATTACCCATTGTTCAAGTGTTTCATCTACTTCCAAAACAATGCACAATGCACGGACAAGGCGTCCTATTACACTGCCAGACATCCAAGGCTCATCTTGCTTTCCATTAATTGTCTCCGTGTTTCCACCAAGAATTTTTTTCTCAGTTTGATCAAGTAACAACTGGCACAGTTAAGAATGTATGATGGATTGTAAACATATAATTTACTATCTTTTGTAGAGATGTGACAGAACAAGCCTCTTCAGCCCATCCCAAAGCCCTCTACACCATACTGTACTATAAACACCTGTGTTTATTCCCCACCTCGGTATACTGTAACCAGTGTTTATCCCCACCTACGTATGGCATACTGTAACCACAACTATTTATCCCACAACTACATATAGTGTATTGTACAGCTTACCCTACATTTACCTATGGTACACTGTAACCAGTGTTTATCCCCACCTACCTATGGTACACTGTACTGTTTATCCTCCATTTACCTATGGTACACTGTAACCACCAGCGTTTATCCCCACCTACCTATGGTACACTGTACTGTTTATCCCCACCTACCTATGGTACACTGTACTGTTTATCCTCCATTTACCTATGGTACACTGTAACCACCAGTGTTTATCCTCCACCTACCTATGGTACACTACTGTTTATCCTCCACCTACCTATGGTACACTGTACTGTTTATCCTCTACCTACCTATAGTACACTGTACTGTTTATCCTCTACCTACCTATGGTACACTGTACTGTTTATCCTCTACCTACCTATGGTACACTGTACTGTCTATCCCCACCTACCTATGGTACACTGTACTGTTTATCCCCACCTACCTATGGTACACTGTACTGTCTATCCCCACCTACCTATGGTACACTGTAACCACCAGTGTTTATCCTCCACCTACCTATGGTACACTGTACTGTTTATCCTCTACCTACCTATAGTACACTGTACTGTTTATCCCCACCTACCTATGGTACACTGTACTGTTTATCCCCACCTACCTATGGTACACTGTACTGTCTATCCCCACCTACCTATGGTAAACAGTGGCCCCAGTCAGCACCATGGAATACTCATTGGCCCACTTTGAGGTGTAGCTCCACCTATTCTTGCTGTCATCCCAGTAGTGGTTCCTGGCTGGGTACCCAACAATCCTCTCTGGGAATTCTTGCCACACACTAAATGCGAAGTCAATCTAAACAAACACATATCATTTAGATACAGCATCAGCACATGTGGCAAATATTATGAGTGAGACAATGTGTTAAAATAACAACAGAGGTAGTCAGTCTGTACGATTTGCAAACATGAACACAGATCAGTTGGAGTTAATAGGATATCCTTTCCACAAAAGCATATGAATACATGTACTATTTGTACAGACCCATGAAGATCCGGGGTAGAATAGGTCTTCAGCAACACATGCTTGCCGTAAAAGGTAACTATGCTTGTCGTAAGAGGCGACTAGCGGGATCGGGTGGTCAGGTTCGCTGACTTGGTTCATGCATGTCATCGTATCCTAATTGCGTGGATTGATGCCCATGTCTGGTCCAGACTAGATTATTTACAGACCGCCGTCATATAGCTGGAATATTGCTGAGTGCGGCGTAAAACAAAAAAACACCTAAAATACTATTTGTACAGTGATTAGGTGAGCAAATGACCCCAGTCACCAATATTTAAGCTATATACCATCAACCAGAAAATAAAAAAGTTGGTGGTTGAAAGAATGACAAACGTTACGTACTGTCCAAATATGATACCACACAATCAACAAGGTAATGTCTAGGTATGACGACACACAAACATCTAGACATGATGACAAACAATCAACCAAGTCATATTCAAGTGTGCGACACACATCTCAACCAGATGATATCCGAGTATTATGACACAGAATCAACCAGGCCATATCCGAATATGACACAATCAACCAGGTCATATCCGAATATGACACAATCAACCAGGCCATATCCGAATATGACACAATCAACCAGGTCATATCCGAATATGACACAATCAACCAGGTTATATCCGAATATGACACAATCAACCAGGTCATTTCCGAATATGACACAATCAACCAGATTATATCCGAATATGACACAATCAACCAGGTCATATCCGAATATGACACAATAAACCAGGTCATATCCAGATATGATGATACAAAATCCATTATGTCATATCTGAGCATAACAACACACAATCATCCAGGCAACAATCATCCTAATCCACCTACCTCATCTGTTGTGAGCAATGTATCTTCATCCAGACTAAACACAGCGTCTGTTTCTATTTCTTTATAAGGATGAAATCTAGAGCTAATAGTCTGCAATAAAGGAAACATAATCTGCTGTTAACATCACATCATAGATACACCTTGATAAAGTTCAGCATTGGTAATTTTCTTCTAAATTGTAGTGCTTTAAAAGTCTGATGAAGTACATTTGTTTTTGTTTACGGTGAGTGAGTGAGTATGGTTTAGCAATAATTCAGCAATATCACGACACCAGAAATGGGCTTCACACATTGTACACAAGTGGGGAATCGAACCCAGATCTTTGGCGTGACGAGCGAAAGCTCTAACCACTAGACTACCCCACTGCCCTGTTTTTGTTTACAAAGTGACATCCTCACATTGAAATACCAAAACCGAAACTGATTACCTAATGACACAATGTCACAATGTTTTGTACACTGGCTCAAGGTAATAGTTAATTGACGAGTCCTACTCTGCTTCTTTGCATCCTGGGATTTTATCGAAGAAATACATTGTCCCAGAAAAAGTTTACAAAAAGAAATTATGCTTCTGGTTGTTGATAAAAAGAAGTATTTGTCAGCCACGATAAACACATTGCTGCAAAATGATTTTTTTTCTAAAAAAACCATGTAGGCTCATAGTTTCCATACTGCTGCTTTTGCAGCTGCACCTGAAAAATATCTAGTCTCCATACAAAATTGACCTGAACAGTTCATTTATCAAGTCTTTCAATGACATTTATCACTGGTAAGAAGTGCATCATCCATAACCACCATCACAAAAATAAACACATACAATTTGGCAGACTTCTAAATGCCTATCAAACAGATATTCACTGACTGTTCTTATATGTTACTGAGAACACCAAACAATCAACACAAACTCTTAACCTTTAGCCTGCTGAATTATTTTCACACTTCTTACCCCTGCCTGCTGGATTAATTTTAGCATAAGGCGCTCTAAAGAGGGTGGGTGATTTCAAACAGTCGGTGCCTCATTAAACAATGGCCAATTGAAGAAATATTTTGCACATTTATTCCTGATAGAAAACTACACAATTCTATATAAAAATATCCTGGTGTTTTCAATTATACCAAAGTTTAAACCAAAACGAACACAAAATTTGTAAATTTTCTTGAACTTACCTGAATTGCGTTATTGAAGGTGGTTTGCATTTCATGCTAGGAACCTTTTAATATCGTAACATTTTTGCAAATTGATTTCAATAATCATATCTCCGATATCTTAATTTTAATTGAGTAAAAATTCGGGTTTTATAATCGGCACATATCAGCGCGATGGTAAATTATGAACCATTTCAGTGAATTTATTATCTAAACGTTAAACAGAAAAATAACTTAATTTTCGAGGTCATCATGTCGGTTGCAGAAATACGAATATTCGGGTAAATCTGACGTGTCATGTTATAAAATTTGCAGGAAACAATTAATGACTTATAAATATTCACTAATCCTAATTTCAAGCGTTTTGGTTGAATATTTACGATATACAAAAATAAACAACCCGTGTCATGATGCTAGCAGACGTCCTAAAATCAAACATGGCGCGCTTCGCCCGACCTCCGCATAACTTATTGCTATTTTAATATCAACAAAGTTTACATTGCCTTTATAAATATAACTTAACGAAAGTTGACGATCTTCTCAATCGAAGAATGTTTTATTCGTCATATTCCAATAAATATGACGAGAGAAAAATGAAAATAAAGATCGTGAATTCTGACAGCACTATTTCAATAAGTGCAAAGGTCACCGGATGTGATGTCACAGACAGGGGTAGTCTGCTGATAAGCTTTCGAAACAAAACAATTACAGTAAATTTTGAAATAGTTCGCCTATCACATACAGCAAAAATATAAGTCGATACACAGTATCAGTAATCACCACTAACATGAAATAAAAATGTGACTTTGACGATATAATTCGCGTATTAGTTAATCCGTTTGACCTTGCATGCTCCCGTGACCCGGAAACGGTAGACGATAAATCAACATGCCACATGCAAGTTTCTCGGTATCTTTTATTTGAACTTCTGTTGATATTTAAAAAATCACCATTCAATGTTGTGAATATAAATGGGACATGATTCATATTTCTGCGATGTACATGCTGATAAGTTTCACTACAACAAGTGTATCCCACGCAATACGTCTATGGATATCGTCGATCAGCAAGATCACCCTCAACAACAGGTGCGCGAAAATGGGCTTGACAAAACTTGTTTCAAAATTACATCCCCGCGTTGCCGAATATGATAGGGTATATATAAGCAATAAAATGCTACGTACATATTTTCGGTGTTAGTTCCACATTACATTTAGGATAGTTTTCCTTTCGGGAATACATTCATAGATTCTAGCATGATTTTAGAACAGTTTCACGAAGGATTTCTAAATTTATTCCAAAAATATGAAGACCACCATGATTGCGCATTGATGATAGATTTGTAATTGTTTAATTATTTACAGCTGTTTACAGGTTTTAAAATTTTAAGTTATATTTAATAGTTATTTTTCCCACAATGATGGTGTGTGGGGACAGTAAATATTAGTCTTTGCATCAGCACAGTGTAACTGATCAAACTTCAATTATTATCTTTAGTTTAAACATATTTATACAACAATTATTATCTTGCACTCTGAAAATCAACTATGTGAATAAGTAACTCTCTGATGTCATCATTTTAATTTTAGTATTCCATGAATAATGAATAAATCAGATCCTTAACATATACATACTAAACTCATATGGACATTAATCTTGTGCATTATGTGGTTTGTTTCCAAATAAAACAATTCTGAAATATAATTTAATAGGAATTAATTTAATTTAATTACAGTAAAAGTACTTGTAACAGTACATGACATTTTTGTTTGTTTAATCACAAGAACCATGGTGGCACATGAGCTGGTAAGTTTGCCATAGGTTTCTTAGAAAATGCTATCTCAGTCTTCTGGTTGGAATGAAAAGAAACATGCCTGTGTACATGTTTACCCTTGCCAGATGTATTTTTTCCAGTCAGCCAATCCATTACTTTTGTTCTATATGTGGTCTATTTTATACATACAGGTACTGCTTCCAACCTGTTTTTTCTTTGTATGCAATCACAGTATCACAACTTCCTCAGCTGGTGTGTATAAAAGTTCCCCTGTCATCATGAAAAAAGAATTATAAAGGAAAGTCATATTTTCATTCAAAAACATATCTGTCTTTCCTTGAATACTCTTTGTCTAAGTGCCAGAAATGTCAGTGTCATAAAAAAAATTAAAAAAGATTTTCATAAGGACTTTTCTTAGATAGACCTAGATCTAAGTCAAACCATGTGACTAGTTAGGTAGAATTATAACCTTATAAGCCCTCATTTCTGAGGTGTCCATATTTTTCACCTTTTTAGGACTAAATGTGATCCGTGTAGATCTGCCTGTTTTGTTATGTAAAACAAATTCTTGTCTTAAAAAAATGAGAAAAGGAATCATTCATACGAATTTTTTTTATCCCATTGATTCACGAAAATCAATTGAAATGTACAGTGGTGACTTTTGTACCCAAAATTTCTAGTAATTTGTTACCCAAATGGGTATGTGATTTTGTAGATCTACCTAGAATTATTTCAAAGATATACATTAATTTGGTGTCTTAAACTTAACATAATATCACTTTCCTATCAAAACAATTCATTCTTACTTTAACCAAAATAACTGGCCTCTCCTTCTGTGACAAGACGTCAATTTTCTCTCAAAACTAAACAATCAATTTCAAGGATCACAGTCATAATCATATTTGGAACTTGATGAAATATTTTATTATGTGTTCTGTTCATCTACATGAAAACATAAATATAATTATAGATTATTGTCTTATTTTCTTAGGTACAAATGCACAAAGTATTTTGGGTACAATTTAATTTGTTTTGGGTACAAAATCACATATATATATATATAAATAGGAGCCTAGAATCTATATCTATTTACACCTCGTTGTGTACCAAAATGTTATCGGTTCAGAGGACGGGAGGTTCTCAGAAAGTTTTCAACAACATCTTTAATATTTAAATTGTTCTTTTTGTAATGTTAGACCAATAACAATATTATGTTATTATTATGGCATATCAATACGTTGTATCGCTCTCCGTTGCGTTCGTTTTTAGAAAATATTTTAAAATTAAAATCATCGAGCGTGAAATCCATTACGGTTTCGGATTTAGACTTACACATTTGATGGCGACAATCACGAAGAAATATGAAACAAATAGGAGTGAAGATTGCTCTCCATATCAATAAATAGTAAATTATGTATTTTCTTTTGAATTTGAATCTATTTCGGAATTTCTTTATGATAGCTTACCAACTTTTGCATATTTTGCTTCCATGTGTCACATGCGGTACGTGCTTCCGGTTTCAGAAATGATAGCTAAAATTGCAAGTATTTTGATTATTTCTCGTAAAATGCATTATTTTGCTATTGAATGGTTTACCTAGAATGTATATCAGTTCAGATTTTGCGTTTCATTCAATATTTGTCATTTTTCGCAGTGTGTGTTGACTTTGTTCAACTCAACAAATCGCGAGTTAGGCCACGCCCAAACGTATCACTGACGTTTGTCGGCTTGTCAATGTGTCGGAAAGTTTATCAAACGAAATCATTTGCAAACTCTTTAAAAATGAAATTCTTTTTACAAAGATTTATACATACGTGTCAATAATTCTAGAAAATTAAGTTAGATGTAACAAAATGATTGTAATAGTCTAACGGGATAACTATGCATGTGGAGTTGTTTGTTTACCGCCGTTGCCATGATCGTACAAGTTCCATCCAATCGATGATGTTACGATTCAGATTGTTTTTGTTTACAATTAGTTACACCGAAAGTTGCTAATTTTTAGAAATAAAGGAACATGGGTGTTTTCCTTTCGTCAGCAAACAAAAAATTATGATCGAATAGGAAAAATGATGAAATTATAAAGAAAATATCGGACTGCATGCCGCTCAACGTGAAGTGCCAAAAGTCAACAATGGCCGTTTCTGGTAGTTGTGTGCCGAGAAGTTTGGCCGAAACATTTTAAACTCGCGATATTTTCTTTTTGAGGTAAATAAATGACTGAACATTTGATATTGAGCAAGCTGAGCATTTATGCATGTCATACGTAATTTAAATGTTACGCAAAGCCTTCTCGGTAAATAGATATGGCGAGTTTTATTTTGGGGTGTTGTTATGCTATTCGCCTGTCGAATGGGTTCGACATCAGATGCACGGGGATGGACACCTCTGTCGAATGGGTTCGACGTTAGCGTGCAGAGCTTTAAAGTCCCTTGGTTGCATCTAGAACCCATCCTCGGGAGTATTTTACCCATCTCCACAGTGTCATTATCAATTACAACTGCACCACAATCTCCAGTCTGGTGATCAAGACTGCCTCTTCGTGTGGCTATACAAATTCAAGAAGTATCTCTATTACTGATGCAGACAGAATATGTCCCTTATGGGAATCCATACTTTCATGTTTCAACTGTATAACAATGTAGTTAGTCGTTGGTAATGACCAACCGGAATATGGCACTTTTGGGTATCCTTACAGGGCATTAGAAGTCTTCGTAAAATTGAGAATGTTGTTGGTTGGAACTCATTCTAACATAGGATGAGTGAGTGGACTTTAACGCTTCTTTGAACAGTATTCCAGTTAAATCGCGCATGTCGGAGAACTGTGGGAAGAAACCCGAAGTGATGCAGGTCTCAGACGTTTACCACTTCGGTGAAACCCACGAGCACGGGTGCTGACAAACCTAGAAACATAATTAGGGCAAACCGGGATTCGAACCCACAATCATAGGTTTCTGGCGTGCCCAAGGGACGCAACTCTGCAAAGCGAATCGCGGCGCCTTAGACGACTGGGCCACCCGTGCCCCCAGAAAGAGGATAGAGCGAACAATCATAATCATAGGTTTCTGGTGTGCCCAAGGGACGCAACTCTGCACAGCAAATTGCAGGGCTCTGATGACTGGGCCACCCGTGCCCCCCGTGCCCCCCTCTAGCATAGACATATTCAAAAGAAGTTCACACCTCAACTGCCTACAAGAATATCTCATTCCATTTACTGAGAAAATGCCACACACTTATGACACAGCGATACACCCTCAGATCCAAGGCCTGCTTTGAAGCAGTATGATTTGTTCCGGTATATAACATTTTCTCAAAATAAACAGACATTTTTGTTTTGGATAATCAGCAAATTTTTTTTGCATCAATTCTGATTACACACCTACTGTGTCCCCTAAACACGTTCCAGGTTTATTCAGCATTAAGTACTCTCATTACCAGAGTTCTATAGATGCATCATAATCTTGACAATCACAAAATATTTCTTTACCAGTTAAGACAAATTCACCTGCGAGACATCAAAGCCTTGCATGCATCATTTGGACAAAAAATAAGTACCTAACAATTTTCTTTTTTAAAAAAGGCCATCTTCCATACACTGATATTATCTTAAAAGATCATAATCTGTGTTTTCAGATTATGTCCCTGCTGGATAGACATACTTTCATGCTCCTTGCTTGAAAAAATATGCACTTAATAATTAATTGTATGAGAAAATATAAGCCAAGGAACTGTTGTTCACCAGGTACACTCAACATGACCTGAATAGTCCATGCAAAAAAGCAGTTTCTAAGATGAAAATTTTTCAATATTGTCAACAAGGCCAAAACTGAGAGCAGATCATGGATCCTATGAGAAACTTCAATCATTATTTTAACATAAATCTTGACCACTGAATTTTAAGAAAAAGAGCTTCTGAGCCCATAGTATAAATAACCTACCAAAATATGATCTGAGACTTCTGAGAAGATGATGCTAAAACAGTTTCAGCAATTGTCAAATATTTTCTTAATTAACCCCCCCCCCAACTAAATTAGTTAATTCCATGCAATGAACAGATCCACATTATGGTCTAACACACTTCCCAAGGTTTCAACTCCCTGTTCTTTTTCACAATCTACAAAATATGGGGTGCTTTCTATTTTCTGGCAATGCTGAATCCCATTGTGTTGCTTTACATAATATCACTATCTCTGAACCTTTGGGGAGTCAGAAAAACAGGTTATGAACATTATTCAAAATTTGTTATTTAAAAAAAATAAATTGATTTCAACACCATGAAAAAAATCAGAGTCCCATTATACCACTCAAAAGAAGTTAAAGAACAACTGAATCAGGTGTTCCTAACTTCTTTTGAGCAGAATATATCAGCCATCATTCTGAACTTTCAAGCTCATCACCTCATCCATTTTTTTATCAGAAGTCAAAAGTTGACGCCCAACAGAGACGGCTGATGGATGGACATGACATGCCTAAAGTTCACGTGGACAGTCTGTATTGGTGACTAAGAACAAACCCACTGAGTACATATCCCTGAACATCACTTTAACAGATTGTGCCCCTGGTGGGCTACCATACCTTAATGTTCCTAGTCTTGACTAGGACAGGGACTCCCAGGTCTGCCGGCCACCTGTGTGATGGAGGGGGTGGTATGTCACAATGCCACAGCACAATAACCTGGGGAGTATAAACAACACACACGTGCGACAGGTTGCGGCAAACAATACAGAAAATATGAACGCTATGTCACGCAAACTACAGCGTCACTTCAAAGTTAGTACAACAACTGTGGAAAACAATAGATGGCTGGCCATGACTTTAATGAAGACGGACACACAATTCTGGGAGACGAATTCGCCATGGTTGTTTATGAAATATTGTATGGGGTGTACACAGTGTTAGAAAGTATGCTGTGTCTGGCCCAGACCTTTGTGTTTCAGACAGGAAAACAGTAAGTCAGCCCACTCGCAATCTGTTTTTCTAACTCGTTAATCAAGTGCATGTTGGTGCTGAGGGCCTCCTTCTTGGAGAGTTATTTACAAAGAGTTTGAATCATCTCTAAAGCAAATAAATATAATATTTGGCCCTTCCTTGAAAATATCACAGGCAACAGCCATAAAAAAACCCATAGGACTTGATGCAATAAACCAATGGCATCTTAAAGTATTTGTTGCTAACCCCCATATCCAAGATCTGCTACATCGCCTTGCTACCTCACAGCCCCTACTGATCCTTCCCAGAGTAGTGTTAATGTTACCCTATCTGGAGGTACAGTTACGTTCCTCAAGAACAACATATCCGACTCTATCCATGTAAACTACAATCCATTATTGGATCCCTGAATCACTATCCACCATTTGATCCCTACCTACCTGTCCATATCAACCAGCCAAACCCATCTTCAAATCAACCCCACCTAGAAACCAGCCCCACCTAGAAACTAACCCCACCTACCTGCCCCTACCAACAATTAACCCCACCTACTTGCCCATACCAACCATCCAGCCCCACCTACTTGTCCCTTGCAACCAGCCAGCCCCACCTACCTGCCCTTATAACCAACCAACTAGCCTAACCTACTTCCTCCTACCAACCATCCAGCCCCAGCCTACTTGTCCCTACCAACCAATCAACCCCACCTACCTGCCCTTACCAACCAACTAACCCCACCTACCTGCCCCTACCAACCAACTAACCCCATCTACTTGCCCCTACCAACCAACTAACCCCATCTACTTGCCCCTACCAACCAACTAACCCCATCTACTTGCCCCTACCAACCATCCAGCCCCACCTACTTGCCCCTTGCAACCAGCCAGCCCCACCTCCCTGCCCTTATAACCAACCAACTAGCCCCACCTACTTCCTCCTACCAACCAGCCCTACCTACTTGCCCCTACCAACCAACCAGCCCCACCCTACTTGCCCCTACCAACCAGCCAGCCCCACCTACTTGCCCCTACCAACTAAACCCACCTTCCAATGTCGCCTATCAATCTACAAATTACACACTAAAGCATACCCCTGACAGCCACGACAACAGTCGGATGACGCTACTACCAACTACCTATCTTGCCACCCCCACGGTGCGTGGCCCTTCATTTAAATACCACACAAATGTGTTTCACTAACGAAACATCCGACATCCGGTAAAACTGCCAACTATAGCAGAATTTTATTTTGCAGCATGTGTTTGACATTAACACCGCTGATGACTCAATTCTGACAGCCAAGGAGTCTGGAGAATAATGGCAGATAGTCTGATAATCAACCTGCAAATAAATAGCCCCATTGTGAAAAGTTCAATCAGAATAATCCTGTAATTTCAATTCCAGATTTTTTCAAACGGTTTCCTCTTATGATCATGCTGTCAAGAGAGATGTAGTAAAAGAGCTTAAGAGTCTGAAACAGGACACTGCGGTGATTTTTATAGAAATAAATTAAATGTTCCAGAGAGAAGGAATCACAGTTACTGTCTCCATTCTAATCCCCCCAGTTGAAAAACATCTTGATGAACAATTGATATTGTATTTCAAGTAAAAACACAACACTGGGTTGTGAAGAAGCTCTTCTGACTCAAACTGGTTCTTTTAATGAGGACTGATTATGTTCGTGTTTCTTTGTTTCTTCATGTCACAGGCACCAAGATTCCCACACATCGTGTGTCCTGCAAATAACCAGTCAGTTCCAGTGGTTGACGTACGTTTGTTTGTTTGTTTGTTGTTTAACGCAGCACTCAGCAATATTCCACCCATATGATGGAAGCCTGTAAACAGTGGAGTCTTGACCAGACAATCCAGTGACTGACATCATGAAAATTGATTCACACATGGGAAATGATGACATGTTATCAATCAAGTCAGTGAGACAGACCACCCAATCCATTACGTCACCTCTTACTAAAAGCACAGTTGCTGAAGACCAGTTCAAACCTGGTATCTTCACAGGGCCAGTGATTGACATGAGCATTGATCTATGCAATTGGGATATGATGACATGCATCAACCAAGTCAGTGAGCCTGACCACCCCCATTAGTCGCCTTATGACAAGCATAATCGCTGTTTGGATTGTTATGACTCATAGCCTATTCACTTCTACAGGTATCTAATGGAATTAAACACCTGATCTTATTAGTATTTTGACCAATCAGAATCAATATCTTTCAGTGTCATGGTGAGTGAATTGGGTTTAATGCTGCTTTGAACAGTTTTCCATTTATATCATGGTTTTCAGTGTCAAGGTAGAATTAAGAGTGACTGAGTTGGTTTTCTACCGCTTTCAGCAATATTCCAGCCGTGGCAGGAGACACCAGCAATGGGGATATATGAGAAATAGTAGCTGTGGTTGACTGTGCAATTGGGTGTGGGTCATCGACGTAATGGTGCCAGATTGGCAGGAGAGTTGGAGGAAAGGATCATAAAAACAACCAAACTTAAGTGTATTAAGTTGCAGAGGAATAGACACAGTTTTCCCGGGAAAACATGATGGGTAATTCCCATCATGCACAGGTGCAGAACAAGAAGCTGCAGACGAGGAGGCATGAAGCAAATATCACTTACTTGGCAGTTTTTGCAAAACATGCCAAATATTTCTCTGAACATTAAGATTTTCTTATAGACTGTCTGTTATGAAAAAATACATAAAAATGTGTTGCACTGAAATCAAATCTTTTACATAATACATAGGAGAAACGCAAGGGCTTTTTATCCATTATGCATTTGCAAGGCAGGATGTATGTTCAAAGCCTAAAAATTGAAGGCCTAACTATTCAAGCGTGTGAAGGCCCTTGAGTAGGAGCGAAGGCATTCCATAATCTCCATAATGGAGGCATAGGACTGACAGGGCAACAGTGCCTGTTTCAAGTTCACAAGCTCATGAAGAATTGGTGATTGAGTTACGGTTTGGTGTCACTTCAGTAAGATAATATGTTGCAGTTTTACATGATACCCCCCTCAGACACAGAATACCAACTCCGAGCTGACCAGTCCATGTTTATGCCCTTAAATGCCGAGCACCAGGCAGGGTAACAACAAGTACCATCTTTTAACTTCTTTTGGTATGATGCAGCCACGGATCGAACCATCGACTTTCTGCTCTCCATCCACTAAACCCCAGAGGCGGTTATATAGTGCTCAAAGGATCAGGCTTCATGTTTGTTTGTTTGTTGTTTAATATTCCAGCTATATGACAGCGGTCTGTAAATAATCGAGTCTGGACCAGACAAATCCAGCGATTTACATCATGAGCATCGATCCTAGCAATTGGGATCGATGACATGCATCAACCAAGTCAGCGAGCCTGACCAGCCGATCCCGTTAGTCGCCATTACGACAAGCATAGCTGTCTCTTGGGCATGGGTTGCTGAAGACCAATTCTCTACCACAATCTACATGGATCATCAGGGATCATGACCAAGATGAATCTTACAACAAGCATAGTCGCCTTTTACGACAAGCATGGGTTGCTGAAGACCAATTCTAACCCGGATCTTCACAGGTCACCAGGGATCATGTCCAAGGTGAATCTTTGAACAGAACCCCTGATCAGCAGAAATCGGAATGACTAAGGAACGCAACACTGCACAGCAAATCGAGGTGAACATGACCATTGGGCAACATCTGCTCTGTCAAGGTGGTGGGATACCAAGAATGGGTAATAGATATATAGTAAATGAAAACACATGTTGAGATAAATTGCACACTTGCATTAAAGAAATTATTGATACACATATTTTAATAATGAATACATTTGATTCCACAATGAGGCCATTTTTACTTTTTAATGATGATTAATTTTGAACTTATTGACAAACTAATGAAAACCCTTGTACAACGTACCTTTTGTATATATGTGGACCTTGCAACGTTCCGCAACAGCTTGAAGAGAGGAGAGGCAGTTGCAGACATCACAGGGGAGGTTGCATATATTACAGCAGTGAATTTAGTTCTGGGGGTCAGCCCTAGGTGGCGGTAGTAGAAGGGGAAGGACTGCATGACATCGGCGTACTCCGGGAGAATGGCTGTAGCACCAGGAACTGTATTCCACAACTTCTGCGACCGTCTCAGTTGACTGGAGATCCGGTCTTTGATTATCTGATTTCACCAAGAAAAATATTAACGTTCAAATAATGCTGATAAGTGAGTGAGTGAGTCAAAGTTTAACGTCACATCGGCAATATTAGTTTTGCTGAAAAATAAACTCAGGTGTTTGATAAAGGTATGTGAGTGAGTGTTGTTTCAAGCAGCAGTTAGAAATACTAAAACTATACTGAACAAAGAAGTTAGGGATCATGAATATTTTGGGGGATATTTTTATGAAGACAAAAAATATTCCCCAAAATATTTATGATCCCTAACATTTTTAGATGAATATATATTATTGCTACCAGTATATACTGTTCAAAAGAAGTTATAGAACACCAATAATTGGAAGGCTGTGTGTTGCAATACCCACAAGCCATGACAAATTAACTATAGTCATAAGAAAAAAATCAATTGCTTTTAAATTTTTTTTAGTAGTATATAATGGAGTCTGGTTAAGTAGAGCACTTGCTGATCAACTATCCATATTGTCATGATACAAAGACAAACAGTCAGGTCTCACATCCAATCCAGTTGGCAGTAAAATAGTATTTCTCTTCCAACTACTGATTCCTGAAAATACTTCTGAGCACAATGTACTGGTGGCCCAAAACACAAGAAGACAGAATACTACTCGTACAAGCTACAATGCAAATTACGCTTTATGACAAATTGCACAGGAAGAAGAAATCATTAGCAGTAGCTGAAGTAATGAACCTACAATTTTCAACAATTGTCACCAATTACTGATGATCAAATATGATGACAAATAAGTTCATCAATTAAATCCAGTGTTGGAGTTCTTATATTCAATTATCTCCCACTTGTTGATTACGAGTCTGGCGCCGATCTACCTCAGGAGGAGGGAACAGCCATAATCATCACGCTCCGAAGCTGTCAATTCAGTCAACCGCATAAAACCAAATCCATAATCGTCATCATATCTCAATTAATTTAATTCAAAATCATTCAAAACATCACAGAGGCCACTTGTGAATAATGATTGAGTGACAGGAGAATTCAACGACAGGAGGCAAGAAAATATCTAACTCCATCTTAATTACCGGTAACAGCTGCTACAACAGTGGAAAAGAACTGCCATTTTCTCGGATATTCTTAACAAAATGAAAGCCTATGAGGAAATATGCAATTACATTAATTTTGACTTTGAAGTTTCCGATGAAGAGTTTTGCCCTTGTCAAAGGAAACTGAAATTTATGCATAACAACACATTGCTGAAGAATACAGAAGAATAATTGTTGGAATCAAGACTGATTGAATTTCTTGTCTGTTATTGCATTAGCCCATATTTTCATACTGATACATAAGGGGGAAGGTGTGGAGGAAACGTAGAGGAAGGGGGAAGGGGGACGGTTCGTGGACGGTGGACGGTGGGGGAAGAGGTGGAGGAAGGGAGGAGGGGGACGGTTGGCAGAGGGGGACGGTTGGTGGAAGAGGTGGAGGAAACGTAGAAGAAGGGGGGAGGGGGACGGTTGGTGGAGGTGGACGGTGGGGGAAGAGGTGGAGGAAGGGAGGAGGGGGACGGTTGGCAGAGGGGGACGGTTGGTGGAGGTGGACGGTGGGGGAAGAGGTTGAGAAAAGGTGGAGGAAGGGAGGAGGGGGAGGGACGGTTGGTGGAGGTGGACGGTGGGGGAAGAGGTGGAGGAAACGTAGAGGGAGGGGGGAGGGGGACGGTTGGTGGAGGTGGACGGTTGGTGGAGGTGGACGGTGGGGGAAGAGGTGGAGGAAAGGTGGAGTAAGGGGGGAGGGGGACGGTTGGTGGAGGGGGACGGTGGGGGAAGAGGTGGAGGAAAGGTGGAGGAAGGGCAGAGGGGGGCGGTTGGTGGAGGTGGACGGTGGGGGAAGAGGTGGAGGAAACGTAGAGGAAGGGGGGAGGGGGATGGTGGGGGAAGAGGTGGAGGAAACGTAGGGGAAGGGGGGAGGTGGACGGTGGGGGAAGAGGTGGAGGAAACGTAGAGGAAGGGGGGAGGGGGATGGTTGGTGGAGGTGGACGGTGGGGGAAGAGGTGGAGGAAGGGGGGAGGGGGACGGTTGGTGGAGGTGGACGAAGAGGTGGAGGAAGGGGGGAGGGGGACGGTTGGTGGAGGTGGACGGTGGGGGAAGAGGTGGAGGAAGGGAGGAGAGGGACGGTTGGCAGAGGGGGACGGTTAGTGGAGGTTGACGGTGGGGGAAGAGGTGGAGGAAAGGTGGAGGAAGGGAGGAGGGGGACGGTTGGTGGAGGTGGACGGTGGGGGAAGAGGTGGAGGAAGGGGGGATGGGGTTGGTGGGGGAAGAGGTGGAGGAAAGGTGGAGGAAGGGCGGAGGGGGACGGTTGGTGGAGGTGGACGGTGGGGGAAGAGGTGGAGGAAACGTAGAGGAAGGGAGGAGGGGGACGGTTGGTGGAGGTGGACGGTTGGGGAAGAGGTGGAGGAAAGGTGGAAGAAGGGAGGAGGGGGACGGTTGGTGGAGGTGGACGGTGGGGGAAGAGGTGGAGGAAACGTAGAGGAAGGGAAGAGGGGGACGGTTGGTGGAGGTGGACGGTGGTGGAAGAGGTGGAGGAAAGGTGGAGGAAAGGCGGAGGGGGACGGTTGGTGGAGGTGGATGGTGGGGGAAGAGGTGAAGGAAAGGTGGAGGAAGGGCGGAGGGGGACGGTTGGTGGAGGTGGACGGTGGGGGAAGAGGTGGAGGAAGGGGGGAGGGGACGGTTGGTGGAGGGGGACGGTGGGGGAAGAGGTGGGGGAAGAGGTGGAGGAAGGGGGGAGGGGACGGTTGGTGGAGGGGGACGTTGGACGAAGGTGTGGGTGAAGGGGTGGAGAAGGGGTGGAGGAAGGGGCACGGATGGTGGAGGGGGACGGTGGGTGAAGGTGTGGGGGAAGGGGTGGAGGAAGGGGGGAGGAAGGGGGGAGGGGGACGGTTGGTGAATGGGGAAGGGGTGTTTGGTGTTGTGGAGGGTAGGATTACAGGCGTGGTTATATCTATGCAAGTTGAAGCAAATCAATCAGTTCTTACTTCCCTACACAATTTTTCACAAACTTGTTCTTCAACTTCCTTGTTAAAAAGGAAAATAGAGCCTATGGCTCATCAGGGTAGTAAATATTGCTGTCATGGAACACACAGTAACCAAGATTATACAACTCAACATTTGCCTAGGACCACACCTTTGACTGAAGGTGACTGTTTTGGTTCTTGGCAAATGTTGAGTGGCATATATTGTCAATAACTGGAGGAGGAAAAGTCCAGACAAACTGATTCTTAAACATGTTCCTCCCATACTTTGACCGGGTTATGCAGGTACATTCTACAGAATCAGGTCAAATTGGGCCAAGTTCATCCAAGATTTAAATTCTGAGGACAACTACTGATATTACATATGAAGTTGAGGTTTCAGTGTGTGATGTTCACTGTAGGTCAACAACGTCAGTTTCAATGGTTGGTTGATATGATGTTTAACGCCACACTCAGCAATATTCCAGCTATATGATGGCGGTCTGTAAATAATTGAGTCTGGACGAGACAATCAAGTGATTGATATCATGAGCATCAATCCATGCAATTTGGATACGATTGACATGCATCAAGTCATCGAGCCTGACCACCCGATCCCGTTAGTCGCCTCTTACGACAAGCATAGTCGCCTTTTACGGCAAGCATGGGATGCTTGAAGACCTATTCTACCCCGGATCTTCATGGATACAGTTTTAATGTCAGAGCTTTATGATAACAATATACATACATTAATAATACAGTGATAGTTTCAAGGAAATATATTTATGTTTGTTAAAAATGATTTGAGAATATCAACCATATTGAAAATCGCATTCATATGTCAAGGCAACATATGGACACATTTATGTTCAGAAAAAGAATAATTGTGCTGTAATTCAATGAGGTGAGAAGACAGGCGACAGGATACATGCACCAGGTTGAACATACCTCTAAAACTGTTCCTATTATCTTATCAACAGAGGAAAAGTAGGCCTCCCAAATAAACTGTGTCTGCTGCCTGAGTTTCATGATCTCAGGCTCGGTGATGGAGCGCACTATGGACGGCATCTGGAACAGAAACAAGAACATGGAGACACCATCATCATATCTCAGTGAGTGAGTGAGTGAGTGAGTGAGTGAGTGAGTGAGTGAGTGAGTGAGTGAGTGAGTGAGTAAGTGACATGTGCAGTGACATGTGCAGTGTCATATTGCTGGACAACAGCCTGGTCATATCATGGCGAAGGACACTAACAAGTTACGTATGTATTTTGGCTCCCCCATCGAAACTAGTTTTTTATTGTTGCCCAGACAAGGCTCCCCATTGAACCTACAGATCTGTATTGTGGCCTAGACAAGACTCTCCATTGAAACTACAGTTCTGTACTGTGGCCTGGACAAGACTCCCCATTGAAACTACAGTTCTGTACTGTGGCCTGGACAAGACTCTACATTGAAACTACAGTTCTGTACTGTGGCCTGGACAAGACTCTCCATTGAAACTACAGATCTGTACTGTGGTCTGGACAAGACTCCCCATTGAAACTACAGTTCTGTACTGTGGCCTGGACAAGACTCTACATTGAAACTACAGTTCTGTAGTGTGGTCAAGACAAGGCTCTCCATTGAAACTACAGTTCTGTAGTGTGGTCAAGACAAGGCTCTCCATTGAAACTACAGTTCTGTAGTGTGGTCAAGACAAAGGCTCTCCATTGAAACTACAGTTCTGTAGTGTGGTCAAGACAAAGGCTCTCCATTGAAACTACAGTTCTGTACTGTGGCCTAGGCAAGACTCTCCATTGAACCTACAGCTCTGTATTGTGGCCTAGACAAGACTCTCCATTGAAACTACAGTTCTGTATTGTGGCCTAGACAAGACTCTCCATTGAAACTACAGTTCTGTACTGTGGCCTAGGCAAGACTCTCCATTGAACCTACAGTTCTGTACTGTGGTCAAGACAAGGCTCCCCGTGGACCCTAAAGTTCTGTAGTGTGGTCAAGACAAGGTTCACACCAATGTCTTGAACCTACACAGTTCTGTATTGTGGCCTAGACAAGGCTCCCCATTGAACCTACAGTTCTGTACTGTGGCCTAGACAAGGCTCCCCATTGAACCTACAGTTCTGTACTGTGGCCTAGACAAGGCTTCCCATTGAACCTACAGTTCTGTGCTGTGGTCAAGACAAGGTTTCCCATGGAACGTACATGGTTAGAACTGTATTGTATTTAAGACAAGGTTCCCACTTATGCCTGGAACCTACACAGTTCTGTACTGTGTCCGAGACATGTTGAGTTGTCGATGTTCACATATCACGTACTGACTCTTGCTCACTTGCATCAGGATCAATGCACGACATGATTAATTACATCAAATGACTGATTTTCTTGAATATAATGATAATACATTGGTTAAATGATTCCCAAAATAAGTTTCAAAGCCACAGGAGAGACTTTTGCAGAGTTCATCTTTCCAAATGACTATAACACGTCAGTGGAACCCTCCTTCCCCATCACCAACACAACCAATCAATACACTATTAGGGATCAACAAACACTCGCCACCAAATGGAGGTCCAATACTCTTAAAGAAACAATTCATAATACTTCCCGCTGAGAAAAAATTCTAAAGCAATGGCGTCCAAGTGGTCTAACATATCATTGAGAGCAAACAAAGACAGCCAACATCAAGCAATGGAAGGGTTGTCCTGGAATGGAATTTCTCCATCTCAGAAGTAAATCTTTTGCAAGTAATGCAACACACAGATAGACTGTGCCATGCCTTACAGAAAGAGCCTATTGATTCGTAGGAAGGTGGTCTTCAACCCCTTGTTCCAATTGAGCCATTACGTCTGGGAATCATAACAGTCAAATACTTACACCAATAGCTGAATAACGTATATCATTCTATTTCCATCTGAATTGCATTTACACTCTCGAAGTGAAAAGTGAATGAACTTTTGATTTAATTTTGTTGACTAGTAGTCCCTGCGGTCTGGGTTTAAGATGAGCATTTGATGAGCAAAGTTGGCAGAAAAAGTCACAAAATGAATGATAACGTCAGTCCCGGAGTATACCCACCTCCCTTAATCGATACTGCACTGCAGCTGATGAGCAAATTCACTTCCACATCCATGTAATTATTCATAGTTTGGTAAGTTTTTTCTAACCTGGTTGAATGAATATTATTGATTTGGAGTGCGTAACGTCTACTATAATGGCAAAAACCGTAAACAGGCGCACAAGGGTCATCAATGGTATGGCTATTTGGTATTCTCATTACGCTGCGGAATGGTAGCTGCTATCAACTTACATTTTCTTAAAAATGAATAAGCTTTTCATGAAGGTATATGTGTTTTTTTCAATTCCAAATTGAGCTCTTCTTAAGGCTATACTTCAAGCAATACTTGATGGCTATAATTAACTATGAATCTTTTAGAAACTCAACTGTATCTTACGTTAAATGGTCTGAAAAATGATGAAATTGCAGTGCTCATTACAAACTGTTAATAAGAAATATATATATAAAAAAGAAATTTCTTCTATGCAAAGTCTTATTGTGGTGTGATGGAGTATTTAAGGTGATCATACTGGCATAATGCATTCACAAAACAGACTTTTTGTCCCCAAACTACAACTTGCTATTTATGACTACAACAGTATGTAAAAATGAATGGTCTGTCAACTGTTATGAATTTTGAATCACGTACATGTTCAGCTATGAAAGCGATCAGTTGGTCTGTAATAGATGTGGCTGACATTAATGGTTACAGCACTATCACGTCCAACATGGCCATATGTGTAATTCCAGTCCAGTGAAGCAACGGAACTTTGATTGCCTGTAGATGAGCAAGATGTAACACTCACAGCTTTACCACCTTGGCTGCGTGTGTGATTACACGTCTAGAGGCGGCAGTTATTATCTAGTCGGTGACATTGCGGAAATGGGGACAATATCCACTTCTGGTTGGTCAGGCCATCTGTAATCAATAACCCTTTTGTCTTCACGTGACAACTATGCCTTCATATTGGCATCGTCTGAACAACATCAATTTACTCTGAAAGGGATATCCAAAAAATAATATGATATCATTTCTAGAGAATATGTCAACCGAATAATGATGTCATTTGTCTTCAGACATCATAGGCCTAACGCAGGGATGATTGCTCTCTTCATTTAGCATCAAGGCTTTCCTACTTCAGAAAGACAGTTTTAGAATGAAAACAAAATTGTTGCAGGACAAAATGCATGATCGTGAAAGAAATTAGATGTCTTGGAAAAAATTATTTAATCTTTCCAATCTCACTTTCCTTTTATGTTCTTGACAATATCACGACTTGGACAGCCATAAACATGCATGGATGACTTTGACTTGATATTCTTAAAGATATGTCAGTCTGACTGTCATATTTGCTGCTAATTCCACAAGATCTCTAGTTATCATTGAGGAGTAAAACATACCAAATATTGATTCTCAAAAACCTCACACCCGCTTCAGACGTCATGTCACGACATGTCCATACATGAAGGCGAGCTACAGAACTTTTCAATGTTAACAGCTTTTCCAATATTTTTCCAAGCTTGTGCAGTTCTCCTAGCATCTTGTTGCAAAATATCCATGTTAAATGATAGTTCATTCACTATTATCAAACATCAAATATTTACAAGGGAACATCAAACATCAGACGAATATTGACTTTTATCAATTCTCATCCCTTTTTAATGTACCATATTCATTTTCTAACATTGCCAAATATGCTGCAAACAAGGAGATTGTTCCAATAAATCATCCAAGTGTCCATCCCGACAAAGTTACATGAGATCGGTGCAGCAATCCCATCAAGCATTCAGCAGTACGTAATGGGTTCCACCATGCGAATATGCCACTTCTTGCCCATTTCATCGTTTCACACTAGACTTCGGGGAATCAGTCAGGTGGACATTTTACAAATTGAAACGATTCTGTGTGCTGCTTAATGCCATCTAGTTTACATGAAGCCAAAGTCAACACGAGAATAATTAAGTTTCAGTCAATCATCACCTTGAAAAATATACACATCCCTCTTTTGAAATTGAGTTCTGACAAGTCAGGATCTAAACTCATGACCCAAACATCTTGAATCTAAGGGACACAACTCTTCCCTACTCCTTGTGGTACAACAGACCAGTTGGCCCCCATAAATAACACTTGATCATTGTCATCTCTCTCTCCTTATGATGTCATAATCACTATTTTCATTCATATTTGTAATCACAGGGTTCCATTTGGCTTTCATGAAAAGTAATTTCATAAAACTGATAATGTCATAAAACCATCCTGAAAATTTTACACCCTTCCATGAATCCTCCATTTCTAGTATGTGAATCTATTTTAAATTTCAAATTTGATGACATGCTGATTATTCAGTCCAAATAATCTTGATTCTGATGTCACCAGTTTCAGACTTGAGTATGGTTGGATAAAAATGGTGAATTCAGCAAAGAGTTTTTCAGAAAATTAATCCAGACAATTGAATCAGATCAAAGGCAATTACTTCCACAGAATTGAAATACTTGTGGTGTCGGCATGAGTCATTGTGACTGTTAACCTGAACTGTCACTGCTGTCATACCGGGTTTTCCTGTGCATGCTCAAGACAATATTCCTTTAATTTTCAAGCTTCACGAAACATGATATCTACGAATGACACAGCTAGCATTATCTAAAAAGACAAAGGCACTATAATTAAAATGAAAAGGCGGGAGATAAAAAATAACCAAATTAGGAATAAAGCTTAAACAAGTGAGGTAGTTTTCCAATGTAAAGAACAGTAATGTCCGCAAGTGGATTTTCCTTTGAAATGAATATTGCTCAACATGAACTATGGGAGCATGGGACTTGTAAATAAAGGAGCACATCTACAACGTTAGCGGTAACGAATACCCTGGGGTTTCTGTATACACAAACAGCATGAGTCAGACCATTACAACAACAAATCATGACAGCCCCTTAAAGGATGGAACCCCTCTAAGTTAGACTGTTGTCAAACAATACAAGATGGTCACCACTCGACTCGCACCCCTGAGAGTAGTGT